GTCACCTCGGTTGTCTGGACTGTAAAAAGTTCGTGATTTTGAAGTACTCCATCCTTTAAAATTGAACTTAAGTATAAATCGGATTTCCAGACATAGAAATTTAAAACTAATTTAAAACTTCTTATACATTTACGAAAATGAGCATTAACAATTAAAGAGGGTATTGTCATCAGCAATGTCAACTGCAACCATAACATGAAGTTTAAAGAAAAATACCTTATTTTTTTTTATTATAGTTTCTTAAAAACTGAGCTTAATACACAATAAAAATGGCCGCATAGAATGTCAAGATATAAAGATATAAAACACTGTTTGGTATAGAAAAATCTTCATTGAAAAACAAACCCATCAGTGACTAGGTATTGAACATCTAAAGTAAAATCCTCGTATAAGTGTTCTTGTTTATCTCCTTCTTTCAACTACAATCTTGCTGGACAATTCATTACTGGTGATGTAAATAGATTGGAAAATAGAGAACTTAAAGCAATCACATTGTAAAGGGTCCTTATAATTAGTGAGCCGATCTTTCAATTTGCGACAGGACTTCATTTCCATTATGAATTCTGTGGAAGATTTTACCACAGTTTTGGCTACATATTTAAAGGAAGACCAGAATACTTTATCAGAATGGATTAAATGATTTTTGGAAATGTATTTTAAAGATTCGTATCAGAAAATTGAAAATGTCCTTCCGTTTTCACTTAACTTAAAGAGAAATATATGGAGATAACGAACAGTATTCAATCTCAAAGCCCATAAAACAATACAAGGAGCAGAGCAAGCACAGACTTCCGAAACAGCAGAGGTGGGATCAGGTGCCATGGAGGAGTGAGCATCCCCTGCCGACCAGGTCACACCCGCCGTGTGCTCCTTGTCATGATCAAAAATAACGGGAAAATCCGTCGTCAATTTAGTGTGTAAATAATGGACTAACAATTAGTATGAAAACATCAGTCAGCATTTGACTGAATGATAAATTGTATTTGCTCACAAGGTCATTGTATCGACCATAGAAGTTAAGAAATGATGACTTTAAACGAGACTGATGATATTCTTGTTTCATCAACTTGCTTGTCAGTAATATACCTCGTTTTAGAAATTGTTCATACGTAGAGAGCATGGTCTTGCGTATCGAATCAAACTGAGATATATATACTCCGTATGCAAGTGATGAAGGTATATTACTGAGTTAGAGAGACTACATGAACAAAATGTTATGGTTCCAGCAAACAACGCTTGTAACAATATCGTCTTTGTTTTGGGATTCATTTATATAACTTTTTTGGAAGAACTTGGTTTTAATTTTAAGTCTGGTATTCCAGCATACACTCACAATTCACTTTCCACAAGAAATTCTTCAAAATTACATCTCAGTGTTTAATATTTTAATATACTAGTACCAGTCAACCAAGTTGAGTTCAAGTTCAATCTACCCTGCCTGAAATGGATTCCCTAAACTTCATTTTTAAAAAATCCTTACAAACAAAGATACAATGCTGGATCTAGCAAATGTTCTATCAAGCCCCTATTTTTACTTCTTGCATAAATATTTACTGCTGTTTGGGAAGAACTTCAAAGGCCTTGTGCTTCAGCATATTCTAGAAGTGGTGTACGGTAAATAAAAACCCTCGAAAGAATTTTTTTTAATTAAAAAAATCACCAAATTTTAAATGTATTGAAAAAAAAACTTTTTCCTACATTTTATGCAACAATTCCTTTCGATAAATTAAAATCTATACTTCTTTGTGTTATTGACAACTTCTTCATTAAAAATAGAACTAGAGAATTTTCAATTCTTGTGTTTAGTCATCAGCAAAAACTTCGTTAAAACCATTCTGAATGTACACACAATTACTGTGAATGTGACATTAAAATGATGCTGGACAAGGTCTATGTAGTCTTCGAAGACCATATCATGTTTTCAAACAAACTGTTGGAATTCCGATGGGAACTACATGTAATTATGTTCTTATATTAGCTGAACTGTTTTTATATTCCAATGAAGCAAAATTTATTTAAATTCTTCTACATGAAAGGAAGAAAACATTAATTGTGGCCTTCTATTTGCCATTTAGATATATCGACGAATTAACAATAATTACTTCTTTTCATAAGTGGACTCGATATATCCCAGTCAACTTGAAATTTAAAAAAAGAGTCTGTCACATTTTTCATGTGTGGATGTTTTACTGACTAAAGACGATTAAGAACAATTAACAACTAAATTGAATGACAAACGATATTCCATCGTCAGCTTTCCTATGTAGAAATTTTCCACTATCACCTGCTTATGGTGTACATGGCTCCCAATTTACGGTATTATCTACATAAGAGTTTAAAATCCAAGTACGATCAATTTTTAAGCGAGGCATGCTACACACTGATAGACTGATGTTATGTCTGGGATTTCAACAACCTCAGTTAAAGTCGATATTTCGTAAATTCGTAAAGGTCTTTATGATGACTTTGTTAGCAAATATGACCTTTCATTGGGTCGTATTTTGGCTGATGTTTTTCACATCAATTGTTAGGCCTATGCCTTTATACTGAATAGGTCTGCAAAGTTCTGTCTGCCGGATCCATACATAAGACACATGACGGTTGTACCGAGTCAACAGGGATTCTTACTTCTCTGTGGTACCTGATCCCATCCCTGGAATTCCCATGGGCCTATGATCCACGCCCTCTTCACATATTCGTATTGTTTATATTTTTTAGGTCGATATCTGTTTGTTATCTTCACCTTTTTACTTTTTCTTAAAAATTTAGCTATACACACAAATGTGAGAAAGGTGAGGTCAGAGTAAAGGTCAAGTAAAAAAAGTTGATGCAACTGATCATGAATAATCTCATCAATATGCATCGGCATATTTGGTTTGACTAAAATATATCTGGAATAGTTTCATTGAAACTATATAGGCTTGATACTTTTTTTTTTGTATTAGAATTAAAGATTTGATAAAAAAAAAATTCTTGCAGAGTTCCTCTGTGTTAAGGACTAAAGTAAGGAAAGTTAAATCAAAGCTAAAGAAAGCTCAAGTTAAAAAAAATTTTGATGAAGTTGAATAGCGCTCATCAATATGTTTCGTATACGGGGCACCCCTACTCGGTAAAAATAAGTAGGGGTGGGGCACCCCTACTTATTTTTACCGAGTAGAGGTAACAAGTGCGGTGAATATGTATTAGCAAATGAAATTCAATAAAAATATTTTGAATCTAGCTCCTTTGAAATTGAGCTAAATGCAAGGACGAAAGGACAGACATGACAAACACTACATCATAATGGAGCATAATTTTTAAAAATGCCAGCAATCCGCTTATTAAACATTGCGCAACGTGCTAAGTATCAAGATCAGTTAACATAGCAGAATACGTTAAATGTGTGGGATAGGATATTTTATTCATAACCCCGGCTTTCCCGAAAAACAAGAAGTATGTGACGATAAAAATTGACTTTCTGTAATCCAGTATACACTCGACAAAATTGATTCTTGCATGAAAGAAAAAAAATATTTTAAAATTATTTAAATATTGACGCCGTTACGAGAATCAGGAAGAGAAAAAAGATGGAAACAAGCAGTAAACCAATTAATTCAAGACGATGTAATAACGTAAATGAAGAGCATCCTTTTGTAGCATATTTCATCTTCATTTTTTCGTACATTGCATTTGGTCCGTACGTTGGACCGCTATAAGAGAATCTGATTTGGACCGTACGTTGCACCGCTACAAAACTGAAAAGGATGCTTTCCGTTTTCGTGGTAATCATTGTCCAAAGCATATAATGTACAAGAGTTATATACGTATACATGTATTCACTATATATCTATGGAAAAAAAACGATTTAAATTTTTTATCATAGCTGATCAAAATATAGTATAATTTACATGTAGTGATAATGAATTCACACGGAGGATATTTTCATTTGTAGAATTTTTTTTAGCGTACGTGTGTTTATAGTTTTTACGGTATAATCTGACGAAATTATATATAAGGAATGATTATAATTCAACGAGAGATGCTTTTTATGATGAAACTTTTCTGTGTTAGTGTCTTCCTATGGCAAACAAAAAGCGTTAAATGTCACAGGCGAGAAAAACAGACAACTTTATGCCAAATTTCTGATTCCCTCTACAGACCCTTTTTTACACAAAAAAGCTTCCTGCTTATTAACAAATGCCAGGAAAAGTCGATAGAGCTATAAAATACGCTTTCCGCGGAGGCTAATCGTGATTATGTTTAATACTTTATTACCGAATGCTAATGACCATTTTCTGTCCCCCGTTAAAAAGAGTAACGATTCTCTTATTACTTATCCAATAAAAAACAAAACAATTTAATAATTTCACATAGAAAGTGAGAATCCATACCCTTGTTTACTCGAATTGCTTGCAAGGACTACTTTGACTTTGGAACTTATGTCTGATTTCTTTGCCAAAACCAAAAAAAAAACAAACATTTTGTTTGAATAATTAAATGATTTTTTTCCAGGGAAAACTAACTTAATGTTTTGAGGAGGGGCATCCCCTCTTGAACTCACCTAAAATATATATTCACTTATATTTTGTTCACATGAAAATAGAAATCATTCGTTTAAATAGCTTTCTAAAACAATTTGTTCATTTTCTATATATACATATATGTATAGAGAAGAGAAATGTAAAAGGACTTTAGCAAGGACTGCTTTGTCTTTGGAACTTATGTCCGATTTCTTTGCCAAAACCAAAAAAAAACATTTTGTTTTAATAATTATAAATGAATATAAAAAAAACATTTTGTTTTAATACATGTAATTATAAATGAATTTTTTTCCCTTATTTTAGAAAAAGACTTCAAAAAGTGTTCATTTTCAATATATACATATACCCGTATGTATAGAGAAAGAAATGTAAAATGACTTAGCCTGTGCCTTGACTCCCACTATGTCAAAGGTTGTACCATATATTATAATTATATAGGTAATCATAGATTCACTGTGCTCAGCAATAACAATTCATTCATTGCAATAGCTTCAAGCAACAACTGTTTTATTTGTAGAAGAAAAAATAACAGATCTGAGGCTTAACATGAACACAATCAAAAAACAATTACTTGGACAAATATTATTTTTTCAATGGCAAATAACAAGATCTGATTTACAATGCAAAGAAAATAAACCTATAGTACAAAAGAAACAAAGTAATCCCACATGCAAAGAGGAGAAATGTCTACCAATTGGAATGTATGATAGAATTCTCTCTCACTATGAAAACAATGTACATGGAACATCTAAAGCTAAACAAAACCATTTAAAACCCATTTGACATACTGATAAAATGTTTGCTTTATGCATCCAATATAATTAGTTTAAGAACTATATACAAATATATTAAGAATATTTTTAAATATCTTTGCAATTAGCAATTTATTGAGGACCAAAAATGTTGCAATTTATTACTTATATTGTACATTCATTAAAATAAATATAATGGTAATATTAAAAATATCTACATTGATCAGCAGTAAGTACCCAAACCTGAACACACAATTAAGTGGCACATTGTTTACACCACAGAATATACAAGTATTGCTTCTTAAGTACTGCATTATTAAAGCTAATAATTAAAAACCAACACAGAGGAATGTCGATATTTTGCAGAACCTGAGAAAGACTTCAAATGTATAAGTAATAAAATCTAAAATATCAATAATTAAATATTTATATGCATGAAAGAACTTATCAATGCTGGTGCTAAGAATCAAGATTTTCAGCTGTATGTCTATTTCTCTATATTATATGAAGATGTGCTTATGACTTCCATCAGTACTAGCTGCTACAGAGGCAATTAAACTCAGTCTCCTTATTTGTAAATCCACAAGAAAAATATCAATCCTAGCTCCATCATTAAAATTGTAACTGCTTTAACTTTTGCCAAGGGCACCAAACTGTAGACTATTGATGCATGCTTAATAAGACTAAAAATATGACCTCCAAGGCATATCAAGTTCCATAATAATCAAATATACATGAATTTTGAAACTTAAAAAAAAGTCAGCTGGCATTTGTCAATACTCTCAGTATTAACCGTGAGACTCGGATAACTACTATAGTACATGTTATTCAGTTGACAATATAAAGTATACAGCTTTGATTTTACCCATGGATATTGAAATAGTTTTCAAAACAAATCCGTTTTTTGACTTTTTACATCCTTGACTTCAACAAACATAAGTATACTTTAATTTTGATTTAGGTTTTTTGTTTCTGTAGGTTTTAACAATAAACCCACCCCTTAAAACAATCTGAACATAATGCTGAATAAACTGATGGACAGAGGATATTAAGCACTCTTTTGACTATTTGAACAGTATGTATTTTCTTTGTGGGTGTGTTTTATGAAAAAGGGTAAAATGTATTTATCTTAATTTAACAACTTTGAACATGAAAAGCATTTCCTTCTGAATTTCAAAATACAATTTTTAATACTGGTTTTACCAGATAAGGTCGTCTGGAAGTTTAAGATAATTTAGATATCCTTCCTTCTTATTTAACCCAGTTAACCGCATCAGATATTATCTTGACACTTGAAATTAAATCACTCACTAACTGTGAACTTCACATGATTATATACTAGTAGTATGTGTAATCAAGTTTAATTTTCAAAAAAGGGAAGGTGGCATTCTAGAAACAGATAAAAAAAAATCCATGCTTCTGAAGACAGAAAATAACTATTTTTTTTAAATTTCTTTTTCAATTAAAGAAAACTAAGTACAACACTGTACAATTTGGGGGGAAAAGTGTCACATTTCTCAAGCTAAACTATATGAACAAGAAAAAAATACAAATATTGAAATTTTAGTTTCATTTAAGTCAGTTACTATATTTGCATACCCTGGTGAAACTCAAAGTATTCACTTTTGGCTTTTTGTGCCTATTGACTATGTACACAAAGAATATGTACATGGCTAAAGCATAAATATAGTTTTTACTGTACAATAACATTAAAATGAACATTGAACAAAATATACATTCACATACTTGAGGATGGATTAAACACAGTAATAATCATTGGTACACGTAGAAAGTAAATTAAAAAAAAATCACATCACAATTTAAAAACAAAACAATCGTCAATGCATCAGATATTGACGTCATTGTGTCAAGATTACTGTGCATAGCTATAATTATCAAAAATGTTCCGATCTTGTGAATTCAGCTGACTTAATTTCAAATGTGACTTTATGAAATGAGCTACTCTACTAAATCAATAAAAAGCACCATGATTTATTCCCCAAGACACATTATATTCAGCTATCCTATACATCAGTGTGTTTCTTATTAATAACAGAACCATTTGTATACTCGTCAATGTAACCTAATTTTTTAATGGTCCTGTACTGAAGTGGAATTTCCATAAGTGCATGAAGGGCGAAGTTTGCATCGGGGTGTTTGACTTTAGAAGTCACAGAATGATAATCCACAAACTGAAAATTATCAAACTTTCTGTTGGGAAGACAGTCATCAAACTCATCCATCGTGTCCCAGGGTCCATCCCCCACCCCCACCACTACTATACTGAGGGGGTAGTCAGAGGCCTCCACAATGGCCTCCACTGTCTTCTGCTGCTCGTTAACCTGCCCGTCAGCTATTATTATAAGTATGTGATACTTGTGGGAAGCTTTCACTATTTCTATTGCTTTATGAATGATGGGTGCAAAATTTGTTGGTCCACTAAACGTCACTTTAGTGGCAATATCGCTGTATCTATCCAGTACCTCCGAGAACCCCTTACATTGGGACTCATCGCTCACAAAGGGAAACACAGAATCTCCTAATGTTTTGGTGTCACCAAATCCATAGGCAGGAATAAAGTTGTCATCGTCAAAAGGTTCTAGAGTTTGAGCAATAATAGAGATCACTTTTTGATAAGGGTTATATATCTTGCCGGGCACAATTTTGTGTAGACAATTTCCGCTGAAAGACTTCCTCCCCTGCCACTCGTTACTAGCTGTGAAATCCACACCCACAATTAATCCACACTGCTCTAGTCCAGCCCTCTGACAGGCATCGCTAACCTCCGAAAACGACCGAAAATGATCGTCAATGGCATAGTAATGTTTGTGGATTTCTACGTCCAGGCCAAGCATCGTGAACAGGGACGGCTTCCTCTTCAGCCTCCTGCGTCGGCTGGCTGTGTCGTCTGTCTGATCGCCTGTGTCTGATTTTTGTGCCGTGTTCTTCTGATACAGCCAATACAGGAGAAACATGACCGCATTGGCGAGGGCATACATCACCAGAGATACAAAAGTCATGTTTGTAGTTCACTGCCATCTACAAAATAATGAAGATAGAACTGCAGATCATCACAGAATCACTAAGGTGATGAAAATATTTACTACCTGGTTCTATGTAATAAAGAAACCACTTGTTTAAAACAATTTCATTGTAATGAATTAATAATGTTAATGATTATTAAAATACATGTACATTTCATTAAAAAAAAATCAATTTAAGTTTTAGTTTTTACATGGTTTATATAATAATTCAATATTGTACCTTGTGTAAGTAGTGGATTTGATGAATTGTTATTATAGCTATTCTCAAAAAAGCTGATATGAAGGACGAAAAAGATAGCCTAACAAATTAAGTTTTAAATTTTTAATGTTGCAATCAGTATCAAATTAGGATAAAATACCAAAAAGACAATTATAGTCTGTATTGATGCAATGGATCAGACTATGACCCCCTAGAACATGCATTTCCACAGAGAGATGGAATTTGGTGCCCGTACATATTAATACGAGTATTATACTAGGTATAGAAAAAAAGGGAAACAAAAAATAAACAAAACAAACTCACCAAATGACAACATCTGAAGCTATTCAGCCTCTGTACGTGACCTAACTCTAACTGTAAATCCTTGTTTTCCTTGGAAACTCACAACATTTCCTAATCATTTCCTCACGTGTATAAACAAGATGGGGGAGATTTAAATCTAAACATTCCGTGATTTTTTATTGTTGTGCCAAGACTCTACCTGAATTCAGGGGTTAAAATCAGAGATCAATTATGTAAACGGCCACCTGTTGAGATTTAATTCTCTGACTGGGAGATTAATGAGAGATTAAACACCGCTGTTTAATATGTTATGGATAATTTTGATGCTAAAATAAAATAAACTAACTACTTCATCTTAAGGGTACTGTACGTCAGAGAATGAAACAGGCAGGTAAATTAACACAAAATGAAAGATTCAGAATAAGTTTGGGCTACCTTAATATAATATCAATCAAAATGAATGATTTAGATGCACATAATAAGTGACAAAATGAATAATCTTTCTTGCGTTTGTTAAGATTGCACAGATTGTTGAACACTTTTGTATTTATAGAAAATCAATAAAGGTATATTGATCTTGGCAACTCACACAGTTACTTATCACAGAAAAATTAATATGACACTAAGACGAGGGCACAGGAAATAAGGATCTAACTTAAGTTTGTATAATTATTGTGTATGACACTACTACATTGGGCAGTATGATTTTTAGGAGTATGTACATGTATGTATCACTTTTTTTATGCGCAGCAAAAAAAAAATCAATTTGATCCTTCAGCATTTATACATTATATTTACACTACATATATATAGTGACTCATGTTAAAATCATCGACATATTTAACATATGTTTTCACTGAATATGCTGTACGTGTAAAATTTATAAATGAAAGATGAGCCCAAAATGTCACCATTGTGATCACTGGAGAAGGCTATTGTGGATTTATTGTTTAAAAACAATAGGTATACAGATGCTTGTTTACTGATGCATTAATCACTCTACATTAGCGAGAGTAAACATTTAATCAGACTTCCTAGCCATTTAAAATACACAAGCTGTAATATATACTAAGCCTCTCTTACCATTCTCTGGGCCTCTCTCCACCCCTCATTAGAATAAGATCCACCCACTGGCTATCTGTTACACACAGTCACTACAACACAAACAGTCAATTGTTGTGAATAAAGATTTTTTTACTCCAATATATATTCATGTATCTGTATATGCTGACTGCACAAGGCCTCAGTGTTCAATTATTTCACTCCGTTTTGTTTGGCCAAGACAAAGTATTATATATACACTAATTGCCCTTACCTAATAACTCTCTTAATGATTAGCCAGTAACAGGTATCACAATTTCAGAACACTATAGAAATATCTACAACAAACTTGACTGCCTAATCCACATTATAACAGGATTCTGCACCCAGTAACGTCCCTCTCCTTATAAGCTGTCGAGTGAACACCCAATCGGGATTCTTCAATCGTAATCCTATTAGGTCCAATTCATTATGAAATGATAGTATTTATACGGCTATGTCAATAATTGATGCAGTTTACACTGGCTAGGCTGAGAGCATCGTCATGTCCATACATCATATCATTATAGCTCAGAGGAAAAAAATTGATAGCAGCGTTCAGGGCTAAAATGATTATAATTGTCATACTTCTCGGGATTTTGTGTCTGGGGAAACAAGACTTATCAAAATGCATAAGGAAAACCTGAAACACATGATAGGATGGTAATATAGAATATGATGCATCTTTTGTGCCACAAAAACGCTTCCACAAAAAAGTGCCAATTCTGATTTTCTGAACTCCTTTTATATAATTATAAAATTAAAGATAGCAAAGAATCAATAAGAAAAATATCATGCCATAGGATGGAATATGATAAAATAATGATGCATTTTTTATGCAAGAAAAGAGTTTCCTTTAAAAAGTGCTGATTCTGATTCTCCTTAGTCCCTTACTAGATATATAATTAAGATAGCAAAGAATTGATAAACAAAATCACAAGGATATTAATGCAAGAAGATAATAAACAGGATCTGAGGGCCACCATTGGGTGAGTATAACATTGCATTATGGGAGAAGTTGACAGGTGGCGCTAAATCAATGGAACTCCTAGAGAGTTCATTTCACTGTGGACAGCAGACATTGATTGGGCCGATAACTAACCAATCTCTCTGCCAACTGTCAGAAACAGAATGCTTCTAACCAATTTAAAGATGTTCCCTGGATAAGTGCATTTATTGCATTTACTCTGCAGATTTCAGTAGCAATAACTTAGAGCCATTCCATGTTCTATGTAACTATATGTCATTTATCAGGGGGATTTAATGGAAGCATTTAATTTAGCTAGAAACCATCGCTTTACGAGGGCCGTTCAAAAATTACGCGTACTTGTTGCACAGAAGAAATATTTGACGACATAATCGGGCAAAATTTCACAATTAATATAAAAGAATCTTTACTTATATGGTCTTCAAAATTTCATATCAAAATATTGTAAATTGGTATTAATTTTGAGTGATTTTTCAGGACATACCATTAAGTCACGGCGCAGCAATCTTCGACGTCACAAGCATTATAAAAAAATATGTGATTGAGCTTTCATTTTCTCAACATTTTCCCTTGAGTACCTGGTATAGTTTGAGTTACCCTATCTACTCAACATCAAAACACCATTTCTTGTCAAGCTTAAAATCTATTAAACAAGTAAAGAATATTCTTTTTTTTGTTTTAAAACCAAAAACTACTTATGAGATATAGTGTGATATTGGTGACTCTCAATCACGTTCTTTGCAGTCCAGTAAAATTAACTTTTCGTCTATAATCTTCTTCCCGTCCTCCCGTATAGCCTTTTTACAGAGGTCTAACTGTCTAAAATTTCAATTTGCTATTTGTGGGCGAATGTCACGAGTAGCCTAGTTTACTACATGTTTTATTATGCATATTTTGGATCTATGTTGCCTATATTTCGAGCATTACACATATTTTAACAAAAGTGTGGTGCGCCGTCAATTCAGGAGACGTCATTTTCACAGTCGTTTTTACGGGAATCGCATCAGAGAAAAATCACTATATTTCTGTTAGTACTTCAAATATCACGTAAGAAATCTAAATACATAATAATAGAACAATTTAAAGGTACATTTGAGAAAATTGTTGAAAAATATCGCGAATTTTAGAAATTCAATGAGTTAAATTTTTGAATCCGCATGCTTTTGCTTCAATTTTTTTGTCGTGCTCCGTACCTCTCCATCAACGACATCAACATACCGATAATTTTAGTAGAATTTTTTTAAAATACAGAAATTTTGCCAAAAATTTATTGGAATCTTTAAGAACATATTTCTGTGAAATTTTATAACTATATGACGTCTGTAAGAGTAAATAATAGCACAGTTCGCGTAATTTTTGAACGGCCCTCGTAGAAACACTGCATGCTGTACAATACATATGTCTGTAATACTGTTAGTATTTTATAATTACTTTGCATCAGTACAATTAACATTCAATTGTGCCTCCTAACTGATCTAATTTTTCCAACTTTCCACTATGACTATATTTGCCAGGACCTTTGTTTTTGTAATCTAGATGTCTTAGAGCACTACTGGCATAACCCTTTAACTACTATTACCCTAAGTCATTTAATTGTTATTCTCCAAATTCAAAATTTTTATGACTTTATGGTATATGCAGAGTATTTTTAGTGGCCCCTCTATAAACAAATTTGACTGTACTAAAGGTCTTCAAACATTCCAAAGCAAACAAGCCTGTCAATAAACACAACACCTAGCATACCTTAACCTTCTGTATCTTAATATTCTGTATATAGTTTATCTTTATTGTGGGTATCCATGACAGTCTACATAAGACATTAAATTACAACACTAAAGCTGAGGAAGAGTGCCTCCTTAACAGGATGAATATGACAGAGGTGTGAGATTGGAACTGATAAACAGGGACCGACAGAGAAAAGAGGTGACCAAAGGCAAAGTCATAATATCTGTAGTTATAGAACCAGAATAAAACACTTAAAAAAGACCCTGGTCATTCATTTCATTCTCAGATTATATGTATACACTTCAGAGAGATTTTTTCATAGTCATTTCAGACTGGTCGACAGAGGACAAACAGGGAGACGTCTGACAGATCAACATGCCTGAACAATCTGGAGTTGGTGTGATTTGCCGTTTTCTGACTAGTCCTAACTGATATCTTATATAAAGAGGCATAAAGTTTATAAGCCAGAAAAATAAATAGCAAACTTATTAGTATACTCCGATTACAAACTAACGAAGCATCAAGCATACTTTATGTGTAATCTGTGAAAATTAATATTACTTTAGCTCTTTCACAGACTGCGCAGCCCTGGTGTATTTAGACAACTATACTGTTACTGTTAAAACTACATAATAAAAAATAATCATTAATAAATCAATTAATAACAATATGTTATTTTAAGGTGAAAACAAGAAATGTAGATGCCATTAAAACCTAACCCATTAAAGGTCTAAACATTTACATTAGGAAATGAAAACCACATCAAAAGATCAGACTCCAATAATGCATTCTGGATATTGCATTTCTGTCCAACACAAAAGGAATTCAACATGATGCGAGTAAATCAGCTGATTAAAACACTTTATCTATTGATTGGAAAATTCACAGAAACAATAAGTTGACTAATGACATGCATTACTTTCCATGATTTCAATCAGTTCAATAATCTAAATCGGAGTAAATCCCTCAGTAAAATTTTATTGGTTTTCATAGGAAAAAAATTAACTCATCTCCAGGGTAATATATTTTTTATTTTCTCAATTATATTTCAATTAATATTTCGAAATGTATAATAAATAAAATTATGTGGCCATTCTTCATGACAGAAATGTTTTTATGGAAATTAATCCAAAGAGCTGAATAATATCATAAAAAAATAAACTGTAAAGAAATTTTGATCAACAGATAGAGATAATATACGTGTTTCTGACCTTCGATTTCTTCACAGTAATGTTTACCATTTCATATGCAGACTCTCTGGTCTGCTGCTGTTGTGACTACTTATTGGTATTACATGAATTTGCTTAGAGCAATAATCCACGATATATTGATAATAGAAAATCAACTGCAAAGCTTAAATAACCCTTTTATAACTTACCGCAAAATCATGCAAAAATATTTGCTGATAAAAACGGTAATAATGACTCTCTTACAACTCAACTTCAACTTCAGGATTCCTCACAATTTGGAGTATTGCGAAGCGCGAACCCGATGATAAAGGCCGGGAGATTGTTTTCGCTATCTATTGAAAAAATGAGAACCATATTTAAATAAATGTAAATAAATAAAGTTATAATAAAAATCAATTTTGGGTCTCAGTTGTTTTTTTTCTTTGTAAAAGTAAACGGGCCCCGGGTCTGCATCTCTATATATGAATACCCCCCCCTATACCCTCCCATCATGGAATTCATGGAAATGGAAAATGGAAGTATAAAGGCTTTGATACAGGTCCACGATTCCACAGACCCGAAAATATTCGTAGCTTTATTAATTTGTAATCATATTTCAAAACTTATAATCTGATTTATAATTTTAAAACAAATAGTGATTTTTAAAAAAAATATAATTCTTAATTTATATTTTATTAGAGATATCTTACAGATTTCCCTAAGTCCTGTCCTCTCCTTTCACCACTTTCCCCTGTAGATTTCTATATCCGTCCTTTTTGATTTTCTCCACCGATAGCCATATGGACGGGTCTGATATGTAGGATTTTTAATATTTTTGTTTTTTTGCCTTTTTATCTTTGTTTTCTGTCGATTACCCTTCCTTCCGTCATTTCCTTTCTTCGTTCTTATTTTCTTTCAAGATTACAGGGACGTCAACATTTATAGACGCATGTCCCATTTGTCATTTTCCCTCTTCTATTATTGTATTTTTCTCTTTTATCTTATCGACATATTCTTGTTTAAAAAAAATGTTATAAAAATTGTAAAATAATGTGTAGAGACTTTATTGTTGCTAAACATACATTTATTACGAAATTAATTGTAATTTTAGAGACAATCAAATCAAAATCAAAATCGTAATTTCAACTGAATTTCGATTGAGCATCAAAATTTAAATTTGTTAGATAAACATGATAAAGTTATGAAGAACATCTTTTTGTCTTGCACTGAATGTTACTTTTTAAATTAACGACAGATACATCTTTTTGTCTTGCATTGGATGTTACCGGTACTTTTTCAAAATTATGTCATCTTTTCACATTTGTGCAATTTGACAAATTTGCACAAAGCATCCAAAAATTGTGAATTGTTTGCTGTGGTCCTAAAATTAATGCAATCTTTTTTTTTTTTGCTACATCAAGCAGTAAGCATGTATCATGAGGGAAATCAGACTAATCAGTCATTACCAAAGTTCCCTGCACTTTGGCCCTGGGGGGGGGGGATTCAACACAACTTTTAAGTAGGTAGTGGAAATGCATTATTTCGAAAAATTTTTTCCCTTCTTAATCAATACTGCTTTTTTGCGATTATATTTTGTGCTATTCCGCGACTTTTTGTAGCGTGTACCTCTTCCGTAAAATTAAAAATGATTGTTGTATTCAGATATACCTAATTAAAAGAACACTCATAACACACAAGTAGCATCATCTTGAAACAAAGTGTCTATCACTTTTATCAAATACACTGTGTATAAGAACCTACCGTGTAAAGCGCAGTAGTTGCGGAAAAGCAGACAGGTTGCGATAATAAAATCGCAGAAAAGCAGGACGGAGTCATTCACAAATTTTGAACAGTTATAAAATGGGACTCCTTGAGCTTGCTTGTCCAAATTGTAAGATAAAACAAATAATATTTCCATCCCCTTCTCTCGCTGTAGCACTACAAAAATATCCTCAAAGTTTGTTCATCAGACATCACTAAACCAAGACCAGTGACCTTAAAAGGCATTTCTTTAAAGAAAATAAATCAATTTTGTCTAAATAGATTTGTTTATTTACCAAACATGAAATGTACAACATTATTTGGTATAACAATTCTAGAAAACAGGAACATTTATATATTTTCAACATAGATATCTTGAATTTTTTTTTTAGGAAGCAATTTCAACCAAGATTTCTGGAAATGCAATATTAGCACACAATATATAGGATACCCACAGGATATATAACAAGAAATAATAAACAAAGTATCTCTGATGTTAATTTCTTATATATAGATCAAAGTCATGTGATACGAGGTTAATTTTTTGTAGATGAAAGACATGTGATAAGGCCAAGATAAATAGTGCGTTTCCTATTCCAACCTGAGAAAAAATAGGTATAGTTAGGGAAAACATTTTTTTTATTTTAACATTTTATTGGCAGGCACATTTTCCCTCAGGGAAATCAATGTCAAAAATATTTCAGATCAATGTGATTATGCATTTCTCAAACACAGAAGTGATCAAGATTGGGATTTCTAATTGTAAAACTGGAATATTTTACTACTGGAAAGGTATTGGCAGGAAAAAATTTCAGGGTCGGCTCCTATATTTTAGGGTCAGATGGGGAACTGGAAACCAACTATTTATCTAGGCTTATCTGAATATTAAATTTTCCAAAGTCAAAATTACAACATTAAAAGTTAAATTTATACAAAAAATATAATTTTACTCTTTTAATCATACTGAGCATGTCTATTACTTATTTCTGAATGTCTTCTACTTGCCTTAAATGCTGTCCATTTAATTTTTATAAAAGCCAACAAAATTTGTGATATTTTAATTGTGATATATAGACTTGAGGAAAGACACATAATCAATATTTTTAAATAATAATAATCAGCTTTAGTTTAAATGTTAACAGAAAACAGCTCTCTTTGCTTTGGTAAAAACATGAATTTAACAACAGATTTTTCTATCACAAATTGTATAACGTAAAATAAAATTCTAGATGACTAACAAATAATGCAATATTTCTTTTTAAGAATAAAAATAATCAATCATTCAGTACAATGTCAAATACACAATACACATCAAAATGATATAAGATTTATTCTTGTTTTTCAATGAATAAACAAATCACCCTTTGATTTACAAAGTAATTCTTAAAAAGCAACATGTAACAAAACCTTCCTTCATTGGATCTACCAATCATAAAATAATAACATTTGTAGAAACAATGATCACATGATTTCAACTGACCAATCAGAAAATGAGAGAACCGACCTTTCATGTATCCACCCAGAGGTGATACATTTTTCTGCTGCTTAAGAAACTTTGTTTTATACAGTAAAACTCCTTATAGTGAAGTCCTGGGGACCAGTGAATTTAATTCGCTATATCCTTAATTCTTTACATCAGTATAATGAATATGTATAACTTTATATAGCGAATTCACAATATGCACATTTTCCCTCAAGTATTACTACAGAATATGTTAGAAAAGTGATTATTACAAAACATACATTGGATAACTATGAACAATGTATTGAATCTTTAAACAAATACTTAATGAAAATAAAGTCAGTTCAATTTATCAAACTTTGAGATCTCTGAAAATTCATTTAAAAAGATGTAAATTTCATCATATTTAACCCCCACTCAAAATCAGTTGGCTATATCTGTAAATTTGTTATATCAAAGTTTGTTAAAACCATAAAATTTTACAAAGAATTTTCAAGAATTTTGCCGGGGTCCCCGAAAAACTTGGCTATATCCATTAGTTTGCTACATCCATATTCATACTAAAAGAGTTTTAGTGTAGTCCTTTAAATACCTACATATACAGTAATTATCTCAAGAAGAGGATTTTATTAAAATAAATCCTCTCCCTCATGATTTATTACATATAACCTTGCATGTAAATAATAATAAAAGTGACTGAGACATAGAATTTCTAACACTGTTCCTTATGAGGGAAAAATGATTGTCTCATATCCAGGCAAAAAATCAAAACATTTCTGAAACATATTTTGAAAAGTAAATACATGTACAAATATATCTTATTAGAAATAAAAATTTGTGTCAAAGATCTGCTGAAATTATGCTATCACTCTGAAGTACATGTGTATCACAGCCCGGATTCTAAAACATATATAGACTGCAAGGCTTAAAAAAATGACAAAGACTTTTTTTTCATGTCCAGTCTTCCAAATTCAACAAGACTAGTATAGTCAATAAACTAAAAATTAAATGTATATATAACTGTATATTTAAAAAAAAAAGTAACAAAAGTGAGCCTGAAAAGGGTAGGCAATAAAGGACTATAAAATAATAGGTAATACTGAGAGGAAAAAAATAGGGAAGTATGTTTTCTGCCCAAAGGAAAATTTGTGTAAATGTCTCGACTCTCCGGACTTCCTGAACATCTTATAAGCACCTTGTTCTTATAGCTAAACATTTATTTTATTACTCTTTCTGTAAAAATCTTTTTTTCTACTATGCTATCAACTAAATATGACAGAAACACTCTAAAATCTAGAGATACAAATATTTTTCTAAGCTATTGGGCATTTTCTCTCTAAAGGTAAAAAGTTCAAGATTCGCTAATCTTAATACAATAACAAAAATGACACATTAACTTCGTTATCACAAAATATACTATATCAATATTATGGAAGCATATAAAAGAGATTAACTTGTGTAACATTCATTATCTAGGAACATCTTTAAGTGTCATTTTTGCCTTTGGAGACGTCCCCCGGGTTCTGATACTGGTGGCGCCCCCTTGCTGGATGATGGTGTGTCCCTCTGGAGCTACTGATATTGTTGTATGTAAATGTCCATCATGTTTATTTACAAAATCCCCTGCAGGGGTCGGGTTAGAAGATACCCTCTTCACAGCCTTTTTACCTTCCGACTTGAATGTCTTGGTAAACACTCCTTTCTGGATGAAGAGTCTGGCATTGCCCACTGCCTGTCTGGTGGTTCCAGGTGCACGAAGGTCACTCAGGTGGGCGGCATATCCCTCACTCAGCACCTGTATGTAAATAAGGTTATCAAATTATTCTGCGTAAAACAGTACAATTATAATTACCGTTACATGTGAGACATCAAGGGTTTAACTAAATGTTTTATCACTTATTTCACAACACTTCAAATTTTTTGTGTGTGTTATCATAAGTACATGTAAACCGGAACGCGCGATTACGTAATGTCGAAGGGTCATTGGATTTTATATACACACAGAAATTATATAATTAAACTATTGTTACCCAAGTAATTGTTTGATTTAATCATTAGCACCTGAGCATGGGCCATGTGTTTTTTAGAGGACTTTCCTACTATATATATCTGTTGGGGTGTGAGGCCTAGTTCCTTGTAGACATAGATATCCTTGTTGGAGCCATAACCTGCCTTAAACAGCAGCTGAGCCTAAAAAAAGGAGTTGTATCAGATGACATTTTAAATACCAACTACCCATTAACAACACTAAATGTGTCTTTAATTAATTATAAATTCATATGTCCACTGGATTTAATTTGATACATTGTAAAAATCGCATCCCCCCTAAATAATATTATTATACCTCATTATAAATATTCTAAACAACGCGTTATCTGATTGGTTCTAAGTTATCACATGATCGGGCAGTAAAACTTCATATTTCCCGGCCGTCGGCATGCTTTTCATCATATTCCACCTCTTCGGATACTTGGTGCCTTTTCCCGCAAAAATTATAGTTCTTTTAAAGAAAACTCCCGAGAGTATAGTAGACGTCACAATAACCTGGTTTATGTCATAAAATTGATGATAATGTGTTGACCAAAGATTTTTAGTAACGTTGTGTTAAAAATGAAAGTGAATTTGAGAGCGGTGCCGAATTTGAAAGTTTATGTTTATTTCAAAGGTTTTTCTTGTTTCGGTATAATAAACAATTCATTGCATGAATGTTTGACAAACATAGCAAGCACCAACCATTTAAATTATACTTACTATAGCATTGGGCGAAGCCCTTTGGAAAAGTTTTTCTACCTGGCAGTGAAACTCAAGTCTTCATATTTCCCTCACTATCATGCAATAAATGTATAGAGTGTCCTTCCAAATCACCTTATTGATATCTGCAGTGATGGAAACTCTCTAACCATATTTTCTGCCCAAATCCTGACTACCCCCTCCTATACACTTACCTCAGATTGTAGGGATTTGAGGTATGCTAGTTTCTGTTTCAGGGGTTCCTTTGACAGACCATCCATGAAGGCTACCATTCCGTGGGGAAAGTTATGCATTGCAAGCCAGGAGACAACCTTCTTATGTTGCATGTCTGGACGAGCTGTCACGTACAGGATCAGGTAGCCATGCTCCTGCCAGTGTCTGTAAATAAAAGATTTCTTTCATAAAAATAACAGTCTGTGACTGCTGATAAACATAAAAGCTACATTATCTAAAAAAAAAAAACAACCTATAAAACATTTGGTCATAATTGGAGAATAAAAACTCCTTTTTTTCAAATACTTTCATTTAGCTTCCTTAATCCTACAGAAAAACTTGCTTTTAGTTGCCCATTCATACTGACAAATAATAGCAAGCACTAACTCTATCTAAATTTTACTTACTATAGCATTGGAATTTGGAACTGTTTTTATTGGAAAAAGTTTCTTCTTACCTGGCAGTGAAACTCAAGTCTTCTGTGTTCATATAAGGCTTCAAAATATTACAAGCTGTTAATCATATCTCTACACTATCCTGACAACATCCACTCCCTGGTCTAACTTTTGGATCCTTCCCTGAGATAATGATCTATTGTCTCTACACTAACCTGACAACATCCACCGCCCCTGGTCTAACTTTTGGATCCTTCCCTGAGATGGACATACTGGCCGTGAAGGAACCATCAATACTGAATACAACCGTCTCTGTTTTAGGGGGGAGGACACACAGGTAAAAGTCAGCTGAACTGTGGTCACCCCTAAAAATCAATAAGACATGCATAATAAGGGAGGGGGGAATGCAATATTACAATATTTTTTCCTAATATGTTTGATATTGTGACAGCATAGTTGAGTGCAGCTGTGTATGTCTTAATGGATACCATCAAAACATTAACACAGATTTCACTTTTAACTGAGATCCTCCTCTTATAAACCCTATAACACTGTACAGATTCTAATTCATGGCAGCAAATCTTGATATATTTACTTATAAATTACCAGTCTGGAGATAATATGATTTACGGTGTGACCATTGGGGCAACGTAGTTATTTGCTATAAAAAACCTTTTTACTGGGATCGAGATTCCGAACTTCTCGGAAGTTTCCGACAAAATCGGAAATACCAGAGTCGTTCAAATGATGAAAGTATGATGTCAAATAAAAAGTCCCATTGCCTCAGGATGCAAACGATAGTTTTTTGGCATAGAGATTGCATGAAATTGTTGTTGTAATTTTTCTTCAAGTAAGTTGTTACTATATTTAAGCCACCATGTTGCTATGCACTGCAAAGGATTATTGGGAGTTTGGAATTTTTTCGCGTGGTACAATAGAAATTTCTTGGAACAATGTGCAGATTTTAACCCGAATTTGCTCTGTTCATACATGTTGTTTATCAAGCTCACTACGCGAGTGGCGCAAAGCGCTGCCTCGCTGTGCTAACTATTATTGTGGGAAAATGATTTGTGATAAAAAATAAAGCATATGTATATAGCTCAATAATTTCAATTGTAAAATCATGGTGGAGAGCTAACCACTAGGGATGTCAACGAATATTCGAGTACTCGACTTTCGTTCAATCATACCGACTATCGACTAAAATTTCTTTAGTCGGTTATTCGTTAAAAATGTGTTTCATCAAAGTAATATTGAATTCAAGACAATAAATTTTCATTTGCCCATTTCATTTATTTACAGATTAATAATTTCATTTGGTAAAACTAAAGGTAGGGTATAACTGTTCAAAGGAAATTAATCGTACGTCGATGTATTTTCGGCAAACATATCTTCAAAATACATGTAAATTGGGGCTCAGATTTATTTCATGCAATCGTTGATTGTTTGCACAAAATCTCATAATTAAAATTTATCTCAAGCTATCTATCTCTTTGTTTTTATAAGAGACACACTTTAATTGTTTACCTGTCAAAGGTCATTGAGACACGTAGAAATTGGCTTCAATTATGGGGAACATGTACAACTGTTATGTAAAGAAAGGACAAATCAAGCTTTTAATATCCTGCATTTAGATAAAATGTGCAGCTAATATATCAATTTTGAAATTAAATACATTGGATACATGTTGATGTACAGTTTTTATTGTACTACGTACTCCGTACGTGTTTAAAATTCAGAAATTCGTTGTATAATGGTGATAGCGTAGGTTAAATATTGTAAACTAGTCTGTAAAAGACAAACAGTGAAGATGATTTGAAAAAAAATATTAAAATTAAACGAATATTCGACTATCGTTCGACTAAAGCATCTGACTATTCGACTAAGCTGCCCGAGTAAAATTGACATCCCTACTAACCACAGATACTGATCTCAAAGTAATATATTGATTTGACAGTAAATCCTATTAAAATTTTAAAGAAGCCTTCATTTTCATATTTTAACTATCTCTGTACCTGACCACCACTTTGACTGGATGCATGCCCTGTGGTAGACTTTTACTGGCTGGAATTGTGAACTGAAGTTTTCCATTTTTGTCTGTGACATCAGTTCCCATGTACTGCCATTCTCCATTGAGTTGGTCCATCACATGAACATCAACCTGTCAGAAAGATTCATCTTTCATGATCTATCTCATATTAATAGAATAAAATTACATGTCTTTATTGCGCAGGGACCTAAAATTAATATTTTGATAGTAATACCGTATGAGTGGAAACTTTAGATAGACGCAAATTTAGCGATTTAATTCTACCTAAAATCTGGTATTTTATTTTTAGCGAGAAGTAAATTTAGTGATTTTAAAATGCTAACTAAAGAAGCTATTACAAATAATATGCAATTAATTTTTAGCAATATTCAATTTTAGTGATGTCAGCAGCCTCGCTAATAATGCCAAAATTAAATCCTCGCTAAAAATTCTACTTATACGGTACTCATTGAATAGACTGTCTGTCACTGACTATGTTTCATACTGAAGAGAATTTCCAGTGGATATTACTATTAAAAAGTTAAACCTAATATCACATAAAGGTTGAATGATTTGACATAGTTCATATCTATGGATGGATAAATTTTGGTCAACTCTTTGATGCCCGAGTCCAAAAAAAGTGATGTAAATCGAGGATATTCAATGTTCTGTAGTTGAATATGGAATTTATTTCATGAGTGGAACAGGATTTTGTGATAATTTCACGAGTGCAAAGCACGAGTGGAAATACAAAAAAAAAAATCCTGCTTCACAAGTGAAATAAATTCCATATTCAACTACAAAACTTTGAATTTTCTGTTTATTACATTTTCTTTTATTTTTTCCATGCCTCTGTCTTTTTCGTAACACAGTGTCATACCTGGCAGATCATGACGTCATAGTAATCAATCTCACTTTTTCCAAAGGAATATATAGCAGAAAATTGAGACAGATCAAAAGTGAGCTTGTCTAAGTTTTATGGCTCCCAGGCCAGTTGAGACGTCATAGCTCGAGCGATTGCGGTATGAACATGGATTTGAACAGCATAACTGGAGAATTGGCAATTTTAGGCTCTGTAAGGATGGTTTTCTTACTCTCTTTATCTTAAAACAGGCCAGGGAATATTTTTTACAACACTGTTGGTGAAGGGAAGGAAAATATCCTGTGATTTCACTCTGGGACAAGATATCATTTTGATATCCTTTCACACTGTGACAGGATATCACTTTTATTCAATAAATAAATTACAGTATTTCACCATTGAAAATGTAATAAAAATTATTTCTCCTAATAATGAATCTTACTTTCTCGCCTGACAATGACGTAACATCAAATGACCCATACATGAACCTTGCTGTGATGACCTGGGGTTTATCTTCCAGCACCATAACATCGTTTCCTCTGTGATTAGGATGTAAATTCTGTAAAATGTAAACACTGCTGTGAGAAGAGCTGCTTATTACTTGGATTCTTTCACTTTGATATTTTGTTGGTGTCCGAGATTATAAAATTATAAAGATAGATGAAAACATTATAATTTTAAAAAGAGACTGAAATGAAACCCTTCTATCTGATTCTCATCTTTATGCTATACTGGTATATTCACTGACTTAACAATATATCTAAAACAAAGGTTATTTTCCCATCTAGCTTGATTTCTTTTGTCCTTGTAATCTACCTTGACCTTTATGGACTTTCTATAACCTACCTTGACCTTTATGCCCTTTCTATAACCTACCTTGACCTTTATGCCCTTTCTATGACCTACCTTGACCTTTATGGTTGTTCTTCGTTTTAGCCATTTTTCCCGTGCAGACTTCCCAATCAGACTGGATTGTAGATCTAAATCATCACCTATGTGCTCACACAGTGATGAATCGTACCGCAGCACCTGATCATTATCAGAATTAATAAACTTTTAGGATTTCTATTCCATTTACGTGTAAGTGAATCTGGAGGGCAATAGATGCTGTGAGAATAGTGTTACATTTGCTTTTTATAGTATCCAATAGCTTACTTTATCATTCAAAGCTTTAAACTCAATTTTACCTTACAGGTAATATTCTCACCTGACGCAGGATAAAGGAAGTGACATCAGAGGATTCCCAGAAACTGGCATGGAAGAGATGTGGAAGGGCGGAGATTGGAAATGTATGGAGGACCTCAGGGCAATACAGGACATAGTCAACTCTCTTATTGCCCCACCACCGACTTGTAACTATCAAATTATAAATCTAAGTCAATCAGCTGTAATACTGACTGGTTTCTGTTAAATTATAAATCTAGGTCAATCAGCTGTAATACTGACTGGTCACTATCAAATTATTAATCTAGGTCAACCAGCGATAATACTGACTGCTTACTGTTAAATTATGAATCTTAGTCAGCAGCATATTCTACATGAAAGACTAATTCATAAGACGTAAGGTCTGATATGAAAGACATATTTTTCAGGACTGATTTCCCGCTCAAAAATACAGGCACTAAGAAATTTAAGTATCAGGTACTGCACTGTTTTTTTTTTCACTGAATCATCTGTATTTACAAGTTACCTATGAAATCACGTCCCAAAGAACCAACAAAATTTTGTTTATCCATGAACATCGACACCCATTTAAGATGAATGAACATAATTCAATACTGACCATTGGTGATGAAGGACACAGTGGACTCGCCCAGTCCAGACATCTGAGATATGTTACTGGTGATGCTCCCCTGTCTCTGTAACAGAGGACCTGATGAACAGCGACGATTGGTGAACAAATTCAGATTACTCTGTACCGTCTCCACTGAAATGTACAAAACAATCCACATTGTAGACAGAAAATGTCTTTCTCTGCAGCTTCTAGTGTGTAAACAAGCTCTGATTAGTACAGTGGACCTTCAGATATCCTGACGATTTTTCATCAAAAGAGAATTTTTTGCTATTTTTTAAGTGGTTATTCAGGTATCCAGAAGCTTCACATATCCGGACAAATTGACTAGGAACCAAAGCGTCTGGATAAATGAGGCTTCACTGTAATTTCATTGTTCTCTCAGAATAGGGTTATTGACACATTGCTAAAAGGGTTATATGTCTAATAGTGCAATTGCATTATGTCCAGTTACTCAGTATGATGTCTTATGTAGGTTGTATTGATAAAGGGGTATCAACTGAGAATGGACAAAGGTAGGATTACCATAGATTTTGATAGTTAATATACCTACCTACATGGATAGGTTCTCCATTTCCTAGAGGGAACTTGTTGTACCTTGAGATCTTTACGGGTGGAATAAGCTTGAATGAATCGTGAATAAGAGGCTCCAGTCTCACTGCTGCAGGATCACTGGAGTGGAACAAATTATACACCTGATTGCACATGGGACCTTGGGGTGGGGCATCCTCCCCCATGGTCATTCTCCTATAGGCCAGCACAAGACCCAGAGGGGCACCCAACATAAAGAACTCAGACACCTCAAAGTCCAGCTTGAGATAAGTTCCATCAAAGTTACTCCCCGTGCTGGTGCGCCTGACATGCTCAGGGGGTTCATTAACGTGAAGGTGGGTCCCTGACTGTCTCTGGGTCGAGTTCTGCCTTCGCAGTTTGTAGTCTGTGGACAGTGTGTCACTCTTACTTAACTGTTTGTCAGACATTACAGTGTTACACACACAGTCTTTGAGGTCACAGCACTTAGAGAGGTCAGGGTCACTGATACTTAACTGCTGGCTGGATTCAGAAGTCCTTACGATGGAGCACCGCGGGTTGCTTTCATTAAGACTGTTGTTACTGTCATATGTACTCATTCCTCTCCCGTAGTGAAGACCAGACATTGTCAGGGCATCATACGCCATCAAGGACCCGGTGGAATCCGCCAGCAGACACACCTGGAGCAAACAATTATAAATGTTAAAATCTGTTCACTACCAATTGCCACAAATAAAACAATCATAACTTAATATTTTTTTGTTCTCCTACAAAATTGTCTTTTCTTGTTTATTACATTGCCCCTCCAATGGCTTAAGGAATACTTTCCTATATTGCCCCTCCAATGTTAAGGATATCCGAATACTTTCCTTGCCTTACATGTCTATTGATCCTTTATATCATGCAGTACCTCTCCCTTAAGCAAAAGAATACTTTTCATGAATTCCTTATACATACTCAAACCTAATGTACACTTTTTTAGACTATCTCCTCATTAAATCCCTTGCCATGCCTTACCTGTCCATTAAATCCCTTGCCATGCCTTACCTGTCCATTAAATCCCTTACTATGCTAAACTGTCAAATAAAACCCATGTCATGCCTTACCTGTTCAAAGATTCCCTTATCTTGCCTTACTTGTCGATTAAATCCCTTGTCTTGCCTTACTTATCCATTAAATCCAAAGTCTTGCCTTACCTGCCCATTAAATCCCTTGTCTTGGCTTACCTATCCATTAAATCCCTTGTCTTGCCTTACCTATCTATTAAATCCCATGTCATGCCTTACCTGCCCATTAAATCCATTGCCATGCCTTACCTGCCCATTAAATCCATTACCATGCCTTACCTGCCCATTAAATCCATTACCATGCCTTACCTGCCCATTAAATCCCTTGACATGTCTCACCTGCCCATTAAATTCCTTGCCATGCCTTACCTGCCCATTAAACCCCTTGCCATGCCTTATCTGCCCATTAAACCTGCCAATTAAATCCCTTTACATGTCTTACCTGCCCATTAAATCCCTTGACATGCCTTACCTGCCTTTTAAATCCCTTGACATGTCTTACCTGCCCATTAAATCCCTTGATATACATGTACCTTACATGCCCATTAAATCCCTTGCCTTACCTGCCCATTAAAACCCTTGCCTTGCCTTACCTGCCCATGAAATCCCTTGCCATGCCTTACCTGTCCATTAAATCCCTTGCCCTCCCCTGAGCTGAGAAAGTCCTGATACACCAGGTTTGCCTTGGCCACCATTTTATTGACACATTCATGATATTCTGGATTAGAGGATGCAAACATAGCAATGGCTCCAAGAGGTACAAAATCCTGGGTCCAGAATGATGCATCCTGGGACTTGGGGGTTTGGGAATCATATCCATAAGGACTGAGACTGTAAATACATTTTAAACTGTCCATATACTAGACTAAACAACTTACTGGTATAATACGATTTCTTTGAAAAATTATTCATGAATGTGCAATAAACATACATAGTTTTTTTTTTTTCAAAATAGATTTTAATCTCTGAAAACTCTGAATTTGTATAGTGAGCAGAGCAATCTTTATGAAATTCCACAAACAATGAAAATATTGAGTGTAAATGTGTTTGCGTGTACAGGCATGATCCATATTTCCAAAAATACTGTAAACCAACTTTTATTCGCGTGCAAGAAATTTCCTCGAGTTTTGCGAGAGTCTCATTATCGCGAATATTTCTCGCCGAGAACCGATCCTTAAAGTCTCTGTTTCTATTAACAACAGATCCAAAAATGGCTTGATCGCGAAAAATTATTGTCACGAACTAGTTTACCCCTGCTAAATCACAAAATAAAGTCATCACAAATAAAAGTTGGTTTACAGTACATAAATTATTTTCCAGTGCGAAAAAAATTTAGGAGTATTTTATTGATTCTTTTCTGACTCACCTGGCAAGAAGGTTGACAGTTTCTGTACAGATCTGAGGGCAGGATACCAGTCTAAATGCGATGTGACCCACAGCACCAGGGTAATGGGTCCTCATCACCTGCTCAAATGTTGACTTGATCGTGCTGAAGTCACTTCTCTTGGAAGCTTGCACATGGTCAATATGCATGTCAAGCAAATTTCCTTAAAAATACAACAGACGAAATACTATTATTATTATTATTATTATTATTTTTTTTACCGATTTTGTGCACGCGATACGGCTTGACTCAAATTTTGATCTGATAGATATTTATTGAACCTTGTCGGAAATAAGTACGTCGTCACTTCCAAACGTGAGATATGGACGATTTACTGAGCATGATGTCTGAGATCTCCTCCTAAACGACTTAAGATATCGACTTGAGATTTTCAGTGAAGGTAGAGGAAGGATAGTAGATGTGACATTTTGCATATAGAGCTTTCCATAGCAGAAATGGTGTATCGAAAAATAGCCTCATACTCATTCGCAAAAATTGACACGTTTTCTTTTATATCTTTTTACCTGTTAATATTTTGTTAAGACATATATAATAAAAAATGTGCAATATAGTAAAACCTTTCATTTGATATCAAGTAAACGGGGTTAGTCCTTCAAATTAGGGGCATAGATTTTTTAACTTTTTTGTTTTTCAATATTTTCAAATGATATTAGTATAGTTGATAGAAACATTTCTTATTAGGCTGAATATATAATTCGTTTGTAAATTTATAAATTCAAACTCAAGATATTAACATTCAAAAATCTGAAGCGGAAATCCCTCGTCAAGTCCGACATTTCGCAATAGCGGCAGTCCCGTTTGCTACGAAAGTAACATAAGGAGCAATGAAATGTGTAGGGATACTTGGATTGTCACGTCGTAGGTTCGTTGCAATATTGTGTCAAACTACATTCATAATCCAAGGTCTCCGTACAAGTTTTCTTTAATTGGTTTTGGTTGTTTCTTAAAGTAGAAAAAAATTAATGTGCAAATTAAGTACACATTGATGATTTTATCTAAATCAAAAGGATTTAATCAAAATAGAAAAGGCATGATTCCATGATGTTTTATCAAAGATCATAGTCAAAGTCTCATCTTATCGAAAATTGGACAAACTCGTTGCTCGCAACGAGATATCAGTTATTATTCTTTTTTCTTCTTATTTCTTCTGCACTTTTTTTGTGGAAAAACTGTTCACCCAACTGAGCTAAAACCTTTTTAGGGTTAATAGGTGTGTAGTGTAGGTGTAAAGGTCATTTGCGTGCATACGCATGCACGTGCGTGCGCGTGATATGAGTGAAATGACTGATATATTTAATATAGCTATAACTTTTACATTTTTTAATGAAATGATTTGAAAATTATATAAAGATATAAATAGTGTAGATAATGTGACACTGTCAAATTAGCAAGAACTCATGCGCATGCACGTGCGCTTTGCTCTGATTGGCTGAAACAAAAATCTCAATATCTTCTCTGTTTTTTGACGAAATGCTTTGAAATTTAAGACATAGGCATGCATTAGGATATCGTACAATACGGTATAAACGAAATTTCATCAAAACGCGCCACGTGCGCTGATTGGCTTAAACTTTAAATGGCTATAACTCCCTTGTTTTTCAACCAAACAGGATGAAAATCAAACATATCTCCTAGAAGGAGGTATGGTCATCATGAACATGCTTGCACGTAAAACGTGCGCTGCTGATTGGCTGCAACAAAAATCTCAATATCTTTTTTGTTTTTTGACAAATGCTTTGAAATTTAAAACATAGGCATGCTTTGGGATATCCTACAATATGATATATAATAATTTTCATCAAATCACGCGAATGCACGTGCGCTGCAATCTGATTGGCTGAAACTTTAAATGGCTATAACTCCCTTGGTTTTCAACCAAACAGGATGGGATTCAGAACATAGATAGATATTATAGACTCCTACAACAGGGAATGGTCATCATGCACATGCATGCACGTGCGTGCACTTGAAATGAGTAAAATTCCAAATACACTAGATTAAACATATTTTTGGATTAAATGCTGTAATATTTAGTATATTAAAATATATCAATAGTGTAGAGAAGATGATATGGTCATTACGCACATGCATTCAAATGCGCATGCATGAAATGCTGAAATTGAATACTTCTGGTAAAACTTTGTTAAAGTCTTATTTAATGAAGCTTACAGGGAATAAGGCACCAAAAGGGAAAACACTTTTATGCTAATGTCCTGTTAATTTTTCCCGGCTCAGTCAGGTCACCTGGCTTGCTGCATGCACAATATCAGCTTACAATCAAGTCTGTTATCAAGACTCACTGGATTGTCAGAATCAAGTATCCTATTAAACATTTATTTTTCATAATAGCAGGTGAAGGTATTCAATACTTCTGCATGTTTTGTCTACCAATATTTCTAGAGGTATATTTGAGACAGCCCTTGTAAACTGTTACCTCCATGTAGGACCAGGAACAGGACGTTGGTCTTACAGCCCGCCGAGGGGGGAGGGGAGATCTCCTTATTCTGCTCCACATTGAAATGTTGCTGGCGGAAGTGTTCCATCTTCTTTACAAGGGATGTGTCTGTTGAGAAGAAACATAGTCGTTACTATATTAACAAGTCCATCCAGCTTCTTAAAACTTTCTACAGTATGTAACATGTTATAACCAAAAGAAAATTGCCATAATCATAATTTTACAATTGTTTCAACGAACAATGAACAGTAAAAAAATAAGTGGTCACTTTATCTCTACAATGACAAGTCTCTGAATGAAAGTGGTTGCTCTTCGTATTGTTACCTATCTGGTCCTCGGACACGTGTTGGACTGAGTATGTATCTTACCTATCTGGTCCTCGGACGTGTTGGACAAAGCATCCTGCTTCTCTACCTCATCTGCAAAATCTGATGTGTTGGATCGAAATTACCTTAATTGTCACTTTTTAAAATTCTACCAATAGGATCCAATTTTTTCATTTTTTATATCTGCAAAATAAAACAGGGATTATTAGCGTAGAAATTACGTTGTCATTTTTATCATTTGTCATTTTTAAAATTTAATACCAATATTGACCGATTTTTTTGCCATTTTTATATTTAATAGTAATATTGACTGATTTTCCAGCATTGAAGATATATCTGATATATAAAATCTGAGATGCAGTGTTAAATCATTTCAGTAGGACCAGTTGATTCTTGTCTTTACGAAGAGTGAACACTACTTACAAGGCTGCTCTTTCATAAGAAAAAAAATTGCCATAAATATTTAAGATACTTTTCTGAAAATTTCTCTGAACTTCTTGCATAGATATGAAAGCATTTTATAATTCTATGACTTCTATCTATATATTTATAAAATTAAAGCAGATAAGCTACAGGTATTTGAAATCTCTGCTTTTCTGTTTTTTTCTTTTGTCCAGAAAAGGCAACAAATTAAATACAATAAATTTATTTGGAGAACATATTCACATTCTTTCTTTCAGAAAAAAAGAACAAAAAAAAATCCCAAATCACAAAACAATCAATCGTTTATTGATAATCACACGGCAAGCATCCACAAAACCCTTCTCACTGCAGATCCCAAAGACAAGACATTAGTGTCAGGGGAGTACAGTGTAATATAGTTTGTTGTTTTATTGGTCAATACCATAAGTATACTTGTAACATAATTGAATGACACACATCTTTCATAGTAAAAAGGTTAATTATGGAGAATATACTGATATATTTGGACCGAGTTCAAATGACATGAGTCACATGACCTTGTAAGAATAGAAACCAAACGTTTTAAGTTAAATACTGGGTGGAAAGATATCAAACTAACATTTCCACCAGATATCAACTTACATTCCAGGTAAGTGATGTGTTAAAAAAAAGTTCGTGGACAAGGATTGAATGGTGATGTTACAATTAGGATAAACTGTCCTGAGATGTGATAGGTGAAGTAACATGGTTATAAGAAATAAAGATTGAAATACTTTACAAATAATCATACTTGTCAATTTACAAAATTCATTTTTGATTATGGTGAATGAGGTCAGGTTTCCTGATAAATCTAATTCATTATTTTGGGAGAAGAGTAAAACAGAGTATTATGTATATTAGTACATCTCATCAATAGTAAGTACTTATATTCAATCAAACTGCTTATTATGTACAATGTAACAAAGAGTACACTCCAGGATAAAGAAAAATTGCAGTGGCTCCAAATACACTGTACAACAAACCTTTTCCAGTCAAGCCTGGAATAAAATGGAATTACTGTAGCACAAACTCATGCACATTAACAATTTTTGAAAAGTGTCAGTACATAATTTTTTTTTGTATATCAATTGGCCCATGGGCCACAACATGCACCTGAGTCAATATGGCCCTGAAGAAAAAATCTACAGGTAATCAGCTTGTCAAATTTTTCACAACATTCCATGCTTTTAACATTAAGCATATTACACAGACCATGTGTAAGCTTTGAGCATGATCCTCAAGACTGAGTATTGAATCACTCGGCAGACTGGTCACACTTTGTGAGTACACTCACCTGAGTTAGGGGCCGAGTCTGATCCTTCATCAGACCAGAATGCACTCTCGTCGCACGGAGACAGGTGCCCTGTTAGACAACAAAGCTCACAGTAGAAGAAACAAACGAATCAGGCATGCATACAGGCTAGAACTTAGTTAAATCTTTACAACAGAAAATAAAGAAGCATTCAACACAGAAAAAACAAAATTATATATACAGTTATTTAAGAAAAAAACCAGATTTAAATTCATCAGAAAAAGAGTTTAGATCAATAATTGCAAGCATCAATGTTTGTAGAACTTCTACACAGACAAGACTTGTAGCAACAAAAACATAAATATTAGGAACGAAAAATGTGAATATTGCTTTGTACAAAATGGACAGGCTTTTAATAATTGTGTGAGGTGTTTACCTGTAAGAGTGACGTCTTATTTTATTCTACACACCTTTTGCGTCAAAGAATTCCTCATCCTCAGAGCTGGATTCCTGAAGCTGTTCCAGGCTCTCGAACATCCGGGAGGTAGAAATGTCATGGAAAGATCCTAAAAATAGACCAGAAATAGGTCAGGTTTGTGTAATTCTTATAAGTATTACAGTCAAATCTCATTATCTCAAACTCAACGGATCAAGAAAAAACTTTTGATTTAACTTTATAATATAAACAATAAAGTGCCACGCCACAGCATGATACGCCCGTCAAAAAATTACAATTATCTTAAACAATTAAAAGTGCAAGAAAATCATGTCAACCTTGGTAAAAATTTGTTTACATCTCCTGTGGTTTCATTAATTATCATATATTGCATCATTCAAACTCAACTGGTTGTGGATGCCAAAATGAAAAACAAAATTTGATTTATCCTAATTAAGCATTTGAGAAATATGAAGTTAAAAAGACACAAAGCTAATAGTAGTTAAGACTTCATTACTCCCAAGAGCTGAATTACCATAAAGCATGATATAAAACCATGGCATTTGGGATATCTGTAAAGTTCATAATATTATGTAATATCAAAATAGTTTATTATGCAAAATCAAATTAGTTTTAAGTTCAACATTTTAAAACTTTATAATATAACCAAAAATAATGAAAGTGAGTTCCACAATAAAATAAATCTCTGGTGTACCTTGTATCTTCATTAACATATACATTATAATTATACATGTGTATTATAAAACTTTCCTTCAAAGATTTGAAGAATCAGGATATGCCTAGTAAAAATAAAATAACTGTAGCGGCCTACTTTTTGTGAACACCTTCTACCCAAGATGTATCAGCACACAAAGTTTGGTAAGTCTAGGCCTTAGAGTATTAAAGTTATGAGCCGGACACGAGAAAAGCTAACAGACAGACGGACATGAAGCCTATAACATAATACGTCCCGTCTTAAGACGGGCGTATAAAAATAATTAAAATGAGTTCCACAATAAAATAAATCTCTGGTGTACCTTGTATCTTCATTAACATTTATAACCATACATGTGTATTATAAAACTTTCCTTCAAAGATTTGACAGGATATTATAAAAATTCCTTGTGAAAATGTAGTGGCCTCCCTATTTGTTAACTCTCCCTCCCACTCTCTCTCAGACATACTGGTGTAAAAGACAAACATTTCACTTGTGTTTATATCCTTCATGTATAGTTTCCATCACACCCTTAATTTCACAAGAAACAAACTCCACAAAATCAATCTCCTGTTTCTCCTATTTAAACTTACTTCTGGCTGAGATCAGCTGCCTAGAATTGTATCTTAAATCAGGAAAGATATTAGTTTTATTGTGAAAGGTAATCAATAACCTTGCCGAATTCTTACAACTCTTAACACTTTGAGGCTTTAGGACCATGAAGGGGCAGGCACATTAGGTATTAATGGCTATCTAGGAGATGCAGGACCAAATGTCTCTAAAGAGACTGTAGCTCAACTGTTTTTCACTAAAAATATATAATGTAGAAAAAACTCTTGGATTGTAACAGTTCGACAGTTTAATGTGTTTTCATATTTTTTCCCTAAATTAATGTATAAAGTTTATCTAGAAATCTGACTAGTGACTAGATCTGCTTGAGAAGTACTTCTTAAGATTTTTTTTAATATCCTAAGAATACCAATCATTAACATTCAAAACTGATTAGCAGCATAAGTTTCTTAATGTAGTTTTGTACGCTTATCAGAGGAAAACAAATATACAAGAAGTAGTGTTTTAAAAGAACTTCACATATTCTATTTCTTACATCAAACATGTCAAAGTAAACTGTCTTTAATTTACTGGAATAATGAAACAAAAGAAATTTTCATATTTGATACCTTGTGTGTCATTGTGTGACTAACACTTTATCAATATCAATATTTTGATTTTCTGAGACCCCTACTGACCTCCTTTGTGTTTTACTGATCCACTAAGGGAGCGTTTATGTATGGTCCCTGATGATGGCTTCCTGCCCTCCGGAGTGATTTTCCCCTGGTAATCAGGGTCAGATGCCTGTCGCTTAATGGCTGCAGCCTGGTCAAATGAGGTGGAGATCGGGATTTTAGGCATTTCTTTGACCTCTGTCTCATTCTCCCCTTCGGCTTCTTCCTCTGAAGTAAATTTCATTTTCTCCGCTAGAGCTAATTGAGTTTCCAGTTCTAGCCGCCGGATGTCACTGAGTTTGAGTCCGTAATACTCGTCCTGCCAGCACCAGGCTTGTCTGTGAGCTCGTAACATAGTTTTTCTTAGACCTGAAAAACATCAGCAGCATATGATTTCTTTTTCATAACAGTATTTCATAGTTAAGATTCAATAACACTCTGAGAAGAAAGATAACTCTTCCTGGGATCAATGGCTATGAATCCTTTATAAAATTGTCAAGTTAGTACTACTCTTTTTCAGAGTCTGGCAATTTCTCTTCTAACCAATAAAGAATAAGATAAGGAAATTATAACGGCTTGAGCATGTTGAAAAATTTCCAGATTTTTCAGTAAATCTTAAACAAACTATTTCATTTCAATATTCTAATGATTTAAAGATGACCATGCAACTGAAGATTGGGATGAAATTTTCTTCAAACAAGTTTAAGATCAAATGCTTCTATTCCTTTAAAGTCATGTTGTAACAAAAAATCTCTCTTTTTTTCATTACTCTCAAACCAAACATAAATTTCAGTAGTACTTCACCAACTAAAACTGAATTCACATAAAATCAAAAGCTGATTGTTAACATGTTCCATAACATACCTATGTCATGTATAAATCTCTCAATCTTGTTCTGCATCCCCCAGTATTTGAACTCGACTCGACACAGTTTGTATGCTGTCATGATACACTTCTTGCTTCCCGGGATTTTGGCCTCGCGAGCATACTCGGCTCGCCAGTTGTCTGTCAGAGGACCACGGCCCGTCTTCTGAGATTTGTAAATTTTTGGATCCTCCTCTTTTTTGTAGTCTCCGCTGGAGATGGGGTCTTTGACAATGTCTAAGTAATCTGTAAATTGACAAACAATAAAAACCAGATCTAGAAAGTTTTGCAAATCATCTTAATTCTTTTATAATAATTTTTGTAATTAATAGAAAGTTTTTCTCATTTATAGATAGGTGTATCTCATTGTAATACCGTATAAGCAGAGATTTTAGTGAGGATTTAATTTTGGCATTATTAGCTAGGGTGCTGAAATCGCTAAAATTAAATACATGTATCACTTAAAATTAATTGCTTTTTCTTTGTAATAGCTTCTATAGTGAGCATTTTTAAAATCGCTAAAATTACATTTTGCCAAGATTAAAGGACCAATTTTTAAGGACAAATCGCTAAATTTGCCTCTCGCTAAAATTTCAACTTATATGGTATATTTTTTTTCAAATACTGGTTTTGCTCATAAAAAAAAACCAAAACAAAACCAGTCCATTTTTGGCTTATAACATTTAAATTAAGAGGCTTATGTTTAGAAAGACCACAGATAAAACTTTTTTTGTACTATCACTATAGAACCATAAAAAATGTGAATTTATTGTTGAAGAAAAAACTGAATGATACATTAGTGTGACAATGTTCTTGAGAAGTCAATATCACTTTAATCAGACATCAATGTGCAGACATTATAGACTAAGTCTGTTTTTATCTTAAATGACAGTCTTTGCCATAGGTTAAGAATACCAATACAGTATTACACAAACACAGAGCTAAATATGGGTTTCTGAACTCCATAAATAGCCACAGGAGACAGTAATTAAGATAACAGCTGCAAAGAGTCTCCATCAGAAATAATGTATCAGTAAAGCATCCAGAGGTTTAGGGTCGAGACAGATGTTTATAAGAGATATAAAAGAAACTTAATTTATATATTTCCTGCATTATGAACTTTTTAATTGCTTATTTGAGGAAAATTCTAGTTTTTTTTTAAATTCATATGTGACTTTGATCTACAAGACTTGTTCAGAAAATTCTAAATGCAGCTGCATGCTACTGGTTTTCCCCAAATTCTGAGCTTTATACAATTTGTCTAGGATGCCTCACATTTTCTAGTGTATCAAATAAATTGAACTGGCATTAAAATAAAAACAAATAAAAAGCAAAAGTCATTTGATTTTGCCTCTTTTATATTTTTCCACTATTTTTTTTTTCAATAATGGCAGGTATGCCTCTGCTTTAGAGTTCAAATATACCCGGTAATAACTGTTTTTTTAGCTCACCTATGACCCCATTCTTGAGTTCACATGGGGTCAGATTGAATACATTATCTTACTGTTTTCTGAGCTCACCTATGACCCTGTTTCTGAGTTCACTTAAGAAATAAACAACAATGTTAAAAGGTTCTCTGAGAAAATGAACTTTTAGTTGGTCAAGTGTTCAAATCCTGTGAAGCCCGAAGGGTTAAAAAGGTTTAAGTGCGGTTTTGGGCTAGGATATAGTATTCAAAACATTATAACATCGTAAGAAGTTTTATTGTACAACTCGTGATTGAAAAATATTAGGGATGGCAATTTCTAACCGGTTAATCGATTAATCGGTCGGAACGATGCTAATCGGTTAGAAAATTCGTAATCGGTTAGTCGGAAAAAATAAAATTTATGTAAATTTGAGCGCAGTTTCCTTAAAATCCCCTACTTTTTTTTTTAGAAAGGAAAGCGCTGCATGCATATTTTTTGGTGTTTTTACACATCTTATAATTAAGAATATTTGGAGGAAATTATAGCTCTCCTGATTGAGATGACAGGATAATTGGTCAATTGGTAAAGAGTTAATTACTGTTTTTATAACTTCATGCCATTACTCAGATCGTCAAGTTGTTTTTTTAATGATATTAAAATCATCACCGTTAAGCACTTTTAATTATAGAATGTATATATTTTGCCGTTATCTATTAAATTATATTATCATAAGGACGTTGTAAATTGTAAATTAAAAGAAAGTTCAGACATTGACTACATGTAGTTCTGATTACGGTGACAGCGCATAATTAACTTCTTTAACATCTGCGTTGGAAAATTATCCCTGTCTGATTTCTCAAAGCAAGATTCATGGTTAACTTAATTTTTTCTTGTCTATTGAAATTGAAATAAAATATTCTCTTATGTACATAAAATTTCCCGATCAAAATAATAAACAGAATGTAACTTCTTACATCTTTTTAGCCTTTTTGTGTATATGAAAAGAAAAGTCAAAATGTATTTATCTTGATACGACTAACCGGTTAATCGGTCGGAACGTTTTGCGGTTAACCGATTAGCATTTCTGCAATCGATTGCCATCCCTAAAAAATATCCATATATTTTATTTATTTTACCTTTCTCATTAACTTAACATATCACCTCGCTCTGTGATTCGGTTGCATTATGACCTCTGACCCCCAAATAACATTCACATATGGGGTCAGATTGAATACAGTATCTTATTGGTTTCTCAATAGCTCACCTATGACCCTGTTCTTGAGTTCAGATGAGGTCAGATTGAATACATTATCTTCCTCTCCTCCATCATTGAGGTACCTGGTCTCTATTTCCAGATACAGTTTCTCCACAAAGGGGCACCTGTACCGAGTCTTTGTGTAGGGATAGGCATTCCAAGCCTCCTCCTCAACCCGAAGAGCGGATTTTGGCAGAATAGCTCGAAACCAGCCTAGAAATAAAAATCAAATAAATAAATAAACAGGTCAGGTTCCTGAGTTGCTATTCTGAGTGTTTGTTTATTTGAAATACTAATGTAGAACTTTTTTCCCCATGACAACAGAATTAAAGGTCATAAGATTACTTGATTACTTGTAACATAATAAATTCCCTGGATTTAGAACTCTCAGGGGCTTACAGCTGCTGCTACTGTCAACAAATGATGCTGATAGCAGAGATAAAGCAGGTGTTATTTCAGTGACCCCCAACAGCTAGGCACCCTTTTATGATGCATAAAATTTTCAAGTGCATTACATCAAAACACTTTATCATGAGATTATTAAACATAGGATAAATCCATTCCCAAATCTTTTGTATTCAAAAGACAAGAAAGTACCAGTAAATGTATCATTTCCAAATTTTCCTACATAGCCCTCTAATATATAACCTTTATTTGATCCTAGTTTTCTACCTGGTAAATGGCTTCCCACATTGTAGATTTTGAAGATATACTGGCCCTTCCCCCCACCTCCGCCCCTGGGACTAATCTGACCCCTTCCTACAAGGTAAATGGCTTCCCACATGGTAAATTTTGTTGGTATACTGACCCTTCCCCCCCCCTTCCCCCCAGGACTAATCTGACCCCTTCCTACCTGGTAAATGGCTCCCCACATGGTAGATTTTGTAGGTATACTGGCCCTTCCCCCCGGGACCGTCTTCGTACGGTTCATTTGTGATGATCTCCACTCCACTGCCTTCTCCATGGCTCTCTTCACGACTTTTTCTCTGGAAAATTGACAGAGAAAACCTTGAACATTTTGAGCAATAAATTTTGAAGAAAAAGCTAATATCCATTAAATATGGTTCTTTGGTATGAAACAAGGAATAATGTGACAGGGCTAACTTTAACACTTGATCCTGACCTAATGATTATTTTAAATTATTAATGACTAAAAAAAAATGTCTCAAGTCAAATTATGATACACTGTAGTCTAGCGGTATCTAGATTGTCAGCTTCAGTTTAATTCATAAGAATTTTCACATGAATCATGTGAACTGCTGTAAAACTTTATTATCTGAAATACATAGATATGTTGTATAGCTGAAAACTTTTTCTTTGATGTCTGAGTTTGTTTTATCAGTGACAGGAATTGAAGTGATTTGATTCTCCAAAACATTCATATCCAAAGATGCAAAAACTGAAACTATATATTTCTTTTCTTTAAGGTAGCCTGATTAACTCTAATCTGCCTTCCCCAGAAGTGTGAATTAACTTAATATAATGTTCTTTAAGTAATCAAATATACAACACTGTGTACGCCCGTCTCTGATTCTCAGCCATAGGACTGATAGGAGTACTAACGGACTGTACTGATATGAGAATTCTGTGTGATCTGTCGTAGTACTATGCCATGCTGAATTCGATCAGTGTGTAATCTATTATTTTTTGTTGGTAATTACAGTTTTAGATGAAGTCTGTAGACTGTTAGAGCCATATGATTATTATCATTACTGAAGCTGAAGGATTTCTCAAGCTTCCACATCAGCCATAAATTTACCATAGTATCTTCATTAAGATGTCATAAGCTTCAAAATCTCATCTACTTATTGTAGAAACTAGCTTTAGTAAGTCAAAAATAGCATTATTTGGTGCAACACAGTGACTTATTATACATTTCTAAAAAGCTGATTTAGGGACTCTATGTCCCCAACTTAGGAGAAAAAAGGGTGAATTTAGCCAGACAGAAATGCAGAGGAAGAAAGAAAGAAAAATCTTTGAATTAAAACTCAACAGGGGCCATTTAAATTTGAAATTTATTCTTTCTATAAAAGCTTTTTGTTGTCTGTTGAACATGTAGGTAGGAGGATTAAAACCTTATCCTGGTCATGGCCTTTTTTCTCTCTCGATCGTAGTATTTCTTGTAGCAATGACTAAACACTTGTAAATAAGTTATTTTCTGAAAACTATGTATGCAATATATGAATCGCAATAACCAAAAAGAACTTTTTCACCAGGGAACAATTTTATTAATTTAAATATAATTTTCAACCTTAATTGACTTTTTGACCTGAAAATCAGTAGGGATCTTCATTAACACATTGGGATGCGACATAAAAATAATTACTGCAAATTTAGCTAGCTCAAAGAAAATTTAATGGTAATATTGGAAAACCATATATATTACAATTTATTTTGTACAATGTACAATGAATTCTGATCTGAACTTTTCAAATTCAAAATCAATACTGGTATTTTCAAGGCCACATCTAATTGTGACCAAAATATTCATTGCAAAAGCTCAAAAGCTTTTTTTTTAAAAAATGCCTAGAAACAAGTGTTACACACAGACAGAATGTATGGATTTCTGACCCTGACCTTTAACCTTATTACCTCAAAATCAATTAGGGCTACTGTAAACGTATTACATTTAGCGGTGTATTCTAATTAGCGATTTTGGCGGAATGCAGAGTCCGCTAATTCAAGTACATCGCTAAATGTTTTGTATATTAATATTCATAACCAGCACATTCAGGTAGAGCTAAATCAAATCTACACTAACTTGTTAAAAATTGAATTTCCGCCAAATATCGTACACGCCAAATGTAATACATTTACAGTATTCTTTTAGACATGTAAATAGTGAAGGAATAAAATTTCACTGTGAATGCTCATCTGGAAACCAATTTTTCAATGTATGAACTTTTGACCTAGACCTTTGACTTTTTGTTTTCAAAATGAATTATCTTCTCTTTTAAAAGCCCAGTTGTGGAGTTGTGAAATTAAAATTTCATCAAACAGGCTCGAAGGCAATTTGAAATATCGACCAGACACACTTCATACAGCTCATAGACAGAACAAAATTAATATGTTGCATTGTCAATGAGAGCAGGGAAGAAAAAAAACTCCATAAATTGGTAGTCAAATTCTGAAAGAACTTCAAAAATATTCTAGTTTTAAATAACTTTGAAACCTTTGGATGTTCAACTAACAGAAAATGAATACTTTAAAAAAATTGTATACCATGACATACACATACATGTATAGTGACATTTTTACACCTGTATCATAATTCATTTAAATGAAGGAAAAGAGTTTGGAGTACATGTAGTAGCATTTTTGAAGAATTGAACAATTCAACAGCTAGATAAACTTGAATTTTTATTTAAATCATGACATGTCCCATGCAGAGAAATTAATAAGTCGGGACATGTAAGTTTAATTTGACAGCCTTGATCTGCATTGCTGGAACTGAAATAAATTTTGAAGAAAACAATTCTGACAGACAAGAGTCATTGTATCAATGGATAGACGCCTCTCGATCAATATAAATATGGCATACAACTAGACAACAATCAATCAATATTATTAACTCAGATCAATATTATAAACTCAGTCAGTTTTTTTTCAGACAAAACCATTTTCTTTTTTTTCATTTTCTTCAGACAGTACCATTTCCTTTAGGTTCTGAAGGAACCTTATAAACACCACTCAACATGCTCAATGTACATATTAATTTTCACCTGTCTGTTACTGATTTACAGGTATATAACAGACTCACCTGTATCATGTAGAGCTGGGCTATACGATATTCCTCCACGCTCATAGGCAGGGGGATCCTGTACTCCTTAATTAGCATCCTGTTAATTAATTCCTATTTTTAAATTAATGTTCCTCACTTGATGATCACATCACAGCTGACTCCCTAGTGTCCAGTCTGAATGACCACTCCATGTATAAACATCCACACACAACAAATCAATAACAGATTAATTAACACATTGTCATATTAAAGCTGCTGCTCGGATCCCCATTAATTAAGGTGAAGGAAGTATACTGCCTGCCAAGCCATCTTTAATTTCTGTCCGCATTTATCTGAAATATTAAAAAAAAATAAAATCCATTAGTGTCATTCGTTATATATGATGAATCAGGCCCTGTCTCAGAACAATACAAGACTTTTAATATTAACATGATCACCTGTAATAGACAATCCTAATACTGTGGTGATAATGTGCCATGGATCCGTCAGTTGTCAACATGGTACAACTATGTTCTATTTATTACCCTATCCTTTCAAAACCTCCCCCACCAAAACAAATACCAACAGTGGTATTAATACACAATGACTTGTACATAAAGCATTTTGACTTTCTGTAAAACATTACTCAAGATAAGTGGAATACAACTGCAAGGGCTGTGTCATTTCCTTTTCTAAAAGTTGTGATTTAATTTCCTGAAAAATGTCTTTCCTCTGGATCATGATAAAATCAGTTTGTTGTAGAAAAGCTTTGGTATATATGTCATATCAGCCTGCATGAATACATAGCTCAGATGGTATAACTAGAAGAGCACTACGCTGGGGTCCTGGGTTCAATTCCTGGCCCAGACATTTTCCTTTACCCTACTGCGTGTACGTATTTAATATATCTGATCCCTAAAATACTGTAAGAATGGTTCTATCTCAAATTTTTAAAGCAATGTTTTCCACTTACATGTAGGTGTACTTATACAAAGTACATTATCTGAATTTATCATCCATGCTAATAAATTGATTTTCTGATCAAAGACTCGAACCCAAGAGAGTCCTAGTCTGAAAACAGAACATTATCTACCCTGAATCGCATATAATTCTCCCAAAGATCACACCCCTAATACCAACATCCACAACATCAATTGGACTGAACCTTCTGTATAATGTTTTCCTCGGGGAATGAAATACTTATACCTAGGCACTTAGCCATGTCTACAGTCATTTAGCTACGCACAACCCTGTGCACTTTGGCTCTGATAGAAGGAGTTAGTGATGATAACGTCTGTATGTTTCCTTCACCCTTAGCTGCTACCACAAACTGCTACCACAAACTAGAGGACATTAATACACATAGTGCTTCTATCATCACTAAAGGTCACTCCTGGCAAGTTATTTATCCGATTTCCCAGCCTTATGAAATATGGTTACATCACATCAAATGGCACCAAAGAAATCTGCATATTTTTTTCTTTTGAATATCAGCACATGTACTTGTTCAAAGCTAGCTGTCACACATGCAGACAAGGTTAAATCTGTTGTCCTTTTGAGGTATTTTATTTATGTGTCCTGTTTAATATACCATGGTAATAGATTTAGTTAGAAATGGTTAGCTGTTAAACAGGTCACCGGTCACAAAGAGAACAGAATGATGTGTCCCTCAATACCTGGCATCGGTTGATTTCGTTGGGAGGTCAACTTTGACCAACAATAAATGTTTGATGGTGCCGTACTTCCTCCCCCTTCCCCAGCCAAAAAATACCCCAGTAATAGTTACCGTATAAGTGAAAATTTTAGCTAAACACAAATTCAGCGATTTCTACCTCAAACTGGTGGGTTTTTTTTTAGCGGGAAGTAGTTTAAGGGATTTTAAAATGCTAACTAAAAAAGCTATTACATGTAGTAAATAATAGTTATACGCAATTGATTTTCAGTGATATTCAATTTTACAATGTTAGCACCCTTGATAATAATGCCAAAATTAAATCCTCGCTAAAAAATTCTACTTATACATTACTTTAAAAAATGCATTCTTAAAAAAAATATCTTTTTAAAACATCACATATATATACAGCTAGATAACAATACTCACTTTGAATGTTACTTTCAATATCCATAATTTTGATTAAGAATCCAATCAAATCAAAGTTAACTGATTTAATTTAGTCAACATGTTCAATATCCTTTATAAGGTTCATACTATTAGATGAAAAGTTCTTTTAATATGATCGAATAAATTCCCTTTAATCCATGAACTGAAAAACTGGTCAATAATAATTTACAAAAGAATACAACAGATAATTAGTTACAAAGGTTTTAAGTTTATGCTACCCTTGGTAAGGTTTCTGAACTCTTGAAAAAATGCTAGATCCACATTAGATTATCTGCCTGAATGCAAAATCTGATCTCTTTTTGTTTTGGTCCAATCTGTGGAATGGACAATAAAAAATGTCCATTCATCCAAGCTTTATAATTCTGTTCTATATGGATTTCTGTCTGGTGGTAACATAATGAAGACTTCCGTTGTTATACTGGATTAAATCTGACAGCCTCCAGATGATACAGAAACTTTTTTACACTGATGAACCTCTGCCAATTTAAGCTTCATAAAGCTTTAAATTCAATCTTTTCATGAATAAAATATATTCAGTGAAACTAATATTCCATTCAGATATTAACTTTCTCAGAAATTTTGAATATAGTTCGAGGTAAACTTTAAGTCCCTAGCAATAGCTTCAGTTGTTAAAAAATATCTCATCTAAAATACTGTCTATTCCAAACAATATCTTTGGAACCTGATCATCTTAACAAGCCAAGGGTTTTTGGTCTGCTTCACTCCCCTTTATGTGGGGAGTGAAGCGGACAGAAAACCCTTGGTTTGCGAAGATGGAACCTGAGTGGTATATTAGTTTTACTGTACGTTAAAATGTTGGTTTTTCAATTGTTGATGATACTTTTTCTATCTTTAGAGTGTTCCAATCACAGATATTTATTTTGTAATTCTTTTACAGAGATGTCAGAGAGTTGATGTATCGAGGGTGTACCTAATTATGGCAGAAGCCTATCTTTTTGTTCTTAAGATATGACAGTAACCAGGGTAAAAGAATGGTGCAATAGACATGTTAGAATTTGGGGGGAAATGATGAGGATATTGATGAGTTTTGTATTCCTTTTGGAATATTGCAGTATGATTGGTGAATGCATGAGTAAATTCCATAATGGTGAAACCATGATGGCTAATGAAATAATTTTATATGAAATGGCATTCATTAAGTATGTCTTCATCATGTTAATAGATTTCATAATTTATATATAAAATAATACATATTTGTGTGAGAATTTGAAAGATAAAAAATTAATTTTAATTATTTGTGACAGGTTGCATATAGCATTCCTTATGAAGAAATTCTACAGAATATCAAGGTTAATTGTAAATGTATTACATTTAGCGTGTACGATATTTGGTGGAAATTGAGTTTTGAACAAGTTAGCGTAGACTGAATTTAGCGCATTTCTTGTCGTTCTTATTTACGTATATAAGTACAAAACATTTAGCGTTGTACTTGATTTAGCTGAAGTATCTTTCCGCCAAAAGAGCTAAAAAGAATACACAGCCAAATGTAATACGTTTACAGTATACAATATATCAGTCTCCAACTGGACTTAACCTGTGCCTGAGTCATTATAATTATATACTCTGATAAATATCTTTGTAAAGTAGAACTTTATGTGCACCCTCAAGGAGTTTCATCTGACAGGTGTATAAAATTATTTCCCAGTGATGTTGTTTAAAAAGTGATGTCTTTTACAATATTACATTTAAAATTTCTTCACACTATATTAAATTAATGTACCTTTAATCCAAACTTCTGTCATACATTAAAATTTTAATATCTCTTCAGACTTTTAAAAAGCAACAAAAGAATTAGGATTGAAAAGTTCACACGATTTACTATACAGTAATACTAAAACAAGTCAATATCTGTCAGACAATATTACTCTAAGGTATTGAAATATATCATATATCTGACAATATCCACAATCAATATGCAAACACAGAAAAAACAACAGAGTCTGCACAATCATGTCATCAAAACAGCTGAACAGTTACCGCTAATACATGAGCATGGACATCCATCAAAAAATTTTCTATATCAAATTATACTACGTTATAGTCATTATCACATGGTCATGATGCGAAAACATTGTAAATTCTATGATCATGAAATAGCTGTTGAACTTTCCTGTGATAATATATATAGCCTGGAAAGTGTACAGCATCATCCAGGAGACTGTAATCATTAACTGGAATATTCAGTGCCCTATCCTCACCTCTGTAATAAAGGTGTACCTGGTACATGTCTATAATTCATACATGATGAACATAATCACTGTTCATCAGACCTCATTAAAAAAAATATTCATGAAGTGTTCCCCATTATATATAGATACAATAGTATTCTGCATTGTATTTTTATAAGAGAAAATTTCCTACCCATCACTGCCAGTCTAAATTAACCATACAACAGGCATTAGTCTATTAATTCTACATGATTTAGTGTTAGGTCTATACAGCTTCCTCAAATCTGGCATAGGCATCTTCACGAAAAAAACAAGAAGCACACAAATTATTACCGTAATATAGCTGTTACAAGATCTCAGCTGATATGGCAGTGAGAGAGAGAGAGAGAGAGCAGTGAAAAATTCCAGGGATCTGTAACAGCTCATTTAAACCATAATAAAGAAACACATATAATCTTCACTTACTGTCTTTAATTAAACTCTGACAAGGATAATATCAGAGTCCAATTTCTTACATTATTAACAAAGAATGATGATGTCATTATGTGACACAGGAAGAATTATAAATGTATTGTAACCTCAGCATTTAAAATCGAGTCCTGCTTGTTCAGTAAGTTCATGGTCACCTCTAGCTAGCTAGTTCACCCCTGTATTACAGTGCTCTGTGGTAATGTCCTGTTAACTATACACTCGTCTTGGTATTCCACCATATTTCTTTCTGTCTACTTCATTTGTTAAACAAGATTTTACCAGATACACTAAACAGAAAACAATTAAGACTATACACTATCTAATGCTACTCACCCACTGCTTTGTATGGCACACACAGCTTCAGGCCAGCAATTCCTGTGTATTCCAAAAACTTCACACTCCAACAAAATCAATGGCGGAGATTTCCTTCAGATTACACCACAAATTCCTCCATGTTCTTTAAAAAATCTGGAAAATTTTTAAGAAGAGGCTATAAGTGTCCCTTGTTGCTGCTGCTGATGGCTCATTAGCATCGGCGAGATAATTATACACGGAATCAATAGTTCCATCTACCCTTTGTAGCCCTATAGCGGGCTCAGCTTCTACGCACCAATATTGATCCTAAAGCTCGTTCCACATATACACAACTACTACCTTTAAAACATGCAATAATTCCAACTTTATTTATAAATAAAAAGTGTGTGGGCAGGGTGGTCGCGATGAATAGACATCTTCCCAGTCACATTAGAGTGCTTTCTTGATATAATTCATAAAGTCCTTTCCTGTTCCAATCAATGAAAACTTCTATACATTTCCAATTCACATAAGTATTTTATATTATCCAATATATAGCTATTAAATGAAGCTACAACTGTTTGCATGCAGGAATCTAATTTGATTATTATTAAGTACAACAAAACCACATCTGTTTGATATGTCATAAATTTTGATACCTCATTCAGTGCTGAATACTTATACAGCATCATTATAAAAAATCTTAAGTATTAGTAAGATATATTTTAAAGAAATTTGTTGTCATGCTTCGAATGTCCATGTTTGTTTAGCTAGAGAAAAGATTACCACTTTCATAAAAACATAGGTAATCAGAGATTACAGAGCTCACCTCAACGAATGTTGTCTTTAAGTAAGGCAAAGTCACACAATTAACCAACAAAAAGTGTACATTCCAGAAATGAAAATATTTAAGCAATTTTGATCGAATACATTGAAATAGACCTACATAAAAAATTTAAACTAGTTGTTCATGAAAATGTAATTAAAATTAAGCATCTGAAGCAAATTTGAGAGTTTTCATCTCCTGATGCAACATTTGTGCAAGTTTGGTTTGGTTTATACAATGTTATATAAGCCTTCAAGTTTTTTGGTAATTGACCTGCACCCATAACTTTTACCCGGTCTATTATCTGAAAAAATGTATGTCGAATTCAGCATCCAAAGTAAGTCCATTAGTGTGCATCCTAAGATGTATCGTCCATGCAAGTTTGCTCATTATAGGGCTCATAGTTAATTGGAAATGATACATTCATCACAAACTAACATTTTCACTCATCCACAAAATGTAGGTCAGATTCAGCATCCGAAGCAAGCCTGGTAGTATGCATCCTTAGATAATCATACATGAAAGTTTGGTCAACATAGTGCTAAAAGTTACTTGCAAAAGAAACCTGCACCAAAAACTTTAACCTGTTCACTCAACCAGACAATGTAGGTCAGATTCAGCATCTGAAGCAAGCCCGGTAGTATGCATCCTTAGATGTATCATCCGTGCAAGTTTGGTCATTAAAGAAGTCATAGTTACTTGGAAATGAATTATGCATCAAAAACTTTAACCTAGCTGTTCACTCAACCGGAAAATGTACATTGTAGATCAGATTCAGCATTCGAAGCAAGCCTGATAGTATGCATCCTTAGATGTATCATCGATGCAAGTTTGGTCAACATAGGGCTTATAGTTACTTGGAAATGAAACCTGCACCAAAAACTTTAACCTTAACACTCAACCGGAAAATGTAGGTCAGATTCAGCATCCGAAGCAAGCCCGGTAGTATGCATCCTTAGACGTATCATCCATGCAAGTTTGGTCAACATAGGGCTTATAGTAACTTGGAAATAAAACCTGCCCAAAAAAATTTAACCTGTTCACTCAACCGGAAAATGTAGGTCAGATTCAGCATCTGAAGCAAGCCTGATAGTATGCATCCTTAGATGTATCATCCATGCAAGTTTGGTCAACATAGGGCTTATAGTTACTTGGAAATGAAACCTGCACCAAAAACTTTAACCTGTTCACTCAACCAGAAAATGTAGGTCAGATTCAGCATCCGAAGCAAGCCTGGTAGTATGCATCCTTAGATGTATCATCCATGCAAGTTTGGTCAACATAGGGTTTATAGTTACTTGGAAATGAAACCTGCACAAAAAAATTTAACTTGTTCACTCAACCGGAAAATGTAGGTCAGCTTCAGCATCCGAAGCAAGCCTGATAGTATGCATCCTTAGATGTATCATCCATGCAAGTTTGGTCAACATAGGGCTTATAGTTACTTGGAAATGAAACCTGCACCAAAAACTTTAACCTGTTCACTCATCCGGAAAATGTAGGTCAGATTCAGCATCCGAAGCAAGCCCAGTAGTATGCATCCTTAGATGTATCAACCATGCAAGTTTGGTCAACATAGGGCTTATAGTTACTTGGAAATGAAACCTGCACCAAAAACTGCACCAAAAATGTTAACCTGCTCCAAAAACATTAACCTGGCCATTCCTTTGCTGAAATTGCAGCATCTGAAACTTTGACTGGTACAATGAAACACATTAGAAGCATCTTCCATGCATGTCTAATCAATATAGGACATATAAATACTTAAAAAGAAAACTGCTCCAAAAAACTTAACCTGGGACGCCAACGCCGACACCGACGCCGACGCCGAGGGTATTACATAAGCTCCCCCAACTTCGTTGAGGTGAGCTAAAAATAAGTTTACAAATCTGAGGTAAAAAAAAGACAAAAGCATGGATAACTTCTGGTATAACTTCTATATAATTGAAATTCACCAAATTAAACTTTTTCTAATTAACACACAGTTTTCAGTTTATTTGGCAGTATTAAGTAATTTGGATGAGTATATATCTCCTGTTTTCTCTGCCCAGTCTGCGATAAATCTGCAGTTCAGCTATCGATTCTGTGTTCTCAAGGCTTTCCCTACATGGAAAATCTCAAGAAACCACCAAGTGATATTGGCAAGATCTACCAGGATCAATCACATACACCCATGTCATATAAAATCCTCCATACACTGTCACATGATAATTTACTAAGGTTCAAAATACTAGAACCTTGAAAATACTGGAAATAGGGTGAAAATACTGAACACTGCTTATGACAAAACTTGCACAAAATTATAATTGACAAAATTATGCCAAAATTAAAAGATATATCATATTTTCATAAATAAATTTCAAATAAACAAATGTACAATAGCATGTAGTGTTATTAGTTGCTGCATGCATATAAATTTCCGGTCTGCATTAAACTCTGAATTCTTGCTCTGTATTAGATGAACAGTTACAACTCAGGGCTAAGCAGAACAATTATAAATGTTAGGCTAGTGAGCTGCCAATATTATGAAATGATAAATTGTGAAGTGGGGGTCTTGGGACTGCCATATAGATCTGCTAAATATTTTTTCCCATTGATTTAGATCACAAGAGAAGGGGACAATGACAATACAAGCAAGAGCTTTAAGGGTTGTATCTTTAATTATTATGGAAGTGAAGAATAAAGGTGGAACCTGGTATTTTTAACTTTGCATGGAGGAAAGAGGAAAACAGGGGAATAAATAGAGAAATCTTAAAGTGTATTTTAGCTGCTGAAACTTATTATGAGCCCGATGCAAAAATCTTTAGGGTTAGCAGCTCTTAAGAAATCATGGATCCGATATTCCGATATGGATTGAAGTGTCAATGTCACACACAGTTGGCTTTGATTTATGTTCTTTCCCTTTGACATGTCTTAATTTTAACTTATTTAATAGCAAATTCTTCAACACCAATGGTGTGTGCTATACAGATACCCAGATGATCAATGAATATACTTTAGTAAGTTAAGTACTTTATACATGTATATAATCAGTATGGTAATGAGAATAAATAACAAATTTGTTTCAATATGGTATAGTATCATGAATACTAAGCTAACCAGAGTATTTAAGAATCACTATTACATACACATACTGTATTTTACCGGTAAACATTAATTTTGACGTAAACCAAGATAGCATGGTTTTTAGGGATGGGTATCGCCAAAAATTTCGTATCGCGATATATCACGGTTTTTCCCCACAATATCACGATAATATCATGATATTTTTTAAAGCAGTTTTTACAATGATTTTATATGAAAAGTCATTATTTTTCTAAAAAATATGCCATAAAAACAAAATTTTACTTTCTTGAAATTTTTATGTATATAAAATGAATTATGTTTGGACGGTAAGATGCCGTTCTTTTCACTTTTTACAACATTTTTTATACGTTCTGTAATTGTAATTTGAAAGATTGAACAAATAAATGAATAATTTCTGGACTTTATAATATTTAACTAAAGACCGGTATTTAGGTCTCCGTATCACGATACGTATCGCGCAACAAAAAATCGCGATATACCGGTATACCGATAAAATCGCACATCCCTAATGGTTTTAGAAATAACTTCTGCAATTAATTTATATCCTATAGTTTCTACTTTTGCATCCTATATAGTGGGAAGTGAACTATACAGAACAAAGATCTCAGATTTTTTTGTTACCTTGATTTACTGCTCAGAATGTTCTTATAAGGCTTATTCCTATCTCAAAATTCATTCTTCATTAGGATGTGCACTAGACATAATAATGCTACAAAATCATTGAAGAAAACATATGTGAATTAAAAACATCATCACTATAGGAGTTGAAATAAAAAGGTTGTCTTACATTTACATGTAGTCTGTTTACTCCAAGCATGTTGAAATATAAACACTCTCTAAGCATGTTAAGATAAACTGTCTGAATAGATGCTAATTTTTAAAACTTTACTAAGACAGTCTGGAGATTCAAAAGTTTAGCTGATAAAATTTTCTTCATATACCAGTGTATCCTGTAGTAAAGAGAGTTTCCCTTTTTAATCCTTATAACTGGGACAAAAATAAAATCAGTGCAGTTACTTAGCTTAAATGCATCAGAATAGCCCCCCCCCCCAATTTGCCTGCCACCTACATGCCCAGGAATACAGGAAAGGACTTTTAAACAATGCATTTTCACAACAAAATCAATAGTCACATTCTATAGCTAACACCAGTGAATTTCACGTTTTAGAAAGGAATCCTTGATCATTATGATAATTTTTTTTTAATTTATCTGCTTAATACTCAATGGCAGAGATGAAGATATTTTAAGAAATAATGCACTTTCAATATACATGCATAAACAATTAAGTTAGTTTGTAACTCAATAAACAATGAAGTTCTTCCCCTTTACAACAGAACCCTGTACTTATGGGCCATATGAATTTATTTTAATGATTTTAAAAGAGGCTCCCTTACCTATCATAACTACATCCTTAGTTTATTTGCTTTACACTCAGGGGACAGAGAAAAAGATTTTCTAAGAATTAATGCAATTTACTATGAAATATGTGGAAATATGAACAGTATTTGGGAGAGGACTATCTAAGTTTTTGGAACTTGTGTCCAATCCCTTTGACTTGTTGTCAATAAAATATGTTCAAAACAACAGTATTTGAGCTCAAATGTCCATAAAACATTTGATTGATAGAGCCCCACCCAACTCAAGAACCCCTGACGTTGGGGCCATGAATTCCAATATGGGTAATGGAGTAAATGGACCCCAAAAAACCATTTGGTGAACTGGATCCAACCAGTTATTACAACAGAACATGTACTATACCCATGAGTGACTTATAAAACCGTCATAGCTGGTAATGTAGTGAATAGGTTTACTGGTTGGACTTGACTGACTTTGAAGCATGCTGGCAAAGGTGGGGGGCTATGAAGTCAGGGTGTAAGGTCATATTGAATACTGTAGACGTACTTTTTTCCACGAGGTCATAATTCGCGGAATCTTAATTTCTGTTCAATCCGCGTGTAGAAAATAACGCGGATTTCCTATATTGTCACTATATACCTTATACTTATATTAAGTACGCTTGGACAATTTTCTGCGTAAAAATTGTGGCCGCGTACATAGCGTAAATTAATACCATGTGGAAAAAAGTACTTCTACAGTACATTAACATATGCACATTTTTACTACATTCCTCCCCATCTTATTTTATGAAGTTAGTTGCAAATTTAATCAGAGGAAAGTGGGCCAATAATATAATTATACAGTAAAACTTGGTTAGTACGAACGCGGATATTGCAGATTCACGGATATAGTGAAGTTATCTTGGATCCCCAATTTAATAAATTTAATGAATCCTTATACGGATATAACGAATTACGGATATAGCGAAGTAATTTCACAGGTCCCAGTGACTTCGTTATAAACGAGTTTTACTGTATACATTGTATACATTATGCATATATATTCACTATGACCTTACACCCATGCCAGCACGCATCCCACTTCAGCAGACAGGGAGAGACATTAACTTTTATATTCACTTGTCCTTCGGGCAAGTGAACTACAATTTTGACTTGTCCGAATGCAAAACTTGGTAGCCCAAAATTTTTAAAGAGGAAAATACCAATTACTGTATCTCAGTTTTGTTGTAAATATTAAAGAGTGACAAATTAATTTCCATTTTGCAGTAAACTGCTGGAAAAAAGTTGATATGACAGTGAAGCTACATTTTTTAAATATATAAACCACTTTCCATCATTTACCATCCTAAAAACACACAGAGTACTGCAGGAATATTAGTTTCATATGATTTTTTCCACTGGGCTAAAAAATTGAAGGCACGCTAAAAGGAAAACAGTTGCCATGTTTTGAATCAAGATACATCATGCACCAAAAATAATTGGTGTTCCATATATTCCGTAAATGAGTAAACTATTCTGTAATATCTATATTATAATAAGATTGTAATGTAAGTTGTCTGACGGAGAGCATTAGAAATGTAAACTACAAACGAAAACAGAATAATGAACCCAATTTCTGAATAAAGGAATAATCCAAGAAATGCTACTGAGGGACTCCGAATGCAAAACAATGTCCCGTTTTGGGCGGAAATCAAGTGTTTAATTTATTTTGGTGTTTAGGCCATAATAAATAAATTGCTAGATTCTCTTCCGAATTTTTTTAAAAATCGAGGCGGGCGGGCGGGCGGCTTTTATTTTATATTTTATTTTTTTAATTTTGCAGATTTTTTATTGACCTGGTCAATCGGTGTAATTTTATCTACTATAGCCGAATAAAAGTCATAGTAAAGGTTCAATTATCTCTTACTTCACATCATCACCAATCTTTTTCAACCAATGACCCTTGTTTAAAATATATACGCATGTATTACAGCAATTACCATCTTTTCCGGCCTCAGCTGTCAAAATCATGTCGACTTTCGCGGGATTTAAAACGAAAGTAGAATGTTTGATGAATACCGATCCGGATCAGAATTAAGACGAAGAAAAACAGAAATAAAAAAAAATCGAGGCGGGGTATAAAATTGGGGCGGGCGGGGATGAGAATCTAGGAATATTTTTATTATGGCGGCCAGGCCTTATAAACTATGTAAGATTTAAAAAGTGTTTCTATCAGAAGTATCTACTTGCCCGATTGGACAAGTACATCGATAGTTTCACTTGCCCGAACTGAGAATTTATTTGTCACGGGCAATAGGACAACCATTAGTGTCGATCCCTGGCAGAGTCTTAATTTACCAGGCAACCAAAATATACAACTGTCGTTTAATTGTTCTTCTATATTATGCTGTATGTACCTAATATGTTTATTCATAATGTAGAACTAGATGTTTCCTCGTCACCTTTTACCATAAGGTAGGTGATAGTGCAAAATTAATTATTTTACTGCAGACATATACCTTTAGTTACAAAAATTTATCTATAAAATTTGCCCATGTCCTCTATATAACACAGCATTTTACTCAACGACTGTATTTATTTAAAATTGTTGACAAGATAAGGTTTCTTTTATCTTTCCATAAATAAAGGTTCATCTGATCAGCCATGGCATATCATAAATACTAACTTAGTGACCACCTGGCCTGACCACTGGTGCTCTGGTGACCATGAATGGGCATGATAGATTTTCAGTTAAATTTATTACATGGATTTAAAATAATAGCGAGCGCAGCGAGCGTCGCGAAGCGACGCTCGCGAAGCGAGCTCAATAGACTAACGTGTATGAACAGAAAAAAATATATGTGGAAATTCGGATTGAAATCTGTATATACGTCAGCCAAATTTCTCTGTGCAACATTCCCAGAATTCCTGCGCTACCCAATGTCCTTTGCGCGAATAAATCAAAAATAGTAAAAAAAAAAAATTAAAGGAACATTATTTCTTACCGAAATCTTAACGAAATGATTTTGCCTTACCTTATTCAAAAAAATACCCCCATGCCACAACACCGGCCTTCACCTTGCCCTTCGGAAATGATACAAATGACGTCACCGGAAACTTACGAAATTTGACGAAGTTATGTCGGTTGCTTCCGTGAAACTCGGAAAACATGTTGCGGTGCATAGCAACATGGTGGCTAAAACATAGCAACAACTTACTTGAAAAGAACGATTTGATGCAATCTCTTTTCCATAAAACTAGCGTTTGCGTCCTAAGTCAACAGAACTTTTTATCTGACGTCAGACTTTCGTCACTTCAACGGTTCGGGTATTTCCGATTTTGTCGGAAACTTCCGAGAAGTTTGGAATCTCGATCCCGATGCTTGGGAAATGATTTCTTTTTACTGTTTTGTTTTATTCTTTTTGCTTTCTTTTTCTTAACTGATAGACAGTACATGTGTAGGTTTATGATAGTAAATAAACTGCGCTCGCCCCAACGGTCACACCGTAAAACATATTATTGGTTTACACTATATATTGCACTTAAATGTCTCTTACCTTATGCTTAAGACTTCTATTCTTAGAATATTTACAAACATTCAGTGCATCACTAACGACATCAAAATCTGGGAAGTCAAGTGTTTTTTTTTTTCTGTCAACTATTGGGGCATTAGGACCCCACGTATCATTGAAAAAAAATATTTGACTATCATTAAGTATAAAATAGCAGAGAATTGTCGTAATTTTAATTTTTTGAAAATTCTTATTGAAGGGGGAATGGTATATTTTCAAATGTTTTCCTCGTTCATAAACTATTTTTGTAATAAGTATTTTTATTGATGATCTAAGTATCTGAAGAAAGTCGGGATCGACATTCTGAGTGACGAAGTTCCCGCCATCTTGAACGTGAAAAGTACTGTGTTGATCAGATGTAAAAATACAGGTATTGAGGCAAAGAAATTGTTTCTATAGTGGCCTTTATTACTTATTGAATTATTATACCTCATCGGCTTTATCTGAAGCATTATGTTATCATGAAACCTGTTATTTGATCTTATGTCATTGTCACACAGTAAATTAAAATGTCGCAGTTATTAAATTATTTTAACATCTCTTTCAGTTAATTTTAATTCATAACTAATTTACTATGTGAATTATATTCATTTATGTGGCTATACGTTTGGTTAAAGTACAGACTGAAAGCTGTAAGATTCGTTTTCTTTAAAATAAAGTCTTTTTTCATGTAAATACTAAATTTTATTTAGTCATTTTATCAATTCAGAAGCCGCCCCCCATTCTTTATTGTTAAGCTGAAAACACATTACCAAGGTATAAGTTCATTTTACCCATGCCATCACAAATATTAGTATGTTTACAGTGTCGCTGTTAAAAATATGTGATAGGATTACATCACAGGCGCTTGTTTCATATACTGTATAGGGGGAAAATAACTCGCGGTGTTAATATTCGCTATATTCGTGGTGTTAATAAATCCATGAATTCAAGAAACAGTGACTAAATTTTCAATAATTTCCATGTTTTATTTGGAAATTTGAGAATAGACTACGATAGATTTATATATAGGTGTACGTGCAGTACATGGTCATTTCAGTAATTACAAGTAGTACTGTCATTATTAATTTTGATTATCACGCTTTACTTTAATTCAAATCGGCAGATAATAAAATGTGTTTGTTCAAAAGCTGTTTTAATAGCCAACGCTACATGCTTCATCAATCAAAACGTGGGCCATGGGTTTTGATTACACGTGCGTAACTAATGTTACCTGCATATTAGTTCAAGTAGTTTTTATCGACATTTTGGTTTTAAAAAATCATTCAAATAAATATCGAATTATTTCGATGTGGAAGGATATTATTTCGTAGAACTACATAAATACATTTATTTCCGTCCAGTGGTTTTTCGCCGCGTTTTATTGAAGATCTTTGGTGCACATGCATATATCTTAATAGCATGTAAGAAAGTCATGACACTTAGGGACTTTTAATAGCTGTACTTGTTTTAATTAATTATTTATAAAATCTAACAATTTTATATTAACCTACCCTGTTGTTCATGAAATAAAGACATAACACTGATTAATGTCGTTTACATGTAGCTATGGTAAGCATTAAACAGATATAGACAAGGGAGGCAACTTCTATATACCAATCCGCAAATTCAAGAAACAACGATAGTGTCAGATGAGAGAAAAACCTGAAAATTACAACCCGTGAAATTAATCCCCTATACAGTAGTTCGCTAGTTTTATACTATATTATAACAAAACATCTTTTTTCAATATTGTTATTATATAGTATAAAACTAGCATACTGTATGAAACAAAAGCCTGTGTTATTATATAGTATAAAACTAGCACTGTATGAAACAAAAGCCTTTCTTATCATATAGTATAAAACTAGCGTACTGTATGAAACAAAAGCCTGTGTTATTATGTAGTATAAAACTAGCATACTGTATGAAACAAGCGCCTGTGGTTAACATATTTATATTGCTAAATAACAGTGCTGATTTAATTTAATTTAATTTCAAATTGCTAACTGCTATATCCATTTGAAACCAAGGTGATTTGTTTTTCCTTGGATCTTGTTACTGCAAGAATGTAGTATGTGGCAAGATGCAATTTCCTAATGATTGTGGTTCCAAAGTTACTGTGGAAAAAAAATCATTTAGATCAATGCTAAAGTCCTTATCACTTAACAGGCATTGTCAGAGATCACAGTGCGAGTACTGCTTTGTGCCGCTTGCTGCACTAGCTATAACTTCAACAGATGCAGCACAATCTCTTGATTTAGCTTTAATTATAGTTTTATTAAGCTATTAAGAATAACTCGGTAAAGCTATCTCAGTATAGTTCTTACAAATCTTTTTTTCCCCAAGAAATAGACAAAAGGTCACAAGTATTGATGACTCATACTTATAAAATTGTATGGATTGTTAAAAAAAGCAATCCAAATCGAACATTGTTTAAACATTGCTGCCTTTGAAATCTGTATGTATTTTGTTTGTTTGGGTAACACTACACCACCTTGCATGTGTTAAGCTAGTGCTGAGTGCTGACTATTATAGACCTCAATAAATTCATTTTAGCAGTTGAATTCTTGTAGGTAACCATGAGTGACTTTCAAGAATATCCAGATGTTGTCCAGGAGGTCAGAGGAGCATTGGTATGTATGAGACAAACTTCATAGACATAGGAAACAAGTCAGTTTACATAATACACTTAATTATTGACTGTCAAGAGACTTGATTATTTTTTTATACGCCCGTCTTAAGACGGGACGTATTATGTTATAGGCTTCGTGTCCGTCCGTCTGTCTGTCTGTTAGCTTTTCGTTTCCGGCTCATAACTTTAAAACTATTAGGCCTAGGATTATCAAACTTTGTCATCTGATGCATCTTGGGTAGAAGGTGTGTCGTGCACAAAAAGTAGGTCGCTCTGACCTTTAATTAAGAAGATATAGCCAAATATGGAAAAATCCTTTCCGGCCCATAACTAGAAAACTATAAGACTTACAATCATCAAACTTGGCCAGTTTATGCATCTTAGGTAGAAGGTGTGTCGCGACCTATTTCAAGGTCACTGTGACCTTTGATTTAAATGAAATTTAAAAAAAAAATGTGTCTTTTTACTATTCATTTACACATCCCAAATAATGTAAGAGTATTGCACTGTCCTTATTAAAAAAGTGTTAAATCAAGAAAATACTTATTTTTTTAAAGCACATACTTGACAGCAATCTATAACAAATATGTATGTTAAAGAAATCCTACCTCTCCCATGAGTGTAATTATCAAGCACTGGTCAAGACTCAAGAAGAATTTTGATAACAGAAAATTGCATGTCAAATTAGAGAGAAATTAATGAGTTTTGAGTGTGAGGAGTTCGCTAATAGCTAGAGCATGGTGTTATCTATATCCCTTGAGTATTGGGCAAATGTGTGAGCCTGTTGGATTAAAAATAGCTCTTGCTGGCTAGCCTAAGTTTTAAAATGAATTTAATGAAAAGTAATTAAAACTAATTTAATATTGCATAGTAGACTAATCTTATATTATATAAAATTGTTAATTTATAAAAACTAATTTTATGGGATTGGGGTGGAATCAGCATGTCCATATGAATTTTATATTAAAACCTGTCGGACATTAAATGTCAACAAAAAAAAATCTTTGAGTATTTCATATGTTTTTAAAAAAGTTATGGTAGATAGTGCAGACCCATTCATCTATTGGTATTAATGAGTAGACAAGCATCCAGTTAAAGATTAATTAGTGAGTTCAGGCTAGCTGTCTTAATCACTCTGATCAAGCTGTATGATGACCTTTGGGAATTAGACAGAAGAACTGTTGGTTAGTTTACAGCATACCGTAAATCTGGAAATTTTTACGTCGATTTATTTTTGCGACTTTGGGTCAAAAAGCTGTTGATTAATTTTTACGCTTCAAATTTTTGCGAATTGTCACTGGTGCTAAAAATAAAAATCACTGAAGATTTTCATATCAGGTTATTTTTCAAATAATATGCCCAGTATATCCACTAATATACTCGCAACGTGGCAAGAAATTGCAAAATTCTCCAAAACAATTTTGATAAAAATACAAAAGAATTTCAATGAAAATAATTTCTAAATCAATTATAACAAACATTTTAGAGGTTGTGTATGCCTTTGAACCTAAAGAATAATCCAAATTAAGAAAAAAAATATAACTAATTTTCTCAACGTTTGGTTTTTTCTCACCTAAAATTTACAGGCCGCGTTTACATTAGGAACTTTCTAGTAAATGCACTGAGTTTGAGTTATCGCCCATGTTGATACACGGTTGGATAAAATGACAGTTCTCTCTTTATTGGCAAATTAATTTATGAAAATAATTAAAAGGGGGCATACCGCCTCAGTGCTTGTCAAATCATCGGACGATATTGCATATAATGAGGGCAATTTACACGCACGGGTAATTAACTTGTAGTTATAGTAGACTAGTGTAAACAGGTTTCTTTTAAAAATGACCAGTGCTTACCGACGCCTATTAGTTAAAAAAAAAACACCACGAGTTCTCAGGAAAAAAAATCTTCACATGTTGATTTATTTTTAAGAAAAATATTTTTGCGAATGCACGGCACGCGCAAATTTGCTAAAAATTTATCTACAGTAAAAATTTCCAGATTTACGGTATGTCATTTGGTGGCCAGCCTTTTCTTTTCAAAATTAATTTGATATAGATTAATTTGTTAAGACTAATTTGATATTGTTTAATATGATGGGCATTTGACAAGGTCTAACACAACCAGCATAGAAATCCAGCAATGATGTAATATTTATTATAACTAATGCTTACATCACAGGGGGATGGATAAATATTTTTTAGGAATGGAAAAATCATGGAAATTTAGAATATGGGTTGACGTGATTGCAAGCTATACTGTTGAAGAAAATTGTAATTTTTGACGGGCGTATCATGCTGTGGCGCGGCACTTTATTAACTATTCAACTTTAATTTGGTTAATTTTTTCAACATACCAGTTCAAATTGCTTAAAAGTAAAATTAGAAAAGTTCTACTTGTATTTTAGAGCTTACCACAACTCTTGATTTTTTATTGGCCAGTGATTGATGTGCTTATGCTTTTTAGCAAACATTTGACATATATTAACAAGATTAGTTGTTATGATTTATTAATACTATGAACCATTTTGAGATCTGATCACAGCTTACTTATATTAAAGAGCAAGGAGTCAAGACATACTAAAAAAAAAAATTATTCTCTTCGTAGAATCCTGGCAGATTAAAATTACAGAGCAACAGTGTCATCTTTAAAAACAACAAAACTGGCAAGATTGACCAGTACCCAGGGACGGATGTGGACAAGGTTCACTGGTTAAAGCGAGCCCGGGGGAACTGCCTGAAATTCCTCTTGTCAAGTGGAACCATTCACAGATATGATGGCTTCAAGGAAGGGGTAAAAGATCAGAAAACAATTACTATGAATTGAAATCAAATGTTAAAAATCTGTATGTCCTCCTTTTCTCAAACTTCTCTATATTAACGTTATAATCAAATAATTAAATAAGTTTGTCAAAGTACTAATATCATTATTTTTACTTGTAGGAGTTTGAGAAACTCGCAGCTTTTATTTCCAAGTATTACATGGTGAGCTTAGAGAAGAAAGACATGTCAGTTAAAGGATGGAATTGGGGACTTGCGAACTTCACAGGTAATCATATTGTCAGTTACTGTAAACCAGCTTTTATTCGCGACAACTTTATTTTGCAATTTACAGGGAATAAACCAGTTCGCGATTTCGCATTAAAGCTGATTTTGGATGTGTTGTTTATAGGCACATAGACTTTAAGGACCTGTTCGCAGCGAGAAATATTCGCAATAACAGAGCGAAACTTGCGAAAATATCTCGCACGCGAATAAAAGTTGGTTTACAGTATTCTGCTTGGAATCTATAAGGCTATCTAAATTTAATTCCCTGGTTCTCAGGCCAATTTTCTCCAAAACAGATGCGGGAGGGCGGCATTTTATTTTTCATTTTATTGGCAATAAAGTAGATGAGGGAGGTAATTTTTTTAATTTTAATTTCCGAATTTTCTTTAACACAAAGATAATTTTTTTAATCACAGATATACTTTCCATTTCTGGTCAAAATTTCTGCTTTATCCATTGCTTAACAGCGTGTTAACATCGTAAGTAATGTCCTCGAATGTATTTTCAAACGAAGTAGCCAAAATCTCATTGTAAATAGCTACTGGAAGTGATATTTGAATACTAAACTACGAAACAAATGAGGTCGGAATTTTTTTCCCCGGATTGGTCTCCGCAATACCAACTTTTTATTTTATCAAAAATACAATAAAATCGGCAATGCGGCTACCTCAAAACGGATGCGCGCGGGCCTGAGAACCAAGATTTCAATTTTATATGGCGTAATACATGTACATGTAGCATTTATTTGCTTAAGATGGAAATTTTAATGAAATCAAACTATCTACTTCAAAGCATTTGGATTTTTATGCGCCCGGATCGATAGATCCGAGGCGTATATTGTTTTTGTCCTGTCTGTTTATCTGTTTGTCTGTTTGTTTGTCTGTCTGTCTGTTGTCAACTTTAACCTTCGCCATAACTTTTGAACCATGAGAGATAGAGACTTCATATTTGGTATGCATACTCAACCAATGAAGCTCTTTCAAATGGCACCAAGGTCAATGACCTTGTGACCTTGACTGTGACCTATATACTAAAAATAGCTTTTTCGAACTTTCGCCATAACTTTTGAACCATGAGAGGTAGAGACTTCATAATTGATATGCGTGCTCCACTAATAAAGCTCTTTCAAATGACATCAAGATCATGACCTTGTGATCTTGACTGTGACTTATATGCTAAAAATAGCTTTTTAGACTTTTCACCATAACTTTTGAAGCATGAGAGATAGATACTTCATATTTGATATGCATACTTCACTAATAAAGTTCTTTCAAATGACACCAAGGTTGATGACCTTGTGACCCTGACTGTGACTTATCTGCAAAAAATAGTTTTTTTGAACTTTGTTACCGCCGGGTGTATAGTGTTTCACAAACACACATCTTGTTTCATACTTCACTGAGATAAATCATATCAAATAATTCTGACTGCATGCCTAGCTCTGTATACGGTATATCCATTATTTGCTCACCTGGTCTTGACCTTTATATTTTTACAGGTAATGCCCTGGAGTTTGAGGTGGACAACAAGTTGGCCTTCGAGGTCCCCCTCAGTCACGTCTCTCACACCACCACCGCTAAACAGGAAGTGACCCTGGAGTTCCACCCCAATGATGACGCGGCGGTCTCCCTGATGGAATTAAGGTTCCACATCCCACCAGATCCAAAGGACACGGAGAAAGATCTTGTACAAGTAGGTTAATAATATTAAAGTGGGATACCATGCTCAGACAGTGGTTATAGAATGTGCAGCTGGATATACAGTGTAATAGGTGCACTGTTTGTGCTCCTATCCTGTTTGTTTTTATGGGGGATAAAAAGTCCATTTCTGCATGTAACAAAATTAAGAAAATCTTTTAAGAGAGAATGTTCATTAAGTCATAGAAGTTTGTATGCGTGCATTCAAATGAAAATTCCATGAGCTAAAACTTGTATAACTTCGTTTAAGGAGTTTTACAACAATGTCTTGGAGAAGGCGGACATCATACAGGCCACAGGAGATGCCCTGGCTGTGTTTACAGAGGTCCAATGTCTCACTCCCAGGTATGGCTCATAATCAATCCAGTGTGTTCACAGCTTTTGTTATAAGCTAACTTGTCAGAAGTGTGTGTATACATGACATTGCACAGAATAAGTACAGAAATTTATATTTAAAAGGAAATGTGAACATGAATAATGTCAAAAATGCATGTACAGAAAATATACACATGTAGTTATTTGAATATGAAATGAATGGAAACCGTTCAATATATGCACTTATTTTCTTGCAGAGGTCGATATGATTTCAAAATGTATGGCACATTTCTACAGCTCCACGGTAAAACATTTGACTACAAGATTCCCTACACAACAGTTCTACGGTTATTTTTACTTCCACATAAAGATGGCAGACAGATGTTCTTCGTGGTGAGTGAAGGAACAGTGCAGAAATTAGAAAAATCCAGAGAATAATAATCAAATACTGAATGTATTTTTAGGTCACCTGAGTAAACTCAGGTGACCTATTGCTATCCGTTTTCGTCCGTCGTCGTCCGTCGTGTGTCGTGTGTTGTGTGTCGTGTGTCGTGTGTCGTGTGTTAACATTTGAACATTTTCAGCTTCTTCTCTGCATCCACTGAACCAATTTCAACCAAATTTGGCACAAAGCATCTATGGGTCAAGGGGAACAAAAATTGTGAATTTCATGATCCCTGCCCCCCTGGGGCCTGAGGGGTGGGGCCAAAACCACTAAAATTAATGCAATCTTTAAAAATCTTCTTCTTTACTCCTGGACATCGAGCAGTCAAACTATTTGCATGATTGTAATCAGCATTGAGTCCTCTACCAAAATTGTGAAATTCATGGCCCTGGGGTCAGGGGTTCTAGTGCTAGGGTGGGGCTAAATAAGTATATAGTGAAAATGCATTATTTCTTTGAAAATCTTCTTCTCTGCTCCTGGGTATTAAATAAACCAACTAAGTACATAGTTATGATGAGCAAGAGTGCCTCTACCAAAATTGTGAATTTTATGGCCCCAGCATCAATGGTTCTGGTGGGGGGGGGGGGCTTTATTGATTATAAAGTGAAAATACATGAATTCTTTGAAAATCTTCTTCTCTGCTCCTAGGTATTAAATAAACTAAGTAAGTGCATAGTTATGATGAGCAAGAATGCCTCTTCTAAAATTATGAATTTCATTGCCCCAGGGTCTGGGGTTCTGGTGTTAGGGTGGGCTCTATTGATTACATAGTGAAAATACATTAAATCTTTGAAAATTTTCTTCTCTGTCTCTGGGTATGAAGCAGGTGAACTACCTACATAGTTATGATGAGCAAGGACCCAAATCTTGCAGAATTGTGAATTTCAAGGCCCCAGGGTCAGTGGTGGGGGCTCTACTTATATACTTAAAATGAATTAATTGTTTGAAATCTGGTCCTTTGTATTTATAAAACATTTATTTACTTTTTGATAGGCAATTTTAAGGGTGCCTTTTAAAAATTTATGCAACCTAGGGTTAGGGGTTTATGTCAGAGTGTTAGGGGCACTACTGATTATTGATGAATATTACTGATTAGTTGGAGTGCATTTTTGTTCCCCTACCTTGCGTATTGGTATTCAGTAACCAAGCTAAGCAACTGCTAAGTTTATTGTTATGATGATCAATGGTGCCCTTTCAAAATTGTGAATGCCATATAGCATCTGGCTTAAAACATGAATCAAATTCAATACACTGTAACTGGAAAGTTGTTGCATAATGCTCAGGTGACCTATAAGGCCCGTGGGCCTCTTGTATAACAAAAGATGGTTGACTTGTTTAAATGAGATTGATATTGTTGCATTTACCGGTGTGTGTTTCTTTATTAATTGCTTTATGAAATAATGCACCCCTCCATTGTAGATAAGTCTGGATCCACCAATAAAGCAAGGGCAGACAAGATACCATTTCTGTATTCTGCTGTTCAACATTGATGATGAAATGTCAATTGAACTAGGAGTATCTGAGTATGCCATAGCTTTATTAGAACTTTAAATCTCTGTTCTTTTTTGCCTATTTACAAGTTCTTCAATGTATGTAATAAAAATCAAACATATTATAGAATTCTTTTTTTTTAAGTAATTTTCAGACATATTTATGTTTTATGTATGTATGTGTTTGTAGCGATGATCTCAAAGAGAAGTACGAGGGTAAATTACAGAAGGAGATGTCTGGTCCCGAGTACGAGGTGATCAGTCGAGTGTTTAAGGCGGTAACGAATCGTAAAATCACAGTGCCAGGATCATTCTTAAGGTAGCCTATTTAAATGTATTATTCACAATGATTTGGTATGAAGTTGGTGTCCAAATATTAATTCTATTTCCATGGTTATGTTTTTACAGTAACACAAAATCGCACTCCATCAGCTGTTCTTACAAAGCAGCCACAGGCTTCCTGTATCCTCTGGAGAGGGGCTTCATATTTGTTCACAAACCTCCCATACACATCCGCTTTGATGAGGTGGTAACCGTTAATTTCGCTCGAAGTGCAGGAACAAACAGATCATTTGACTTTGATGTGGAAACGAAGTCTGGGACCACCTACACATTTGTTGGAATAGAGAAGTAAGTCTTCACTCTACATGATGGTAATGAGAAGTTAGGAGTATTTGACATCTTCACAAAGTTTGGTAAAATGATTGAAACATTATTTTGTTTTTTGCATTTCTCTGACTATAAACAATAAAGTAAAAAATTTTATGAGGCTATATTCACATATTTACAATAATGTCTACAATGATCAAGACACAGTTTTGAATATTGAAATTTAGATTCATTATGCATTCATTAAACTTTATTCTAATTTTCTTTTTACAGAGATGAGTATGGAAAGTTATACGATTTTGTGACCAGCAAAAAACTTAGAGTGAAGAACATCAATGGCAAAGGGGTAAGAAGATACACAGTATACATACTAATCCTGAAATCTTCTTACTCCCCCTTATTCCGGATTTGTCTGGTCCTAACTAGGGGTTAAACTTTACATGTATCTTTCAATAATATATATAAATATCAAGCAGATGTGTGTTTTGATATGAATAATGGCTTAACTGATTTGATTGCTATTTCGAACACTCCATGTAATATTTTGTGTTGGATAAGGCACCGTACCGGTATGACATGTCTGGTTCAGTGAATCTATGTTTGATATTTTGTGGAGGATAAGGCAGTGTACCGGTATGACATGTCTGGTTCAGTGAATCTATGTTTGATATTTTGTATGTTTGATATTTTGTGTAGGATAAGGCACCATACCGGGATGACATGTCTGGATCAGATGATGAAGACGACCATGATGCTTATCTGGAGAGAATGAAAGCCGAGGGCAAGGACCGACAAAGTGGAGATGAGGACGACGACAGTGATAGCTCGGGTGGGTAGACTTATTAAGTGGAGTGTGAAATATAAGAACAATAATAAAATGAATAATGAATGCTTGATTGAAATGGATGAGATACAGAAAAGGAAAATGATTAGATTGAAAGATTGCAGGTTTTGAATTGATTTGAACATATTTTATTGTGATTAATTACCGTAATTTTCGGGTTATAGGTCGATGGGGTATATAGGTCGAAAGGCTCATTTTCAGCCTTAATTTTTGAAAAATCCTAAGATAGGACGAACTTACTATATAGGACGAGGCTTTGTTTCCCGTTTTCTAAAGATTCTTACGCAGATACAACGTATCAGAACAGGTAAACCTCTAAAATTACCGGGGCAATTCCGTGACATGAACGTATCAAGAAAACAAACATGTATTTTAATGAGTACAGCATTTAAGTAAAGTTTTTTTAAAAAATGTAGTTAAAACTTCTTTGAATTGTGTTACTACTTTTTTTTCTCCAACTTGCCTGTTCAATGCCTCCGTAGTTTCATACTGTTGTTAAACCAGAGGCAAAAATAACACGTAAATACGTTTCTTATTTTAAGCTATAATTCGGGAAATATCCGAGATCAAAGAATAATAATTCTGATTTCAGAAAAACTTGGACACATTCCTAATATAGTTTATTCAGTTAATTATTTACCGGTGGACGACAATTGCTTCGATGTCCGCCATTTTCATTTTTGTTCTTCAGGGATTTGCTAAAACCCGCAAACGACCATTGAATGTATATATAAAGCAACAGTAAAGAATTGAAATAATATTACCTCGCTGTAAGTTTAATTTATAAATTTAATTGAGAGTACCGGTACATCCACAATTTGACAGTCATTATGAATTTCATGGCTTTGTTTGTTCAAGGATGTGTAACACTAATACCCTATAACGGCATGTGGATTTGCTAATCATGCCCTGCGGGTATTAAACCAACACAGGTGTTGAAACCTTTGCGTGTACACAGTGTAAATCCTTTTATCTGTCAGACAATTAAAATTCGTTAGAAGCCAATCTTTGTATAGAGGTAATTCAGTGTAATTCTTGTGTACGAAGAAGCTTTTAATAAACCTAATAATATCAGTTAAAATTATATTTCTGTCTTAAATCATATTTCTGTAACCTGCATTTATTACTGATTCTTTGCTTGTAAAACTCCATATCAATAAAATTAATTTTTTGTCATCGGCATGTATATTTCCATAATTGCTTATAAAACTTCAAACTATCTTTCAAAACGATTTTTAGGAATTGACTGGCAACAATTTATTTCACTCATTTTACATTAAAATAAATATAAGACTTAAAGAATAAAAAAATTAATACTATTTCAATTTATCAATCTACTAATTAATGGTAAAACACTACACTTGTGATCTTGAAAAATTTTCCGTTTTTTAAATTTTGATACGGTTGCGGTTTTACTTTTAGTAAACGATAGCGACTTCCTAACTTCACAAGATGGCTACCGCATGATGGCAATGGATAACACGTTGAGGAATTATTAACTTGATGAAGCACAGTTTTTTCCTTTGTCATCAACGGATATTTAATGGAATTTATTTTGTAAGAAAGCTATAGAATAAATATATTATTGTTTACCTAGGCATTAATTTTTCTGCGTAAAATAATGAAAAAAGTTATAAAAGTGGCACAGATTTGCTCTGAAATTTACGTAAATTTTATTGATTTTGGGGCATTTTTCGTAAACTTGAGCCTTAGAAAGGTCGAATTCGTATATTGGGCGACCCCAGCAGTTCTGAGAAAAAAAGTATCGACCTATAACCCGAAAATTACGGTACAAAGGGATTGGGCACAAGTTCTGAAAACTTATAACGCCCTCTCCCCAGGTTTTGAATTCTAAGGGGATGGAGGTACCAGGGATTTAGCACACTTGGACAGTCTTAAATGGAATCACTATTCAGATATTTTGTTTTATTTCTAGATGAGTCCTACAATCCCAATGAGAGTGCCAGTGATGTGGCTGAAGAGTAAGTGACCATTGATTACAATCTGACATTGTGAATATACAATTAATTCTCGATAAACTGCCACTTTTTGTAATTTAGAAATCATGGCGGTATAACGAATTTGGCGATGAATTGAATTTCCCATCTTTTAGAAAATAAAAAGTAGAGTTCTCGTTCTTAGAAATACCATTTAGCGTTTCTATTCTTATTATTACATGTACATGTATATAAAAACATATTTCTGATTGAAAATACTTCAGATAATTTTTTTAATGTACAGTTTCGCTAAAACAAAATGTGCAGTTATGAAATAAAGACAAATATTTGTACAGTTAATTCTCGATAAACCGCCACCTTTTGTAATTTAGAAATCATGGCGGTATAACGAATTTGGCGATGAATTGAATTTCCCATCTTCTGGAAAACAAGAAGTAGAGTTACCGTTCTTAGAAATACCATTTAGCGTTTATGTTCTTATTATTATATGTACATGTATTTAAAAACATATATTTCTGAATACTTCAAGTAATTTTTTTAATGTACAAATTCGCTATATATATGAAATAATATGTGCAGTTATGAAATAAAGACAAGTACATGGGTGTGCATTTAAATCTGCAGTTCTGCTTTTAAAAAAAAACATGCTGGGTCGATCGTCGTGATATATTGCCGATAGTGAGTAAAATGAATTCTTGAATAATATTGTTTATATATGGCAACATTGTCAATTCAAAATTCACAATTTATAACGTATTAATAATTATTTTTTCAGCAAACTTTGCATTGTTTAAAGCAGAGAAAATCTAAATAATATAGTTATCGGCGTAGTTTAACAACGACCGCTTTCGTGGCAAAGCCGTGACTATATGAATTTTATTAAACAGAAAACAAAATTATTAGAACAGTTCATGTTAAAATTCTTGTTTATTTAGTTCTTGTTTAATTACGTAATTGCTTGTACATTGCCTGCCTTTACATGCTTTACAACAGGGATATTGTCAACCAATTAACCGCGCTTCACTGACCACACACACCTATGGCGGTATATCGAGATAATTGACACTTAAAAATGGACGTTTGTTGTGAAAACAGGGTGGCGGATGGCGGTATGCGAATTTGGCATTATAAAGAGAATTTTATATAGCAGGAAAAACGTTCTTGGGAAATCATGGCGGTATAGCGAAAATGGCGATGAATCGAATGGCGATAATTCGAGAATTGACTGTATATGAATGTAAATCTGCACGTTCGATACTGAAAAAAAACATACTGGGTCGATCGTCTTGATATATTGCCGATAATACAGTCTATCCCAAAAGCACCGGTCCGTCGGACAAAACAGGTGAAAATCTGATTGGTCCGATGCACTATCTAGTAAAATCGGTCCGATTGTCCGAGGTTCGTTTTGGTGGATTTTAAATTTTATATTTCTATTTCATCATATAGACGCTTAATCTTATACCAAAACACACTTTTAAAAACCTATTGTATTTGTTGCTTGTGATTGTTTTAAAACCTACTAAAAAAATTATGTTTGTTTTCTGTAACCCGACCGACCCATTCATATTATCCATGAGTGGATTGTTTTTCTGACAATTGGAAAAAAAACTGCGTTTGCTCAATCAGCCGATTCCATTTATTTAAAAAAAAATTAACTTGTAGCTTTTAATAACTTGAGACACAAAATATGTCAATATAGTTTACAAATTACCTTAAATATAAAGAGTAATCATTATTGTAACAACAATTTCCCCCTACAACTTTGTGAAGTTCGTTTTCTAGGCAGCCATTTTGGATGCCATGTTGGGTGTCCACTTGAAATATGACACCTGGTATATTCAGTCCAGGGATGTTTGGCCATACATAAGCAAAAAAAAAAAGAAAAAGAATTTCCGACCTACCGACCCTTATTTTTGGGAATGTAACAGTAAACAAATATATATTTTTTTAAGCTTAATACATGTTTACTGATTCAAATGCTATGAAAAAACATCGTTATGATCATTATATGAAAAAGTTTTGGACCGGTGAAATTCATTTGGTCCTGTGAAATTGTGTTAACTGTCTGTCCGAATGTCCTGTGGCGATTTTTCTTTTTCGCGAAGACTGATAATAAGTTAAATGAATCCTTGAATATGTTCATTGTTTATGGTATCATTGTTGATGGAATGTTCACAATTTATACCGTATAATTATTTTTTCCAGCAAACTTTGCACTGTTTAAAGCAGAGATCAAAATAATATCGTTATCGGCGTACTTTACAATGACCGCTTTCCTGGCGAAGCCATGACTAAATGATTTTATTGAACAGAAAACAAAATTATTATAACAGTTCATGTTAAAATTATTGTTTATTTATTTTTTGTTTAATTATTTAATTGCATGTACCTTGTCTGCGTTTGCATGCTTTACAACAGGGATAGCGTCAACCAATTAGCTGCGCTTCACTGACCACATGCACCTGTGGCGGTATATCGAGATAATTGACACTTAATGGACGTTTGTTGTGAAAACAGGGTGGCGGATGGCGGTATGCGAATTTGGTGTTATAAAGAGAATTTTATATAGCAGGAAAAACGTTCTTGGGAAATCATGGCGGTATTGCGAAAATGGCGATGAATCGAATGGCGATAATTCGAGAATTGACTGTATATATATATATATATATAGTAATCAAGTTTTCAATAGACAGTAGGATACTATATAGGTGTTATCTGACTTGTGTAACACAGGTATGACAGTAATCCTCCCACGTCGTCCGACGATTCTGAGGATTCTGAGGACCAGAGCAGTAGTGAGGAGGGAGGAGCTGATGAGGAGGCCAAGCAACAGAGACGTAAAGAAAAGGAGGAAAAGAAGGCCAAAGCCAAGGAAAAGAAGAAGTCACGCACAGCTAAAACTGTGGTACGTCATAGTATATCTTATATATACCGTATTTGGGGGAATATAATACGCACTTTTTTCCTAAAATAAATTTCTTTGAGAAAGGGATGCATATTTTACATCACAATGGGATTTTGATAAGTTTTTCTTTCAGGTGAAACACGGCTATCATACGTACATACCGTAGTATTACCATGAGACATATGCAATTTCTTTCGTTTATCGCCATATTTTAAACTTCGGAAAGTTATTGTTGGAAGGTATGCTTGTTAAAAATGTCACTTTCGTAATCTTTTGATACTAAAATAGCATAAAAAAGCAAGTTAAAAGTAATTTGAGTTGCATGTTGATTGTCTCCGAGTAGGCCGCCATTACCGATGTTATTTTTAGACGTTCACTCATGCCTATGCCACGTGCTTCCGTAATGATAGTGCACATGCAGCTTATCTGCCAGACAAAGTAATAAGTCATTTTTTAATGAAATACAATAAAATAAAAATTTATTTTAGGTTTTAAATAACTCAATGAAAATCTGCTGCAACATAAACACCCCTCCATACGTCCCAATGAAAGGAAGCCCATGTTGTGACACACGTGCGCTGGTCAAATGATAATTACCTATCAACACCCCTCTGGGCAATTAATTGTCTACCGACTCCAAAGCAATGTTTTTACAGTTAGAGCACTGATTATTTATTATCATGTTAATTGCTTTGATTATTTTCTTTGTTAAAAATTGGGGGTCGGTTTATGACCTTTCGTATTTGTGAGCATGTGTTGATTACGACACATTAAACAATTAAACACTTGTTAAATGTAATTTTACCTCTATCTTATACTTATTGGCCTCTTGTTTAAATGATTGAGAGTTGACAAATGAAATATGAATTATGCTAAAACTTCAGTGTTATCATTTATTCATGCTCTTTAGAAAATAAGATATCCACGAAGATTCATAAGAGGAAAATCGTAGTCTTCTTAATTAAATAAATACTTTGATGTTCAATTCCGTGTCCTGTTAAAGTATTGTAACATAATTTTCAGCATGATTACCTAGAACCAAAATTAAATATTACAACTGTTAAAACTTTCAACAATATCTCATGCTTTGTTGAAATAAAATTATTTCATCTAAGAATATGGCGACGCATAATTTCAAAATCACTGTAACTATGCTTAAAATAAAATTCTGTTAATACTTTTACGCAACATTATCTTGTGCTTTGTGAAATAAATGAATAAATAATTTTCTCCAGATTGCCGCGATATTGAATGTCAGGATTAAGAGAAAGTTATAAAGTGTGTATTGTAATAAAGGTGTGTTCAGTAAATTTTTGACACTTAATCCTCGCGCCGATTTTCATAACAAATTACCGCGATTTTCAAAGTTCAGAACATCGCTTGGTAAATTTTTCAGTTGCGTATAATACATCCGAACTGTGTTTTTTTTCCCCAGTTTCAGACTTAAAAAGGGGGATGCGTATTTTACATCAATGCGTATTATACTCGGCCAAATACAGTAGCCAAAACTGTGGTACGTTATATGTTGTCATGTACAGCTAAAACTGTGGTATGTCTCACAAACATGTTATGTTGTTACCTACAGCTAAAACTGTGGTATGTTACACGAAATAGCCAAAACTTTGGTACATTATATGTTGTCATGTACAGCTAAAACTGTACAAAACTAAAATGGTGGAAAGACTTAGACAAAAGCTGGGGTACATCTCATGTGGTCATGTTTACAGATGAAACTGTGAAAATGTGTTTTAATTGGGCAGGCTGCAGTAGATATCTAGTAAACAGGATAATGGTATGATTCTGTAAGACAAATGTTTGTGAGGTAAATTTACATATAAACTTTAATTTCAGAGAGAAAAACTGCCTGGATCAGAGAAGAAGAAAAAGAAATCGAAATCAAAGAAGGATCCTAATGCTCCTAAGAGGCCCATGTCTGCCTACCTACTGTGGTTCAATGCCAGTCGGGAGGAAATGAAGAGAGATAACCCCGAACTCAGCATCACAGATCTCAGTAAAAAGGCTGGGGAACTGTGGAAAGAACTGGAGGATAAAACTGTAAGTTTAATATTATCAGGATAAAAATTTATATGAAAATGGTTAACAATTACAATGCAGTACCGTATAATCCCTATTTACCGCCCCTGCCCCTATAAGCGCCCCCTTAGGTCTTTTTCAATTTTCAGGAAATAAGGGCCCCCTGTATAGTGATTGAAATCATCTACAATCGTATCAAAAGTCTGCCAAACTTTGAAGAAAGTGAAAATAAAACTTGTCTATAATCCAGTTTCTTGGTGGAAAATCAATCATTTAGCTTTATTTGGATGGATTATCTTCAATTAAAGTTTTTTCAAAGATTTTTTGAAGTTAAATATGACATTAAATATTGTAAATAGAATACTAAAATAACCGCCCCCCATTTGCAATTGTCTAAGCGCCCAGGGCGGTTAATAGGGATTATACGGTATGTCTTCTGTCAGTCTTGCCTTTCGTGTATTGCCTAAAAACAGCTGTTACATGTCATATAGATGTAAAAACAATAAGAACACAGTGATTCAAATGAACATTGTGGCCCATGGGTCTCTAGTTAATTTTATACACACTCATTTGATTTTTATAGGAATGGAATGAGAAGGCTGCAGTAGCAAAGAAACAATATGAGAAGGCCATGGAGGAGTACAGAGCAGAGAAGGCTCAGGCCTCAGAAGAGGAGGATGAGGAATCCTCAAAGGACGGGAAATCTTCAAAGTAAGACACGCTTAGAATTTCTTCATTTTAATTTGTGTGGATCATTGTTCATGGGCAGGAAAAATTTTGCTTGTTCATGGGGAAATAATTTCATGGGTTACTCATTTATATGGTAGATTTAATAAATACTGTAAAACGAGAAAATTTGGCGCATACGTATTTTAGTGCAAACGCAAGTGGGAATGCATAGGCGCAAATAAATTTTAGCGCTTGCACTTGTCATAAAAATATACAAATGTGATATTTTGTTTTTTTATCCACACCGTATTTGACTTTTTGGTTAGTCAAGAAAGGAAACACAATAGCACTCCCGTATATAAGTAAATATTTGTCAACTTTACCGTGGTGTTGTAATGACACGGACGTGACACGGTGTTAAAATTTATTTTATTTTTATTTTAAATAAAAGAAATGGACTATTTACGCATTTTATTCATATTAAAACAATGTATGCATCGAAAGAAAGTTACTTGGATAATCATAATCAGGTTCTGCAAGGTCAATCGCCATGCTTAATTGCACTGTTTACCTCGAGGCGATAGATGATTGACACGCCGAGAAGCCAAACTTTGAAGGTGCTAATGATAAGTACGGGTAACAACTACCGTGGTAACAATAGTTTTATTAAATTATAATTTGGCAGAATTCTCGATCGATTCTACCGTGTGCAGTGCTAGAGTGTTTATAAAATCCAACAACCCTTCGACATTATGTAATCGAGCCTTCCGATTTACATCTACTTATGTAAAGGCTTTGAACACGCAAAGAAATAGTATTTTGGAATCTGTTAGCGCACGATAAATTTTAGCGTTCAGGGGCTCTTGCACCAAAGGCGCTAAAATTAGTAGTGCGCCAAATATTCTCGTTTTACAGTAAATGATTGTGGGGATATTAATTTGTGGGCATGGGTGACCCACAATATCCATGAACATTGGTCCCTCATGAACAAATGATGATTCCACAGTATCCCAGTTTGAGATGCAGTAGTTAACCTGTATTATTGTTCTGGTTAAAAAAAATAATGTAGACTCTACTCCTAAAGAAGAAATTTTTACACAAGTTTATTGCACTTGCAGAAAGAGAAAGAGTCCCAAGAAGAGCCCAAGTAAATCAGCTTCGGAGAGCCGAGCGGGGGCTGGGGCTAATTATAAGAGTAAGGAGTACATTTCCAGCTCAGGCGAGTCATCAGGATCTGATAGCGATGACAAACCTCTCAAAAAGAAAACAAAGAAGGATGAAGGCACAAAAGAAAAGAAAAAGAAAAAGAAAGAGAAGGAGGAGCCCAAAACAAGGAAGTCCAGGCGACAGAACAAAGGAGGAAGTGAGAGTGAGAGCAGTGTGGGGGAGGTAAGGATCTGTCCATAGGAGGAAGTGAGAGTGAGAGCAGTGTGGTGGAGGTAAGATCTGTCAAAAGGAGGAAGTGAGAGTGAGAGCAGAGTGGGGGAGGTAAGGATCTGTCCATAGGAGGAAGTGAGAGTGAGAGCAGAGTGGGGGAGGTAAGGATCTGTCCATAGGAGGAAGTGAGAGTGAGAGCAGTGTGGGGGAGGTAAGATCTGTCAAAAGGAGGAAGTGAAAGTGAGAGCAGTGTGAGGGAGGTAAGGATCTGTCCATAGGAGGAAGTGAGAGTGAGAGCAGTGTGGGGGAGGTAAGGATCTGTCAAAAGGAGGAAGTGAGAGTGTGAGCAGTGTGGGGGAGTAAGGATCTGTCAATTGAATAGTAAAGAATAACAGCATTGGGGAGGAGGGGGGTATATAAGGCCTGTCCATAGGAGGAATTGAGAGTCTGTGCAGAGAGCAGTGTTTGGGAGGTAAGGGTCAATCTGTCAGTGATTAAGAATGAAAGCAGTATGGGGGGGGGGGGGGGGGGGGTAGGTAAGGCCTGTACATAGGAGGAAGTGAGAGTCTGTGCAGCGGGCAGTGTTGGGGTGGATAAGTATCGATCCAGAGGAGTAAATGAGAATGATAGCATTCTAGGGAGGTAAAGAAAGACTGAGAGCAGGGGGGGGGACATTGTGTTCAAGGGAGATAACTTATGACTTGTTGGAAAACAAAGTTTGCTATTTTTAAAAATGCAGTGGAGTTAGGCTATCTAAATTTAATTCCCTGGTTCTCAGGCCAATTTTCTCCAAAACAGATGCGGGAGAGCGGCATTTTATTTTTCATTTTATTGGCAATAAAGTAGATGAGGGAGGTATTTTTTTTTGAGTTGGCTCGCGTACCGAGCTACTCTTTGTTGACGAAGCCGTTTCATGATCAGAACTGTAAAATTTTTCACGCATTCATCAAGGTGATCCATACGCCAGATATGATAGTTCTAACAAAAAATGCTTTTATTTGAGTGATTGTATAAACCATGTTAAACTTAGGAGATGAAAAACTGTATAAAATGTCATACTGTTACCTTATTTATGTCTTCATACTTTTCCTGAATTTTTTGATGAAGTATCTGTACATGTACAATTACTGTGTATGAATATATGTTCAAGCATGTTAGGCGGATCTAATCTTCCCATCTGAAGTTTATGTATACATGTAATTGACCTAGAATACTCCATAAAACAAACACCTGCTGCTCTCATTAGCTGCAGCTAGTGTGCTTGAAAAATCTATTTTTAGAATCCAGATTTGCTGTGGGAATCTTTAAACTTATTACTCGATAACACTGACCACTGCAGCTAGTGTGCTTAAATTCATTGTAGAATCCAGGTTTGCATTGCTGCTTTTCACGATAATATGTACGGAAGCCCATTAGTGCTGCCAACCTGTATATATACATGTAAATAGGAAAAGCAATATACACTTTATTTTTGAGCCGAACATGGAGATATATGATATTCAATCTGTTAAGATGCAAAATAAACTGAATATAATTAAGGTATGGTGTCCAAATGTTTGGAAAAAAGCACAATTAACTCGAGCGAGTCAACTCGCAGGCCCTTCAGGCCTTTGATTTTAATTTCCGAATTTTCTTTAACATAAAGATAATTTTTTTAATCACAGATATACTTTCTCATTTCTGGTCAAAATTTCTGCTTTATCCATTGCTTAACAGCGTGTAAACATCGTAGGTAATGTCCTCGAATGTATTTTCAAACGAAGTAGCCAAAATCTCATTGTAAATGGCTACCGGAAGTGATATTTGAATACTAAACTACAAAACAAATGAGGTCGGAAATTTTTTTCCCGGATTGGTCTCCGCAATACCAACTTTTTATTTTATCAAAAATACAATAAAATCGGCAATGCGGCTACCTCAAAACGGATGCGCGCGGGCCTGAGAACCAAGATTTCAAATTTATATGGCCTTAGTGGTATGATTTAGTACACATATAATCTATTTTTGTATGTACATGTACATCTGGGATAAACTTTTCAGATTTTCATCTTCACCACTTCAACTAAATTCAACCAAAACTTTGCTCAGAAGTTGTTTTTTTTTAAAATGAAGGGTTATTTCCTTTATTCCTAGAGAAATATTCCATAAAATGTGAAAATTGGGTCATATCATATTAAAATAACCTTCTTATGAGCAACTGATTGAAAAAAGACAAAAATTTTTGTGTAAAAGCTTCTGTATGTTGTACCTATTCAAAAACATGCCTTGTCAGCTTTGAATCAATCATATTCTTTGAACATTTCACTTCCATGTATGTTTTAGTTTTCATTTGGATTCTTCTACATAGATTTTCCTTATCATTTTAGCTTCCAGAGGATGAAGAGATCTTGGATTCACCATCTGTATCAGAAAAATCTGAATCAGAGTCGGACTGAATAACAGAGCTGAAGACTTGAAGTTTGTGATGAGAACAGTGAATTTGATGTTACATTGTACATTCTCATGGTATGGGCCCAAAGCTCATATTAGGGGTATAAAAACACAATTTGATATGTAAAACTATTGCAGCATACAAGTAGTCAAGTGCTGCTGTATTTGCTGTTGTAGATGACATCAATGTGACAGGATGTAAAATGGAGAGGTTTTTATGAAAAAAAAAAGGTTTATTATGATTCAAAATATACGTAAAGGAGTAAATGGATCTGGTAAAATATTAATATGCTTGTTCATAAAACTTTCAATGTTTAAGTGCTATTTGTGGACAAATTGTTCAGAAACACTTAAGGTGTCAAAATATAAAATATTTAATGTCATAGTGCACAGATCACATGAGATCTTCTGAGGAAAGTACTGTGTCTGAGTTTTGTGACGTTCATGTATGGTTTAAAATAAATACATGTTTAATGTAGTGTATAATGTTTTTTTTTTTACTTATTATGTCAAAGTTCCAAATACTGCCAAACGTCCAAGCTTCTCCTAGACTGATGAATGCATTTAAGGTCCATTTTAAACTCATCTTGACTCTCTTCCTCTCTTCCAACAGGTGCTGTATATATAGTTGCAGATTTATTATTTGCAGGGAGACTAATTAAATCTAACAATTTTGTACTGGTGTAGGGACGTTAACTGAGGCTCTTACTCGTAAGAGTAATGTCTCTTCCAAATCTAAATGAGATGTAAATAAAAAAAATAGTCTTGATGAATCTTGCCAAGATTATTGAACCCTTTTTAGCTCACCTGAGCCAAAGGCTCAAGTGAGCTTTTCTGATCACATTGTGTCCGTCATCCGTCCGTAAACTTTTCACATTTTCGACTTTTTCTTAAGAACCACTGGGCCAATTTTGACCAAACTTGGTACAAAGCATCCTTGGGTAAAGGGGAATTTAAGTTGTTAAAAGGAAGGGCCAAGTCCCTTCACAAGGGGAGATAATCAAGAAAAGACAAAAATAGGGTGGGGTCATTAAAAAATATTCTTCTCAAGAACCACTGGGCCAGAAAAGCTGAAACTTATGTGGAAGCATCCTGGGGTGTAGATTCTAAATTGTTCAAATCATGACACCTGGGGATTGGGCGGGGCCACAATGGGGAATCAAAATTTTACATAGAAATATATAGGAAAAATCTTTGAAAATCTTCTTCTTAATAACAACTGGGCTAGAAAAGCTGAAACTTATATGGAAGCATCCTGGGGTAGTGTAGATTTCAAATTGTCTAAAGTATGATCAGTGGGGTAGGGTGGGGTCACAATTTGTATTACAAGGGGGAAATCTAGTAAAGGACAGAATTGTCAAAGCTTCTCAGGTGAGCGATGTGGCCCATGGGCCTCTTGTTCTTGATTTTTTACTTATTATTGGAGAGAAGAAAAAAACGCAGTGGACCTGACCAGGATTTTAACCCCGGCCCCTGAATCTCTAGTCAGGTGCTCTACCCATTGAGCTTTCCAGCCATCAGCAATTGAACCTGTCTGACTGTCACATTCCTCCCTTTCAATTCACATTTTTTGACAATTGCCATATCAGCATGAAGTCATGTACATTATTGACTAATATAACACAAATATAAAAGGTACGTCTTTGGCCCTCCAAAGACTCCAACCCAGACTCTTCCTTGGCAGGTCTTCACTTGTCATTTTCAACGCATGGCATGGCACCAAATGTATTGGGAGAGGAGAAAAATGCAGTTGACCAGACAGGAAGTCAAACCCCGTCCCCCCTGAATCTCCGGTCAGGTGCTCTCTCAACTGAGCTATCTCACCACCAGTGTTTGAACCCATTTGATCACCACACATGCAACTATAAATGCAGAATACTGTTGGGAAAGAGAACAGAGTATGTACCGGTATTTTATATCCTTAATTAGAGTCGGAGAAACCTTGGATTACCTCCATTGCAGGAAAGAAAAATGTACAGTATAAGCTGTTGAAAATTCTTGTTCACCTTAATGTTCTGCATGCAACTTCAACAGCAGTGGCGGATTTAAGGGGGGGTGCACCCAGCGTGCCCCCCCCCCCACCCCCCACCCCCTAAAATTGTCAAAGTTGGCATAAAACATAGTTTTGTCGAGAAATTGTTTTAAATGTCTACTCGGTAGACCTCATTTTTACCCTACAAAACCTTTAGAATCCAAGAGCTTCTGGGGGCTTTGCTCCCTGGGCCCCCACCAGGGCTTTGCCCTGGATCCCCAGACCCCCTGCCTAAATCTTGCACCCCCCCCTAACTTCAATTCCTGGATCCGCCCTGAACAGTCTGCATATAATCTAAATATTCCTAATTTTACTCAATTTTGGGTTAGAGTTCACAGGGGTACTCCCTACTTATTTTTACCATTGGTGAAAATAAGTAGTGTATGCCCTGTATACGAAACAAGTGCCTGTGTTAGAATTACCCAAATTTTTCCACCTTAATCTCGGGTTCGAAATACCAAAAATACAATTTGAAAAAAAAAAAAATACGACGACGTCGGCGTTGGACAAAAAAATCTTGCGGACGCAGTTCTTTGGAGGTGACATTCTTATTGGAAGGTATAGATAGCTTATCTTGTATATGTTATTTACTGTAGACCTACAAACTTCGCAAGAAAATGATATGTAGAAGACAAGAAGGACGTGAGAATGTAATTTCGAGTTTCCTCTGTCGAAACACGTTCGTCCAGTCTACTTTCTCCTGGGGCCCACTCGATTGGGACCCTTCTTATTCCAGAATAACCCTTCTGTCTGCTCGATTGGTTTGGTAGGGCAGACTTAGAAGGCCTTCTCAGCCTTCCACGTCAGAGATGGAAGGATAGCTGAAGGATAGCATTCTAATATGGCGTCAAGCGGTTTGGTGAAAACTTGGGGGATCTTTATTATTGTAAATAAATTGCAAAAAAGTATTTTTATCATGTACGAAGGGTAATTCTGTTAAGAAGCCTTTTTCTGTTATGTAATTGCAGTAAAATCAACCATTGAACACAGTTTCATAATTTACCATGTATATATGGGGTCCCGTAAATAGGTCCCTGATTTGACCATAATTATTTTATTTGCTCTTTAATATTCTTCTGCAGACACTTGATGTTTTAAATCTTTCTTTACATAAATAAAAAAAAATATTCCCAATACTATTATATTAAATTAATTTTTCCACTCTTTATTTATCTCAAGTTTCCCTTTCGAACTAACATTTAATGCTTTGAAAAAACGGATTCAAATTCTTGAAATTCAATTCAACACATTGCAGATAATATACCACCCTATTCAATATTTCTGAATACTCGATTTAGACATACATATTCCAACCCTTCCAACATTCCCCTCTGCTTCTAGAAGGGTCCCAATCGAGTGGGCCCCTGATACCTGTCCTGAATTCTTCCGGTTTCTACTTTTCCTTATAATCCTCGAAATATATTTAGGGACTGTTCCAAAGAAGTTTGGTGGTGTATGAATTTTTATGAGGCCGACCTTGGTCTAGATAGAAAGTTCTATCGTTAATTAAAATGATATTGTCTTACGGACCCGGTTGAGGGCTCATTCTGAGACACAGATCATTCTAACTAGTCTGGGTCGAGAAGACGAGTAAAAGGCACAGGCTTTTGTTTCAATTTACAATACGCTAGTTTTTTCACTATGACAAGCGCCTGTGGTAAACAGGTCCAGTCCAAAGACTATTTCTACCTATGTAGCTAGCTACATAGGTATTTAAACCTACCCAAAATAGCTATTTTTACCTACTTTCTGCTTTACTTTCATTTTGCGGCCAAACGCAGGAATGGCACAACATGATGAGCACTGGATTTCTTGATACAGTCACGCTGATGATGGATATGACAAAACTTTGGCCAAAAAATGATTACCAGTACTTTGTATATCATAACTTTTGCATTGAGACTAATGTTAAATTGCCGATTCAGGAAGTAATCATTTTTTGGCCAAAAATTTGTCGTATTCATCATTAGTGTGACTGTATCAAAAAATATGGTATTCACCTCAATGTTGCGCCATTCAGTGTTTTGGCCACAAAATGTAGATAATACAAAAAGTAGGTAAAAATAGCTACTTAGGTAAGTTTTAAATACTGTAAATCACTTTTTATTTGCGAGAACTTTATTTTCATGTAATTATGCGAGAAAGTGTGCTCGCGAAAATTTATTTCTCGCGTATAATAGTATTCCTTAGGATTATATCTAAGAGCAATGACCACAATTCATGAAAATTTTGTCTCGCTTACAAAGAATCAATGACTATCTCACGAAAATTTAGTGATCTACAGTACCTACGTAGCTATTAATAGCTACCCGGTACTTTGGTAGAAATAGTCTTTGGACTGGACCTGGTAAAAGCCCATAGCTGAAATGTGATATGTCTTGCTGGTGAAGCCTCAAAACTCCACGAATATTAGTTATTTTAAAAAGAAAGTTTAATTTTATTGTTAGTCCTTCTTATACAGATAGTCAGACAGAATCATTTTGTATTAAAAATTAAATACATTATTTCCCCATCAGCAACATGCATCAGTTTACTTATTAGTCTTAGTTTGTACATCATGTATATAATTCAACAGATGCATAGTCTCAAGATGAATAAACACTCTGAGATTAGATGTGAATTTAATCTGAAGAGTGCAAAATTGATCATCAAAAGATGGTAAAAATCAATTTTCCTTTTTCCGTGCAATTCTGAATTTGCTACATGCACTTTTTTTTCATCAACATAGAGTAAAAAGCCTGCTTGCATGTCTTGCCGCATGCAGGATCTCTGTGATCGAACAGCCTTGTATATTTATTTTATAGCTAAGTATTTACACATTATCTGATTTGTTTTAATAGTTGATAGTAAAATCTTATTATGTTACGTATGATATGATTGTATGGAGATTGGCATCATGCAAAAAATATTTTTATTTTGGTCAAATTACATTAATACATATAATCATGATACCTGGTAATAGATTTTTATTTGTATTATTTACAGGAATTGTCAAATCAATAAGTAATCTCATATTGACCTTTTTCATTGGTAGGAAATGCTGGAGTGGATTTTGTGTGGGCTACTGATTATCGTGACCTATGTTGTTCTAACCTTGACCTCCACTTCTGGCAGTCAGTATGCTGACAACAGTATAGATGCATTCATCAGTAAAGGTCTGGTATTAACATTATACTATGTGATCTTAAGTCTTTCATTTTGTATGTACATGAAACCCCTTCCCCAATTTCTAACAATTAAGTTGCTAAATGAGCAATTTGTGTTTGGGAGAATAAACAATTTTTTTTAAGTTGATTTTCCCCACCAATTGTAATAATCTTGTCTTGCTTAAAAGTAGTGTTAATTTTGAAGAATAAATCTTTTGCAGCAAAAGAACAGAATTAATTTACTTGAATTCAAGCTTAATTGTCCTGTATTCATTAATTATTTTCAAAAACTAAGAAACTTGTTTCTTGAAATTTTGATAACTTGGAAAAGGGAAATCACTACTTTGTAGGTAAGACAATGGCCTATAAGCTGTTCAAAGATCTGTATCATTACCAGATCAGAGTATCCAGCATGACATACACAAAAATACAATATGTTCTAATTTAAAATGCTATGCATTATTGCACTTTCCCATAAATTTAATTGTACTTATTATTGAAAGGAAATATTTTAGTTCTTTGTGTATTAAATCCAACTGTGACATCAGAATGCATGTATTTCTAGACAGTCCAGCAGTGAAGGGGAGACAACCAAGAGAATCTAAGTACACTAAGGACTACACAACAGAGGGACAGCAGATCCTGGTGTTGTACGGGACAGAGTACGGCTTCAGTGAGGAGGTGGCCAGGAAACTGTTTGACAGGTGAAGGTCAACAGTCATTAATATATGTTCAAGGAAGATTCATTCCTTGTCCATAGTTTCAGATATGTATTAATAATTTATTATGAATTTAGAGAAAATTTTGCATCGAAATATATTTAGTTAAATTTTATACTTGTTTGTCAACTTATTCATTAGGTTATCTGGACTTGATTGTGCAAACATTGTATTTTGTCAAGAGGAAACATCATGGCAGCCTATGTCAATAAATTCCTACATTTTGTTTATGTGTATGTCAAAAATGGTCATATAATAAAATGTACAACGAACATTATCCACTCATCCACTGGTCAACCCGTTAAGCAGTTCTATAAATCAGCTTTAAAATTGAATATCTATATGAAATGTTACTTTTCTGACAATGTCATTTCCACTAAAAAAAGTTTATGGTTAATCAGTTAATGATGGTAGTGAAATGCATCTGTTTTAAAACTCAAAATGTTAACCCTTCCTTCTGAAGCTACAGCCATTTGAACTTCTCCTTTGTTGTCAATTGAACATTTTAAAGACATTTTCCAGTCTGCATACATAAACGTAGTGCAATGACGCTCAATGACGTTCCGATTTTTGGCTGTGTTTTTACGCAATGATCATATACAAACGGCTATTCATATCCCTCCAATTTAGAGTGATGTTTCTGTCAGGTAAAATACATAAAAAAGTGCCAAGTCTTTGTGATGACTTGATGCTGTGCAAGTTTTACATTGTATATTTTTTAATAATATTTTGCATATTTATTTATATGGAAAGTTTGACCGGTTTCGGGAAATTCACAATTGAACTTGTCCCAACCGTATGTTCCACCAACCGATGCTCTTCCTTTTTATGAGATGCTGTTGAAATCTGGTGAAGATCTCAGCCATCTACATTACTCAGTGTTGGCCCTGGGAGACTCAAATTACCCACAGTTCTGTAAAACAGGGAAAACTCTGGATAACAGGTCAGGAACTAGACTTTAAAGATCACATTCTAAAGTTTTTTAGCAGGGTTGTATTTCACTTTAAGTCCTTTTGTGTGGATCTGTTCATATCATGGGAAAACACCAGTTGTTGACAGAGAATGCTATAATCTAAAGCTTATCATGTAAGATTTAGAGTCAATTCCATGAAAAATGAACCACCACAAAATCTAATGATTCCACAGTAATGGAGAACTGTGAACTCTATAGATTGAGCATTGAAAATAGCTCTCTGTTTCAGATTTTGTGAGCTGTCAGCAGTCAGAGACTTAGACTGTCAGACTGTTGACATGGAGGACTGGGAGGTCATTTCTGATTGGATGGATAGAGTGGTGGGCGTGGTTAGTGATATTGACCTGAAGGTCAGAATGGACTACCTCAGTGTCAGTTCTCTGGGAGAGGGAGAGGGACACAACAGGACCAATCCTTTCTTTGCAAAATTAATGGTAAGCAGGTCATTCAAATACCGTATTTCGGGGAATACAATACGCACTTTTTTCCTAAAATAAATTACTGTGAGAAAGGGATGCGTATTTTACATCACAATGGGATTTTGACAAGTTTTTCTTTCAGGTGAAACACGGCTATCATACGTACATACCGTAGTATTACCTAGAGACATATGCAATTTCTTTTGTTTATTGCCATATTTTAAACTTCGGAAAGTTATTGTTGGAAGGTATGCTTCTTAAAAATGTCACTTTCACAATCTTTTGATACCAAAATAACATGAAAAAGTAAGTTAAAAGTAATTTGAGCTGCATGTTGATTGTCTCCGAGGAGGCTGCCATTACTGATGTTATTTTTAGACGTTAACTCATGCTTATGTCACGTGTTTCCGTAATGATAGTGCACATGCACCTTATCTGCCAGACAAAGTAATAAATCATTTTTTAATGAAATACAATAAAATAAATATTAATTTTAGGTTTAAAATAACTCATTGATAATCTGCAACAATATTTAACACCCCTCCATGCGTCCCAATGAAAGGAAGCCAATGTTGTGACACACGTGCGCTTGTCAAATGATAATTACCTATCAACACCCCTCGGGTCAATTAATTGTCTACCGACTCCAAAGCAATGTTTTTACAGTTACAGCACTGATTATTTACTGCCATGTTAATTGCTTTGATTATTTTCTTTGTTAAAAAGGGGGTCGGTTTATGACCTTTCATGTGTGTGAGCATGGTGAGCATGTGTTGATTATACGGCACTTTAAACAATTAAACAAACCGGCCTCTTGTTTAAATAATTGAGAGTTGACAAATGAAATATAAATTATGCTAAAACTTTTAATAAAAGTGGTATCATTTAGAAAATAAGATATCCGCGAAGATTTAGAAGAGGAAAATCGTAGTCTACTTAAAGAAATAAATACTTTGATGTTTCAATTTCGTTTCCTGTTAAAATATTGTAAGATAATTTTCAGCATGATTATCTAGAACCAAAATTAAATATGAGAACTGATAAAACTTTCGACAATATCTCTTGCTTTGTTGAAGTAAAATTATTTCATCTAAGAATATGGCGACGCATTATTTCAAAATCACCGTAACTATTCTTTTAAAAAATCTGTTTATACTTTTACGCAATATTATCTTGTACTTTGTTGAAATAAATGAATAAATAATTTTCTCCATATTGCCGCGATATGGAATGTCAGGATTAAGAGAGGTTATAAAGTGTGTATTTAAAGAAAAAAGTGTGTTCAGTAAATGACACTTACGATTTTGTAACAAAACCGCGATTTTCAAAGTTCAGAACATCCCTTTGTAAATTTTTCTGTTGCGTATAATACAAAAATATTTTACATCAATGCATATTATACTCGGCCAAATACGGTAAATAATGCATATGATACTGTAAACCAACTTTTATTCACGTACAAGAAATATTTGTGAGTTCCGTCACCTTATTTTATTCGCGAATATTTATCAACGCAAGCCAATAATTTTGATAAGTACTGTATTTGTTAGAGAATTTTTCCTTGGTTGCAAAAATTAATTGTTGTGGATTGATTTCAAACTAGCAAATCTTGAATAAAAGATGACGCAAATAATAAATGGTTTACAGTAACACATTTTATCTAAGTTGCTTTATAGTCTATTTGAAATTTTCCTTTTTGATTTCTTCTCATGTAAGTATGTTTGTATATACATGTAATTGTTTAAAAAATATTTCTGTATATAAAATAAAATTTGTATTTCTGACCAATTGATTTCAATTCAAGTCCTCAAACTGTTACTAAAAACCTTCCTATAGCAGAGCTAAAAATATTCCATGTATGTTCTTTGATGCATACATAGTACATGTACTGCTTTTCTTTTAATATTTGATTTGCTAGAAAATAGTTAGTGTTTTTAGGCTCATATATTAAATTTCAGGTGAAGCGATTGCTGACATTTGTAGAGGATGATGAAGACAAGGCCACGATTCACTGTGAGTTTGACATTACAGGTAGTGGGCTGACATGGCTCTCAGGTGAGGAAGGAATACATATTATAAATTAATTAATAGTCTTACAATTTTTCAAGCTTTAAATACTGTAGAAGTACTTTTTTCCACATGGTATTAATTTACGCTATGTACGTGGTCACAAATTTTCCACGGAAATTTGTCCAAGCGTACTTAATGTAAATGTAAGGCATATTGTGACAATCTAGAAAATCTGCATAATTTTCTTTCTGCAGATTAAACAGAAATTAAGACTCCGCGGAATTATGACCCATGGAAAAAAAGTACATCTACAGTATTCACTAATTTACAATTATCATGTTCATTATTGCAGGTGATGCATTGGGTATTTATCCAAAGAACAATCCCTGTTATGTACAAAGGATTTTACAGACTCTTGGTTACAGTGGATTAGAGAAGATAGATACACAAGACCAAAGTCTGCCTGCTCATATTGGTACAGACTCAACTGAGCCATAGGCTCAAGTGAGCTTCTACAATTAAATGTCTCTAGTGTCTTTCTTACTAAACATATGTGTATACTTTGTTAACTTGTTACATTTTTATAACTATGTTCTAGAAGATTGCTCAAACAAAATTTCATTTTCTCATTGCATGTTATTAATAGTTGAGCATGCTAAAGATCAGTCATATTAACCCATTGTATATCAATACATGTATCTTTCTAGACGGTGTCATAACAAGCAGAAAGATGCTTCTTAAATATCTGGATATAAAGCATGTGAGGCCAGAATTTTTAGAAGAAATTCTGCATTTTATAAGCTGTCCCTTACAAAAGAAAACATTGGAGGACCTCCTTCACTCACAAGTAAGACATTATTAAACACCCAATTTTACGTTAACGCCCCCAAAATTTACCTGGTTCAAGATCAATAATATACCGCCTGTCAATCATTATAAAAACAATAGCTTCTGATTTGATTGACAGGCCAGCTACCCGTGCTACCTGATAGTCTGAGTTTGTGTCCTTTGAAAACGATTGCCTGGTCACGCGTCAAACACTTTCATGTAGCTGCCTTGTATACACAGGGTTAAAAAAAGAATTTTGGTAGAATTTAATTTAAAAAACAATTGAGGGTAGATAATTAAAACATGACTTCATAAAATATTTGCTTTTAATCTCAACGGCTGTATCGTATTTTCAGGCGATATGTCGTCCAAATTATCTGCTGTAGAATTTAGACCGGCCCGTGAACAGAAACGCTATTTGCTGATTAAAATTATAACAAATTGGAATATAACAAATAAGAAAAGATATTTAGCACAAACGGCATGGATAAAAATTCCTTTATCCCATGTTTTATCTTTATATATATGAATACAATCTACACCATGTTCAATATTGTTGAAAAGTTCTGAAATGTCAGAAACATGAGTTTCAAGATTGTAACTTTTGGTTCTAATTTCAGTACCCAGTATTTGAAATAAAAAAGTGAATATAAAGACGAAGATCAATTCTTAAAAGTGTAAAAATAAACCTAGGAAACATTGAAATTTTTAAACACAAACACCCAGAAATGGTGAATATTTTCGACACTATTGTTGGTCAGAACGTAAGCAATATTCCTATCGCGGTACTCCTTATACATGTATTACTACATATATTTCTCTATTTAGGTCACTAGACTTGTACTCAGGTGACATATTTTCTTATTTACTGGACCATTTGAAACCAAACTTGGTATATATAGCATTCATGGACTAAGGGAAGCAACACTTTTGAATTTTATGATTCTAGTCCTCTTTGGTCCTGGGGATTGGGATTAAAAAGATATTTATTTCATCCATTATCTTTCTCAGAAACATCAAGCTGGAATGCTGTTTGCATGGTAAAAAGCAATTAGTCTTCTACAAAAATTGTGTAATTCTTTGCTCATGTATCCAGGCCCCCAAGATGGGGGTTAGTTGGTCATGTGATTACTTCTGTGAAAATCTTAACTTGTGGACAAACTGTTCACATGATTCAGATGAGCACTAGGCTCTCAAACAAAATCTTTTATGTATATTGTATATTATAAACAATATATCTTGTGATTTAATATTGGATGTAGGTAAATGTTGATGTCAGTGATTGCTGTGGTCCAAGGGCCTTTTGTAATACAGTGTACACAACATATTTTGAAATTATTTTCAACAGCTTGCTTCAAATATACGAGAATATCTGTCACAAAGGGAGGTAATTGATATTTTGGAGGAGTTTAAGGTTGATGGATTACCTGTCGAAAGATTCCTGTCTCTTCTGAAGCCATTACAGCCCAGATACTACTCCATATCATCATCTCCTCAAAATGTGAGTACAAATTTCAACAAAAGGTGTAGATATTTAATATGTTCCAACTAACAGTCAAGGGCATCATGAAAACAAGTTATTTTTTAAATAATTTGTTTCAGTTATTAAATGTCAGCATTTTGGGTTATCTTTCTCTGATTATGCTTTTCTTCAGTAACTTATTCCTGTTATTGATACTTTACTACTCATTATTGTAAACCTACTGGCATCTGAAAGACTTTAGTCATGCTGTGCTTGGGTTATTAAGTACCGGTAGATGGCTCATGACAGTAAAAGTAATCTATCTTTAACATTTAACACACTGAAATCCAACATATTATAACTTATTTCAATTATTTCATCCTTAACCCACCACACTTTAAAACTCTTGCACAAAAATCTACAGCTTTGCACAAAAAATGTAAGACATAGAGATTATACAGTAACATCCAAAGATTTTAGGAAAATTAGTCTCAATGTTGGCAAAATTGGCAGAAGATGTGTAATTGACCTCTGAAATGTTAATGAAATGGAATTATTTTTCCTTGAAAAATATCATGTTATTTTTTTAATATCATCATATCTGCTCAGGAGATATTAAGTTTGTTGAGTCTATTAAAAGAAGTACATATATTTACAATTTTCTTAGCCTTAAATCATCTTAAATCAGCAGCAAACTCAAAATATTAATGTTTTTTGCAAAACTAATAGGTGTTCTACTTTTTACGCTTTAACTCAAATGAGTTACTTTTTTGTTTAGTAATTAATAAGTGAAGTAACAAGAACAAGTTATATTAGAAAATAACTTGATTCCATCATGCCCCTGACTGACTAATGAAATAAATATCGGTGCATTTTCTATTTTTGAGAGATAGTTCTAAATATGAAAATCTCAGGCACTAGCATGAAAAAATCATTACCGGTATTTCACAATACTTATTAAACTACTTGTAAATCATGAACAGAAAAGACAGCTATTTGTCATGAAAACCATATATGGTACCTTTGAGGGATATATCTTCTACCCTGCAGTCCTATTCTCTACTTTGCAGGATTGTAACACTGTGTGTGTTACAGCTGCTGTAGTTCAGTACACCTCACTGGGCAGGTGTCGAGAGGGAGTGACCACCTGTTACCTTCATAACAGGCTCCAGCTGGGGGATCAGTGCCCTGTGTTCATCAGCAGGAACCCAGACTTCAGGTTGCCTAGCAACACCAGGATTCCGCTTATTCTGATTGGTCCAGGGACTGGAATAGCTCCGTTCAGAGCATTTTTGCAGGAAAGAGGTGCACTTGTATTATCTTTCATTTATATATTTTATGGAAATCTGAAATATTTACCTGGAAGTATTTTTCTTTCACAGGTACCTGACGTTACTTATTTTTCTTTTAATAAAAAAAAATATATCCCATACCTAATAATTTTTTTTTATTAATACAATGTAAAAGAAAAATACACATGTAAGTAACGTCAGATGCCTGTTAGATTTTCTATTATTAGATTTTTATTTTAGTAAACAGAAATTTTTATGTAACATTGTTAAGATATTTATAGAATAAACTTAGAGCAAAATAATATTCAGTGTAATTTGGAACAAAATACTATGGTCATGACTGGCAGCTGATAAAGATAAGCTATTTTTTAAAATACTGTAAATGTATTATATTTAGCATGTACGATATTTGACAAAAATTGACTTTTGAATAAGTTAGCGTAGATTTGATTTAGCACATTTTTTCATATTCTTATTTATGTGTATATGTGCAAGACATTTAGCTATGTACAAATGTACTTGATTTAGCGGTTGCTGCAATCCGCCAAAGTAGCTAAAAAGAATATACAGCCAAATATACTATGTTTACAGTAATTATTTCAGCATTGGTAAATGAAGAGGACAGGGGTATGACTTTCCTTTACTTTGGATGTAGACACAGAGATAAGGACTTTTTGTACAGGGAAGAACTTGGTATGTCAAGTCTGGGAATCAAATTTTATCTTTGGATTTCTTTAGAAAACAAATATCTAATTTATAACACCTTTTTTTGTAAGATGTATATATTCTATGCTCCCTGTGCTACAAATTTTGTAGATATAAACTATATATTTGAATGTTGCAGAAAAATTGCAAGAAAACTTTGTGCTACGTCTCCGGGCAGCATTTTCTAGAGACCAGAAAGAGAAGATTTATGTTCAAGACTTACTCCTAGAGGATAGTGCCTTAGTGTGGAGTCTTATCAACAAGGTAAAAAGACATCCTCATTATACATAAAATACAGAAGTATACCATGCACATTGTCAGGGACTTTACTTTCATTGCAGTTTACCTAAACATGAGTAGAACTTCTAGATAAGAATTTTTCTTGGTGTTATTCTTTTAACTTTAAATTTTTTACAGATACATGTATTTAGAATGGTTGTTTTTCTAAAATCATTGTTTCTTGCAGGAAAATGCTGCAGTATATGTATGTGGAGATGCTAAGCAAATGTCACATGATGTCCATAAAACCTTGTTAGAGATTATCATTACCCAAGGGCAGATAACTCTAGAGGAGGCCAAAGTTTATCTTTCATCAATGGAGAGAGAGGGCAGATATCAGAAGGATGTTTGGGTCACATGACCAGGACATTAAGACAGTCAGCTGTCAGGTGCTAGGGAACTGTGCAATAATTATCAATATATGTGTTCTGAAACCACTGTGATACATGTACCGGTGATTCCTGTTTTAGTTAGACACTTGTACAAAAAAGAGCATTCTGTGATATTTATGTATAATATACATGTATTTTTATATTTTAAGGTCTTCTGATTCACTCAGTTGTCCTATTGCTATCTTTTTTGTCAGTCATTGTGGGCTCTTTGTCATTCATCAGTTGTTTACTTTTGAACATTCAGCTTATTACACTTTTCAACTGATACTTTTATTACCGGTAGATTTGAGAGAGATTTATAACCTATATGATTCAGTTACATGTATCGAAAATTTTAATGACCTGCTGGGCATCAAGACACAGAATTTTGTTTGCCCGCTACAGAATTTGTGGATCTCAGACACTGGTATTATACTCAGGTGACCATTAAGGGACTCCGACTCTCAGGTAGGAAGGACAACTCTTTAATTTATAATTTGATTCAAAAAGTCTTTAAATGAAGCTTGAAAATTAAATATTTTCATGCAACAATTTTCATTATATGCCTCTCAATGTGCTTCAAGGTTCTTTGCAAAGCTCCGTAAATTACTTCTAATTTCATATCATGTTAATAAACATTGGTATCTAAAAATGCTTTTTCGGGATAAAAATTTCTGCTTTTAATTAGACCTTTCTGAGAAGTTTAAAGAACCTTGAAGCACATTGAGAGGCATATAATGAAAATTGTTGCATGAAAAGATTTAATTTTCAAGCTTCATTTAAAGACTTTTTGAATTAAATTATAAATTAAAGAGTTGTCCTTCCTGGTGGAGGGTCGGAGTCCCTTAAGGCCCTTTTGGTCTCTTGTTGTAAATCAGGTGTAGAAATGAAAAAAAAAAATCTTAATTAATGCTTAAACCTTTTTAATGTCAGATTCATACTTAGGGTACTTTTCAATATGTTGCATAGTAATTGTATTTACATCATCCAGAAACTTATGATTTTTCGATTTTTAGAGTTATCGTTCTTAAAATTCGACTTCAGCGGAACGAGTCAGACTTTGGGAAATAAAGTTAAAGATTGATAATTTTACATAAATTTTAAAGAAAAAAGGACTAGAACTGGTTTTCACTAGTATACAAGATAAGACCAAATCTTTAATTCTTGATATTACTTTTTAATAAACAAATCAAAAATTATTTTAATCTTTTTAAAAGAAATTTGGTAAGATATTTTTACACAAATTATTTTGATGAGAATTATTAATTTTGAAAATTTTTACAATCATCTGAAGTTTTTATTCTTAGTCATAAGTTCTTATGTAAAACGGGTCCCTGGATGTGTTAAATCCTTGGATATCTCTCTTTTTTCAGTCCCATTAAATGTGGGATAATGCAGTTTGACTTTATTGGGTTTATTTAGAAAATAATTCTTTGGTAGTGATTTTTTTTATCATTAACATTAAAATTCTTCCTTTCGTCAAAATGAAATTAAACACAAGTTCAACAAACAAAACATTATAAAAAATATTTATATACAAGAAAAGTATGTTACAAATACTAAAAAAGATCAAATGATATGATTGACTGATGCAAACAATGAAATGAAAACATTAATGACATTATCTACACAGACTAAGCAATTAAAAAGTTTTGTATGTTAAGGTATCATGTGAAGTAGAATGCATCTAGCAAAAAAAAAAAATTATGTAAATGCCTATATTTGTAGACTGTTTTGTAATTGAGAAAAAAAATCTTTTGGAACTATGTTCCTTGAATCTGTATGATGAATAAGAGTATTGTCTAAGAAAAATGTTAAAAATAATGCACAAAATGTCCATTGTCACAAGGCAAACTCAAACTTAAAAATAAACACTGCCGGTAATTAATTTCGGAGGTTTACTGTTCTTTCTTCTCATTGGTTGGTGAAGAATTGTTTCTAGAACACAGATACAGTCCTATCACAGACAGTAGAAGTAACGGTGAGAATGTAGCCAATCGTACGGCGAGTTCCTGATTTGTCATCAGTCCCGACTGGAAGTGAAGGATTAAGTATGTGCCCTCACTAAGGCCCCATATCTGAAAATCAGAGATTATAATTCAGAGGAGTGGTTGCTCTTCAAAAGAGTAATCTATTATTAAAATGTAAAAAAATCCAGCAAATTAATCCCATTCAAAAATCCCAGAATTTGGCCCTTGAAATATGTAAAAAGGTAAATGTTTCTATTAAGGTGTATCATAGATCAGAATTTGGGTTTGAAAATAAGAAGTTAGATTTTATAAATAGATGCACTATCAGAACAGATTTTAATTATAATTAAACCTAACAGTACCTGGAACAGATTTTAACAGTGTAATACCTCCGCTCTAATATGAATATACACTATCATGTTAATATTCGCAGGTTCAGTTACAGACAGATGCACTAATAAACAGGAAGTTGATATTTGATTTAAACAAAAATGAATCCCAACATAAGGCATGCCTCAACAAAGAATGTGCTAAAATTTCTAGGATTTGCGATGAGTAACTGAGAAAACTTTGACGAACATTTGTTATGTATTGTATGGACAGACGCACAGATAAACAGGAAGTTGACATTGTATTTGCACAAAAATGAATCCCATTATTTGGCATGCCTCAGCAAAGAATGTGCTAAAATTTCAAGGATTTGCGATGAGTAGCTGAGAAAACTTTGATGAACATTTGTTATGTATTGTATGGACAGACGCACAGATAAGCAGTAAGTTGACATTGTATTTGCACAAAAATGAAACCCATTATATGTCATGCCTCAGCAAAGAATATGCTAAAATTTCAAACATCTGCAATGAGTAGTTCCTCTGAAAATTGCAACGAAGATTTGTTATGGACAGACAGATGAACATTCAGACAGAGATTTAGACAGCTAAACCAACAGACGGATAGACACACAAGGATAAAACAGTATACCCCCCTCTCCTTCAGAGCGGGGGTATTATTATTAACCTACAGTCCTAGAACAGATTTACTTATAAAACCTACCAGTATCTGGGCCAGAAATACAGTCCTAGAACAGATTTACTTATAAAACCTACCAGTATCTGGGCCAGAAATACAATCCTGACATCCTCCTTTTTATGGAACCTCGGGGAGAACCAGGTGAGGATACTCCAGCCCATCATCAGGGCACCAGCTGAGCGAGTGGTGTGGATGTGGTACTTATCTACCCTTCTTCCCTAGAGAGTAACAGCATACAATTCAATTCATATTTCACTTGTGCATTACCTGTGACAAGTTCTTTCAGAATAAAAAAAAATGACCATGACTTTGACCTGCTGTTCAAAAATTTTAACTGATTACTTTTAATGAGGAAACATTTGATTTGCATATTTTTTTTGCATGTATTGTACAAATAAAATGACTATATCGAAAATGTGATTTTTTTTTTTACCTCTTAACAGTATGACTTTTTTTTCAAAACTTTGAACTCTATGACGCACACATTTATTCTTTGAAAAATACCATCTAACTTTTTCCTATGAATTTGATTCTATGTTTCAGTACTGGAACTTTATTTATATTCCCTTATATTTTTTTTTGGCCTCTTAAAAGTATGACTTTTTTTTCAAAACTTTGAACTCTATGACGCACACATTTATTCTTTGAAAAATAACATCTAACTTTTTCCTATGAATTTGATTCTATGTTTCAGTACTGGGACTTTATTTATATTCCCTTATATTTTAAACAGAAGTCTCACCTGAACTTTGCACATGGCATTAGGAAAAGATAGATGTGACAGAGATATTAGAAGCATAATTAAGCTGTTCAGGTGGAGAAGCAGAGTTATTCCCCTTGACTGCTTTACACCTTGGATTTCTGGGCGATTCTTTAGGAGTTGGAATACATTGGCTACAAGCCACAGGGCATTACCAAGAAATCCAAACCAGAAATGCTGGGAAAAAATTACAACAAGCATTAATAACAGGTATGCAGAGTGAGAAGTTGAACATTTTTGAACAGAAAAATACAAGTCTAGTCAGTTACTGGTCTTGTTTTGTTCAATATTTCTATGTATCTCATGAAAATGAGTTCAATTCATTTTATTCAATATACAACATTTTAACTTCCCATTAATAACTGTAGTATTTGTTGTTACCTTGTCTGTAAAGATTTCACCATAGGACAGCTGACCAATAGTCATAACAATAAGCAGTACAGAGATACCCTAGAAAATAAAATGTCCTGTAATAACTGCAGTTGAGAAGCATTAGCTTCACAATTATCAAATTTACTGGTAATGCACTTTTTGTCCATATCGTCATTATTCAACTGAATTGCAATTTATGTTCAATCAAAATGATTTAGCAGATTTCATCACTCGATTTCCATTGTTTATCAAAAATGCACTAAAAGCATGGTGTGACAAAATTCCACTGTGACTGTGAATATAGGGTAAATCACTCCCATGAGGAAAAAAAATATGTCTACAGTATCATAAGCTATCCAGTTTATATTAAGATTTAATTTTTATGTATTACAATCTGACATTTATATAATTATCTTATCCTTAAGTTAAACTAATTTCCCCATTCTCTTTAATAACACATGAAATTGTTGCCTTACCATTGCCCTCGAGAGGAGCATAGTTGCCCTCATGGAGGAGTCTTCTGTCCTCCTCCTCAGTAACCAGATCAAAAGAGGACCCAGGAGGAAGGAGGCAAAAAGCCGGTTCAGCTGTCCATGTATTACATCCACTTTCAAATCTTTGGTCTAAAATTAATGAAAACTTACAAATGAAATATTTCCCTCAAAATTCACTCACAAGAGCAGCAACAGTTTGTGTTATTTTGAATGAATTACAGCATCATTTTATAAAATTATACTTGTGTTTTTGACTTTTTGTATGCTTACCTGTAAGTTAATTGTCCAGGCTGGGTTGATGTAGAGGAGGAATCCAGTAAAGCCAGTAAAGATGAGGTCAGCTAAGAGCCAGGTATTTAAATCTCTCAGACCGGTAATCAGAAACAGGAGGATGAAAGCTCCACCTCTAATATAGTCTGATGTGTCGGCCATTTTAGCTCTAGCCCAATTCAGGGGTGTATCTAATGCTAAGTCAATCTCTGTTACTGCTGGATTAATTCAGCTGAACTAAATCTGATAAAAAAAAAAGTTTAACATTAAATATTCCACTTGTTTAGAAGCTATAATATCATATATACACATGCACTGTAAATCAAAATTATAAAGAGATGTTAAGAGTTTAGGAAATTGTTAACTCGACTAGTTTCCTGTCAAATTGTCCAGGAGCAGGAAAGTCATTCAGGGTGACGGTGTGGTTTAAGTTATGTAATATTTAGTGATACAGATTGTAGGCTATAACACAAGCCACACAGTCAACATGGCAAGGGGTTTATGTTTCTTCAATACGTTAATAGTCTATAAAATAGAAACATATTTTTCATCCATTCATATGTCCAAATATTTGGTAAAATAATTTGTTTGCCTATTCTTCCAACATTTGACAAGCGAGTCATATCTAATTGATCTCAAGAAATGGGTGAGCTCATGCTATATACACTATCATATTGTTGGTACATGTTTTACTACAAGCACAGATCCATCTTCCAGGCTTTTTTTAAGCATGTTCTAGAGGGAATCCATACCCATTCAAAATAAAATCCAACTCTGTTTTGACAAGCATAAAGGGAAAAAAAAGAATCAAAAAAGAAAAATATAAGCAACTTGATTAAATCCAAAATTAAAAAAATTCTCTCAATCTACTTACCTTACCATTTTACAAGCTCTGGTCAGTGGTGTCCATTATTTATTTTTTTTGTGGGGGGGGGAGGGGACACTAATCAGGAAACTTCATCTATGATTGTAAAAACTCCCCACTCATTCACACACCCCTGGCTTATCAGGAAACTTCTATATACATTTGTTACATCCCCCCCCCAAGTTTTTAACTCTTTTTAAAGCTCAACTTGATAAAGCCTAGATGAGCTGGTGCCATTGTCAGGCATCAGTGTCCCAATCAAGTTTTCAGAGCAGGTCCATTCAGACTACCTGGATGATACATCTAGGAATGGACATTATAAACTTGCTTCAAATGCTGGATCTGACCTTCATTTTCCAGATGAGTGGCCTGGTTTCAAGCTTTTGGAGCAGGTCCATTACTAATAAGTAACTATAAGCTTTACCTGGACTAAACTTGCATTGATGATGCATCTAAGGATGGACACTATACATTTACCAGACTTGCTTTAGAAGCTGGATCTGACATAGTTTTTTTTTGGTTGAGTGACAAGGTTAAAATTTTGAAGCAGGTCCATTCCTAAGTAACCATGAGCCCTACTTGGCCCAATTTTTTTTTATAGATAATGCATCTAGATATGCACCTCCAAATGTGTTTCAGTTTGTTGAATCTGACGAACATTTTCCAGATGAATGAATTTTAGCCATACTTTAACCAAATTAGCATGGATGATGTATCTAGGGATGGACATTTCCAGATTTGCTTCAGATGTTGAATTTGACCTGCATTCTCCAGATGGGTAACCAGGTTATTTTGTGTGAGTTTCCAAGTAATTAACTTCATGATTAAACAGTTGAATGGATGATGTATCTGAGGATGAACACTTCTAGCCTTGCTTTGAATGTTGGAAATGACAGACATTTTCTTAAGTGATGAACAGGTTAAAGTTTTTGAACCAGATCCATTTTCAATTAACTTAAAGTCCTACTTGGATAATACTATTTGAATCAGCTGGATGAAGACTTACTAGGAATGTGATGTGAGATTTGTTTTATTTATAGACAACATTCGTCAAGGTTAGCTTTGTAATCTTTGATTACCTATGTTTTCTTATCAGCTAAACCCTTTATTTGCTCATCTCTAATCTATGAAAAACATTGACAGACCGAATTTACTCTGCGTTATATCTGGTTCTCGTACTATTTATCAAATACATGAAGAATTTCGATCTAGTACCTCTAGGAAAACAAACAAATACGTTTTTTTCTTGTCATTTTGTCTAGTTGTGTACACATACAATAGGGTTATATCGTCAAATATATACATACTTGAGCAGCGCCTTCCACCGATACAATAACTGCATGACTAAGTCGCACACAAACAATTCTTTAAGGTATCGACATTCCTCTCTTGCAATTGCAGATGATAAATTACAAAAAAATATTTTTTATTCATCAATTGAACATTGCAAAGTCGTAAGTCTTAAATATGTGAGCTATTTCTTTGTGTTAGTCATTTATCTAACTACTAGTCTTCTTTGAGCGAATCGTTTTAAGTAAGATCTATTTATTAATAACGAAGCCATTCGATAGAAACCGATGTAAACAATTTTTAGGTCTATAATAAAAAAAACTCTTTAGGAAAAAAATCTAGTCAGTGATGTCTAGAATTTTTGAATATCTCTATAATGGGCTCAAATCCAAGTAAACAAAATGGAAAACGGAGTCAGTCTGAAGGAGAAGTCCGAATCCTCGCGAACGGACACGTGCCCCCTCGCCGAACTGTCAGCACACTTAGCCGGGTGGCGGAGTCCACGGGTATAGAGAAAAAGAATGCAGAGGAGCCAGTTATAGATTTCCCACATGAGGAATATAAAGACGGGAAGCTTGGTATTACGGTATGATGAACCCCTAATTAAGTCTCAGTAACCTAAGTTCAGTAATATTTGTATGCTAAATATATGTTTATTACTTGTAATATATATATATTAATAGAATAATAGATATACTAGTATTAAAAGCGATTGAAATTTCAATGTGTAAAACTACCATACTGCTAAAACATTTAGCCAAATTTAGACCCCGCTGTACAGTATAAGCTCTCTTTCATTGTTGTGTTTGACTGTATATATTGTTGCGTCATTGTTGTGTTGTGTTTGACTGTAGAGTAAGGACACTATATTGGACTACCTAGACTCTCTGGAGAAGGATGAATTGTTCTGTGACCCAGATTTCAATGCTGACAGATTTGCCCTCTTCTACAGTGACAAAGATGCATCTCATTTCCAATGGAAGCGCCCTATGGTAATGTGAATATACACTTGCACTGGGATATTAATATTATTAATTTTAACAATTATACCTCTATAGTTACATAAAGAGCAAGCAACAAATACATTTACTTTCATTCTACAGTGTAATTTCTACTCACTATTTATTGTTAAAGGGCTTAATTTTAATAAAAATAGAATTGTTTTATAATCAAGAACCAAGCCTGTTCTATGGGGAGTAAAGGAAGAAAGGGCAAAATGGGATGGGATCATTATAAATGAAGAAAAGATGAAACTTATTTGAAAGATTTCTAAGGAAGCAATGATTCTAAAGTGTTCAAATCATGAACCTCTTCATTATGTTTAAATTATTTTAAATGTATACAAATCTTTTCAGCCCCCCTTTGTTAAAAGTTCAAATTTGCTCCTCTGATCACATTTTGTCTGTAGTCTGTCCATCCTTCTGTTTGTAAACTTTCCACATTTTAGACTTTTAATCCAGAACCACAGGGCCATTTTTAGCCAAACTTAACACATCAAAGCTTCCTTGTGTGAAGACATTCAAATCTTTACAAATAAAGGTCGACACCCTATTTTAAGAGGAGATAATTCAGAAATAGTGAAATTTGGTTTTTACCTTTTAAAAAAAAAATTCCTGAAGAAATGTGGGTCAAAAAAACTCAAAACTTATATGAAACCTTCTTTACATAGTGTAGATTCAAATTTATTAAAGTCCTAACCGTATGGAGCAGGGTAGGGCCAGAATGGGGGATCAGAGTTTATAGTATAATACAGCAAAACCATTAATAGTCAAAGTGATGTTGAAACATCCATTCTAATTTGATATTTATGTTGGGTTTCTGTTGTAGGATTTAGTGGAGGAGTGGCAGACCCCTCAATTGATGGTAGATGGTGTTACCAGGGACGACATCAAGCAGGGGACCCTGGGAGATTGTTGGTTCTTGTCAGCATGTGCCGCAGTATCTCAGAAAAAAGACTTCATGAAAAAGGTTAGAATAGACACCCAAAATAGCAAAATTTGACTTTTCATTAAAGGTTTGATTGGTGACCAACTTAAATTTTGTACTGTTAATTTCATTTTTCCACCCAAAGATTAAATCATTGGTACATAGCTACACAGAGATTTTTAGGAAAATATCAATACATGTTGTCAAATAATGACCTTGTGTAGAGAATAGTGATCCAAACACCTCTTTGATAAATAACAGAAAATCTTTTCTACATTTAAACTTTACATTTTAATTAACACAATATTATACAACAAAATAAACTGCTTTGGTGTTTGGTCGTCCGTGTCCCTCGAATGTCGGTAGTATATGATTCCAAACGTTATTTTGGTTACACTACTGTCCCTTGCCACTAAGGAGACTCAGACACCCCTCTCCAGTTCGAAGAGATTACACTTCCCCCTCTCCAGTGCCGAGGAGGTCACACGTCCGTCTTGTGTTTAAGACTATGAGATGTGACTGGTACGGGCCGCCATCTCTACACTACTATACAGGAATGATCAATGAGACCTGTTAAATATCATACACAGAATGATGTGTAGACATACAATTTATGCTGTGAAACGTTACAGTGCAATAATGCAATAATTGCTATACTTCACAACAGTTAGTACAGAACACAGAACCGACAAATAAAGACACAAACAATCCACCGTACAATTAAGACTCAGTTTCGAACACAATGTAACTATAAATAACAGAACGTAAAAATATGAAATAGAATAGCTTAAAGTTGTATATTTTAGAAATTCCGTGTCTGGGTGTTTTAAGATATTTTCAGCTTTATAAAATAATAAAAACAAATGCAAATAAGGCTTACCTCAGAGAAGCAGGACCATACCATACACTCTAAATAATGGTTGGGTTGAAATACCCTCAGTGGTATGCCATGTATATTAGACAAATCAATTATCTTTAGAAGTTTTGAAAACGTCCTTCTACTTGGACTGCTGTGTCCAAACTGAAGCAGGGCTTACGAATATTTTAGAGGTCCAGTAATTTGAGGTATAAAACGGGGTTAAATGAACCCAGTGAAAAATGGAGGCTCCCCACAGGTGAATACAAATTACTTGCGTGTTCGATTAGGAGATTTTAATGTGACACATGTAGTACATGGTCTATCATTAAAATCTTTTGATAGTACCTTCAAATTCAGATTGAGCGCCAGATTAAGAATGATAAACAATCTTTTTGAGTAGATAGTTCCCTCAGACCAGCCCCTATGTGGCCCCGGTTATAAAGGCATGGTCCACTTTCGGTTCTGGAGGTTCGGAGATTGGGTGGATGTGTACATCGATGATCGTCTTCCTACCGTTAACGGAAAGTTAGTGTATGGGAGATGTACAGAACCACAGGAATTCTGGGTAGCCCTCATAGAGAAGGCATACGCTAAGTATGTACTGTCTTTGTTTACATGTCTCTAATTTTAAGATGGAACACTCAGAAGTACATCATTTCTCCTCTTATATATAGGCGTAAGCTGTGGAAAATTCTGCTTATTAAGCTGTTTTATTGAAAATATTACAATATATGTCAAAATACAGTTAAAAATATTGCAGTATGTTGCAATACAAATATAACACTACATTTAAACAGATTCTAACAAACATTGAATTATCCCAGGTTACATGGGTCATATGAGGCCATAGAAGGGGGACAGGCTATGGACGCTTTAGTTGATCTGACAGGGGGAATACCCCGCTTATATGAGATACAAGACAAGGATCCATTCCTTTACAGAATGATAGAGAAAGCTCAACAAAAGCACGCCTTCATTACGTGTTCTAGAAAGGTAAATGAAATACTATCTTGTATGTTTTGTCTTATGTGCATCATGCAGTTCTGACATACTTGGTAAAATAAGTCAAATTGTGTCACAATTCTTTGCAAATGTCAAAAGAAATTTGTCACTGAAGCTTATTTGGAATCTGAATACTGTTTAATTGATAAACACTATATGTATTTAAATTGCCATTAACAGGGAAATTGGAAACTAAGCAACAAAGCTGATCCCAATGGTTTAGTGTCTGGTCATGCTTACACCATCACTGAAGTCAGAAAGGTGAGCTCCGAATCTACTGCCACTGTATAACAACAACATTAATGTTTGAAAAGACCAGAAAATTCATTTTGTAATGATGGTTGTGTACATTATTTTCAAGTTTTATTTTTACATACATGTACAAATTGTATCACAATTCTTTGCAAAAGTCAAAAGATTATAACGAAGCTTACAGATTTGGACCTATGAAATTACTTGTTTAATTGCTATATGTATCGTTATAACCGTATAAGCAACAAAATCATTAAATTTATATAGTCAGAAAGGGATCCAAGATGACATTAAATTAAATTGCTATATCCGTAAATTCATTTTGTAATGATGATTGTGTACATTATTTTCAAGTTTTATTTTTTCATACTTGTATATATAAAATTTGTCAATTTGAAAATCAGTTTTACAGAGGATATCTGTATCTTAATACATATCAATAATATTTGTGGACCACTGGTTAATCAATATAAAAAGTATATATATAAAGCAATCAGAAAAGTAAACCATGTATGTGTAATTGGTTGAAGAACAGATAAACTGCAGTATATGTGTTTTTCTGACGAGAGAGAACTTTTGACAGATACAGCATGTGAGGGGAGAGGACAAGTTGGTGAGGGTCAGGAATCCCTGGGGGGACAACAACGAATGGAAAGGATCCTGGAGTGACAGGTAAACACTGTGTGAATACAGAGTGACAGGTAAACACTGTGTGAACACAGGCACATGACTTTATTATCGTCAGAACCCACAGGTTTTCTCTCCACTCACACTGCATTCAAATAACACAATGTAAAGGAGAGAAAACCATGGGTTCCAACAATGGCAATGAGAGTGTCAGCTAATAAACAATCCTCATCTATTGCAGCATCAACTTATATTTTCCAGTATTTATTTATTACTTTTTTTGTTTAGTGATGTAAACTGGACCTGGGTGGATGAGCAGACCAAACAAGAGATCGGGCTTCAAGCTAAGGATGACGGGGAGTTCTGGATGTCCTACAGAGACTTCTGTAAACAGTTCCAGGAAGTGACCATTTGTCAGTACGGACCAAACTTTGATGGAGACAGAACAAAGGATGATGTCGGTAGGTGGATCTGATATACAAGGAGTTATATCAGAATATCATCTGATGATTTTATTGCAGTATTAAACAGGTCTGATTATTAATGTCATTGTGCAGTACATGATCGAGTTGAAATATGAAACTGAATAAATTATCTGGAAAATAAAACCATGAAACACATAACGTATAATGTAATGATTTCTCAGTGATCACATTTATTAATATTTAATGTTAAGATAAAGTTCTTGGCCACTTACCACCATCATTGTCTTTTACAGGATGTTTTGTTTGTGTCAAGGGGAGATGGGAATGTGATAGAAATGCTGGTGGAAGCCGGAATGACCTTCATAAATTTGCCACAAATCCTCAGTACTTACTGACACTTCCAGAAGCAGGTAAATATACACTGACATGTTTACAACACAGGATTTTGTCAACCTAGTAACTGAATGTACCTTTTTTGACAGGGTCAGAATTTGGCAGAAAAACAGTTTTTGTTCAATATGTGACTAGTAAAATATGTAAATTTCTCCTATTACCATTTTGTACATGCATGATTAAAAGCACATTTTTTTTTCAATCTGTTGTGATATATTTTGTCAAAAATTATTGACTGTGTAATGTAATTTAAGCAGAGAAAATTAAACTCATCAGATGTAAATTGTATGTTTGAAAACAATCCAAATCTCTTGATTTAAATTTGATTTGCTGTTCCTCTTCAATTTATTGATTTATATACTATTTTTAGATGATTTTGACCCAAAGAAAGATGACCCTGACCTTGAGGGGTTATGCACCCTTGTCATTTCCTTGATGCAGGAACATCGCCAATCAAAGCGAAATGTTAAAGTCAAGAAGCTTCAAATAGGATTCATTTTATACAAAGTGAGTGTGAAGAAATAAAAATGAAGTTGCTTATCCCTGCTCTTGATGCTGCATCTGATGTATATTCAATCAATTTATAAGAGAATGACTATACGGTTTAAGTTTTCTGAACAAGTCTTTTGCCTGACTACATGTAATTATTAGCCCTACCAATCTACAATTGTCTGAATTATACATATTTCAACTGTGTTTTTGTGCTTCATTATCCAGATGTGTATTTAAACACTGTTATTATGAGAATATGCATCTTACTGAAAGTTATGAGACTGCCTCACTATAGTCTTTACATTTACTATGGTAATTTTAGTTTTATTTATAAACAACAAATGTTTTTTTTTTAGACAAGTGAACCAACAGAGAGATTATCAGCTCAGCATTTCCGCTACAATCCTGACAGTGGTAAATCAGGGGTGTATATTAACTACCGCGAGGTCAGCCAGCAATTTGAGCTGGAACCCGGGCACTATATCCTCATACCTTCCACATTTCACCACAACGAACCTGCTGACTACATGATACGAGTATTTGGGGAAAAAATGTTTTCTCTAAAAGGGTAAGTTTCAATACCAGTCTAAACATTGTCCAAAAAGTCTCTTCAGTTTACTGTAGACATACTTTTTTCCACTGGGTCATAAATCTGCGGAATCTCAATTTTTGTTTAATCAGCAGGTAGAAAAAGTCTCTTCACTATATGCCTTACATTTATATTGTCTATTATTCATTTTTAAAATTAACATCTCTCAGTATTCTCTGTTATTTATTTATTTTTAAAAATTCTCTCCCTCTCCATTCACCCACCTCCATCGCTAACAACAGATGTTCCATGACAACTAACAAAAAATGAACTAAATGGAATTCTTCTAAAACATAGAATACTTGAATATAGCAGCAGATCTGTAGCTTGCTGGTCTGAAAAAATTCGGATGGTCTACCAGAGAGCTACAGTGCCACTCATTGAAAAAAGTGTTTATTTATTGCACACAAAAAAAGTGCACTGATCCTTAATTATTTTCACCGTATATTTCAAAATATTACTACCCATTTGTTTCTAACATATTCTTTTACTATAGTTAAGAATATACTAGGAACACAGGGTTTAGGGTTTGTAAAATTTTGAGATGGCAGCATGCATAAATAAATGGAGAAATAATTGAGAATGAGCATTTTTTTAGTGAGCAATATACATTTTTTCAATGGGTGGTACTGTAGCTTTCTAGTTGCCCATCCTATTTTTTTTTCAAACCAGCGAGCTACAAATCTGCAGCTAACTTTAATACTGTAAAATCACATATTTTCGTGGGATCAAATTTTCTTGGTTTGAGTAAAAATTATATAAATGGGGATTTATGGATGAAGAATTGTTGAGTAGTTATGTGTGTAACATTTTACATTTTGTGATGGACATCAATTTGTGGGTCTCTTCATACCTTGAAAACAACAAAAATTAAACCCTCATCAAAATTTGTGATTTCACAGTATACTGTGAAAGATATTCATTTAAAAATTGTATGAATTATAAAGACGTATTTTTCTTTTTCAGACCACTGGAATGATCTCCATATTCACAGCTTATATCTAAACATCACACCAGAGGATAGAAAGAAATCATTTCACTTGTCAGTTAACCCTTTGCGTCCCTATAAATCATTTCACTTGTCAATTAATCCATAACATTCCTATATTTAAAGTTTTAGTGCTGGCAACATTTTATAACATGTTTCTTGTATGGTATCTATTGTTCGAAATATTTAAACTTGTGATTTCAACTTGTACTTTTATAGAAGATGGAAAGAAGATTTGTGTACTTTTTTCACTTTATTTATACAAAGGTCACTTTTGTGTATGGATACCACACAGAGTTAAGTTAATTTATATCAGTATATTTATATTTTTACATTACATTCCAAGTTTTCTGTATATTACATGTATTTTATGCTCAATGTTAATGTTGTTCAGTGTGTGAAGCATGTGCATTTTATAATTTATTGTATTACTTTATATTTAGTTTATCTTTCAGTGTTGAATTTTTTAATCTCTAGTCAAATATTTTCAATATCTGCTGTTTATTTTCTTTTATTAAACAACTTTTTAGACACACAGATATTGGTAACATATTACATTGTAATTTGAATATTTGTAGTAACTTCTTTTTTTATGCTGACAAAGTGCTATTTTAACTGTTAAAAAATGTTTGTCCAATTGTTCACTAATCCATATAAACTATGACAAAAATTTGAACATTTTGTATTAAGGGAAATTAATAGCAAAAGTCAATACATGTAAGATTTTTTGAATTTTCTTTTACTGTATAACCTTGTGCATATATTTTTTATACTTTCATGTAAAATATTATATCTGCTTGTGGCTTTTTTTCTGGGGTTTTCCCCTTAATTGCATAGTATTAATCCATAAAAAGACAAATTTAGAAATATTTTGTATATTAATCAGTTATGGTAATTAATAGCAAAAGTCACTACATGTAAGATTTTTAAGGAGTGAATTTAATAGCTACCCAACTACATGCAATATATATATAATACTGCATTAAATTCAGGTTAAACCCAGCCACGTAGCTTTGTTTTTGAAAGGGGGGGCATAGAAAAAATTTTTTTTTACCTACTTGAAAAAAAGTTGACAAGCAAAAAAAAAAAAAAAAAAAAAAAATGTGGGGGGCCAGGCCCCCCCCCGTTGCTACGTGCCTGAAACCAAGAGGTTAATTTACCATATGATTTGATTTTATAATTTTTCAAGCAAATAACACGCTACAAGCAAAATTGAATTATATATCTATATTTGAAAATGACAGGTCTGAAATACATAAACTCATTTTTTTTTAATGATTTTCAGCATTTAGCTACATGTATATATATTTTTATACTATGAAAGAAAATATATAAATGTGAGATTTAATATTGAGTTAAAAAATGTGCCTTTAATGTTAATTGGGTTATAATATGACTGTTAATTTATTATATACTTTGTTAAACCTTTTAGTTCTTAATAAAGTAAACTGAATATATTATATGTTTTTCGGAAGTATTTACATCGGGATCGGAAATCACTGAAAACACTACAGGTGGCGCTGTGCTCGCTTGCAAGCGCGTCATTTCGAAGGAAAAGGAAATTTGTTTACATTTGGGAAATCTTTTCTGCAAAAATGTCTGCTGTTTACGATTATTTAAGAGCTTTGGCAGTTGTAGTTGCATTTGTTGCAGCTAAACAAAGTATAAAATCGGCCTTGTCTTTTGACTTGTATCTATCAGCATGGCTGGGAACAGGGTGCTTTCTTTTCCCCCGATTTGTAGCTTCTAAAGTAAGTACAAGCCTTCATCGTTGCACTGCTGCATTGTGTAGGACACCTTGCAACAAACAGCAATAAAAAGAATAATGCTATCATTCAAATATTTCTTCAGAGTGTCACAAGTTTTTTTTTTTTTTTGGGGGGGGGGGGGAGGGGGGTTGCTGTCACATATTGTAAAGGTTTAATCAGCAAACACAGTACTGATTGAGGTTGGGACCAATTAAATAATGATTATATAATAAGCATAACCGTCCAGCATAAGGCACTCCTTTTCGTGAATGTTTTTTTTTTATATTCTTTAATTTTGTTTATATAACACATATTAAAATGAAAACAGCATGAAAAATGGAAGATAGAAATCATATTTTCATATATAATAATAAAGAACACAAGATGTGACATTCCTCATCTTGGATTCTAGGCGATTTTCGAATGCAGTAACTTGTCCTCATGCTCATCGAGCAGTCTGGTTTTACATAGTTAGAATAATCTAACTGTGTCTCGGTACAAGCCCTCACCACAGTTAGAATACGTCCCATATACTTGTAATGTAGCAAACCGGAGCGGATCCGCTCCGAAATGATTTTAAAGAATATAAAAGGATTTGCGCTGGAAACAACAACCAAATTAATCAAAACAAACCTTTTTGAGATTGCATATGCCTTCTATCCCAAAAAATAATCCATATAAAGACGAAAATCCAATTAATTTTCTCAACGCTTTTCTCGCGTTTCAAATTTACCTGCCACGTTTACATTCGGAACTCTCTAGATTGTTCGTAGTAAATGAAGTAAATGCATAAAAAGTAAAAATTATCGAACAGTGTTTCTTTTGCTACATTACGAATTTATTTTATTAATATTATTTTGTCAGTATTTTGTAACGAAAAAGATATAACACTAGGTTTTACATTGTTGGAGCATTTGCTCTAGAGTCTTATAGTAAGGAATTGAACTTAAGTTGTGGGTTTGATTATGAATCCCACAGCGGGATCTGGAGAATGGTCCTTGGGATGATACTGTACAACCTGAAATCCCATCTCACAGTAGGTGCTGGTAAGAACACATTTTCCTCAATGCTCAAAGGGTCTTGGTGCTGAGTACTGGTCCAAACTTGCAAACCTTGAGTGGTGACATTTTGATATATATTTTCGAATGAATGTTAAACAAACAAATCCTACTAACTGACATGTACACACTAAATATGTATACGGTCATTTTCTTGTGTTAATTTACATGACATTGATATATGCTTGTTTCTTCTAGATCTTTGACGTGTCTTCAGATCTTGGTTTTGTGTTTGGAGTTACAATAACTCTTTCCAGGATCAGCTTTATCACAATGGCATTTAATTTTTAATTCACCTTTTATTTTTTACCAGAGATGAAACAGTCCTTGGAAGCATTATACTGTCAAAGGCCTTGGTAAAATATTATAATATTTAGGCCAAAGTTTTTTTTTCTGTTGGTTTAAATCGCCACGTATTTTTCGCTATATACAAAAATAAAAGAAAGCATTTTCTGATATGGGTTGTTAAATTTTGTCCACCAAACAACTTTTTTTTATAATTTACAACACATCTTAAACATTCAAATGACCTATAAAACAATTGTCAAAAATAATGACCAATATTTTGCCAATAAAATTTTTTACAGACTGTTTCTATACTAATGACTAATGCATCGAATTCCAGAACAAACTATAATTTTACTTTTGGGTATAAAATTCCATCGTTACAAGTTATACGTACACAACAAGACGCAAAACAGCTGCACAGCTTTCGATGTCATGCCAAAGATGTTGGAGAAGATTTTAGATCTTTTTCTTGTCAAATAATTAATTCATGCTGTGAATACAGACATATTTTTACTGTTGAATTGTAAAGTTATTAACTTCCTAAGAATTTTAGTCACACATCGGTTCTGATAAACAAAAGTAGTTCAGTCGGCATGCAGATATTAATCTGACAATAAGAAACTTTTACAGTAGTAGTAGTAAATCTTATTTAATGTCAATGTTGTTTTATTATTTTTTCTAGATATTTATATACCTTGTAATTGGGGCAGTTATGTTAGTTTAAGATTATTTTTCTCTTGTTTATATATATATATATATATATACACAGTTAATAATTATAAAAATGTATGTAAGTTATAAACAATGAAATAGTTTTATAACGATTTTTAATGTGTGCCATTTCAAAACTTGTCCCTAAATTTCTAAATCATGGAGAAATGTTTACAGTTAGAATTTTGCTTTAGGTTGGTCCATGGACACACGAACCTTTTAAAAGTATTTGGTGAAAGCAATCCATCACTTTTGGAGTATCCAAAAAGTTTTGAACATACGTGGAAAGGCTGTCACATAGAATAGCTGATTCACAATTTTACTGCTCAAAGGATTTGTCCCAGTGCAATGTGTCTATTATATGGAAAGTGGTGGCATTTTGATATTTATTTTCAAAAAATGAAAACCAAACAGTAACAGAATACTCCCACTTATATGTACACATTTGAAAATATATATTTTTGTTGACATTATATATGAAAAAATAATAAAGTTGAAAAATCTTATGTGTTTATTATTTTTATTTAAATACATTTCAATGTTACTAATGTCAAGGTTCCAAATTATTTTTATTTTTATTTTTGCACTAAAACCCAGATGACACATTTTTGTGCCAAAAAACTGTCAAAAGCCAAAAAAATAAAAACTTTGTATTAATCAATTTGCAGAGTTCATTGTGGTTATCATGTAATTTAACATTTATTAAATTTTCTTATCTTTCCACAGTAACAAAATGTCTTTTTAAGTTTTTATACTTTTACACTGGCTCATGGAATATACAAGTTTTCTAAATTTTCAGTGTTTTTATTCCTTTCAGGGATTTCTACCTCTTCTGTTTGCCTCTGTATATATCTTTGTGATGAATCAGACAATCTTTCACCACTCTGTAAGTAGCTTATTATGTTGTACATTATTTTTTCATACTTATTACACAGGTATCTTTTGTGTTAAATGTCATAGTAATTTGTTTTAGGCTTTCTGCTTCGTCCTGACAATCTTCTCTGGGATCTGGTTAATCAATGTGGCTCTGCTGTACGAGACCCGCCCCGCGGTGGGTCGGAGGGAACAGAAAGGACCCGTCAATGTGGTGTTCAGACTCATGTTCCTGGTCTTCCTCCTCCACGGCCTGGCAGACCTAGCCTTCCCTGAGACTATGGCTTCCCTCATGGTTTGTGTCTTGTTTCATGAGATTCAGTCGACAAACAATAAGTCTCTTTTAACTGATGTTTAGTGGGGTCATGAGGTCTCTTATAACTGGTGTTTGGTGGGGTCATGAAATAGAAGAAATGTTTTATGGTCTTTTTATTTTCAGAAAGTGACGAGTTCTCCAGCTATGAAATTCTTGATACAATCTATCGGCGCTCTCCTGATCAGTAACATCTTCACGGCCTGGTTTGCCCCATGCTTCCTTAGAAAGGAGGATCGAAAAAGCTTTATTGACAGTCAGCTTCTGGTGAGTCATACCATTCAGAAAAAGCAACCGGCAAAGCTAACCATCATTATAAGTGTAGTTAATTGTTAGCAATTTTAGGGATTTTTATTTGATTTTCTTTAACAATATTTGTGATAAAATTTCATTTATAATAAATACTGTATAAGTGGGAATTTTAGCGAGACGCAAATTTAGTGATTTATCCTTAAAAATTGGTATTTTATTTTTAGTGAGATGTAATTTTAGCGATTTTAAGAAGCTCACTAAAGAAGCTATTACAAATAAAGTGCAATTAATTTTTAGCGATATTTTATTTTAAGCGATCTTGGTACCCTCGCTAATAATGCCAAAGTTAAATCCTCGCTAAAAATTCTGCTTATACGATATGCCAAAGTAAGATGATTGCTAAATATTCATGATATACTGTATTATCCAAACTACAACAAAAAAGTCTGCTTTTCCTCACTCTTCCACTGTTTTTTTTCCTAATTTACCTTCTAACATTTTTTAAAATGAAGATATTGACATTCATTCTCCTGTTAAACAGATATTTTGCTTTATTAGTATGCTTCTCCAGTTTAACAGATATTTTTTTATTAGTATGAGTCTTCGGTTTAACATATTTTTTTTTTTAGTATGCGGTGTTGGTGGCTGTGGCCTCGGGGTGCTACTGCTACCAGAAGAAGACAGACACCAGTGCCTCTCTCCTGTTTGTGGCCCACTCTCTGCTTGGTATGGTTCTACCTGCTGTAGGCTTTGTCCTCATGAACAGAGAAGACCATGTGATCACCAATACCCACTACCTGCGCTCCAAAAGGAACTAAAATCTCATCACCAGAAACATTTACATTTGTATAAATGCACTGATGTATTTTTTAAGCCAATTTTTTCATAATGAATTTTAATACTCTTAGTATATTTTTGCTCATAGTCCTATTATTCTATAGGTGTTGTATTATTTTTAAAGGGTATACAACTATAAAATCAGTATTTAATCACAACATTATTAATCTTAGATCTGCTTCTTTTGTACTGTAGAAGTATTTTTTCCATGTGAAATTAATTTATGCTCTGTACTTGTTGACAAATTTTAAAATTACATATAGGGTATATAGGGGCAATTTAAGAAATCCGTGTAATTTTCTATGCACTGTATGAACAGAAATAGTGATTTAGTGGTATTACAACTGTGTGGAAAAAGTACTTTAACAGTATTAATACTTGTAATCTCATGTAGTTAAGTGGAATGTATTTTACGGTGTATGAAATTAGTTGGTTTTAAGTTGAAAGTAATGTATGTTTTTCTTGAAAATTTTATATTTGGCATCAGATCTCAAATTGATGTTTTTTTCTAAGGTTGAAGTTCATGCTATTGAATAGTGAATTAATAGTGCTAAGCTATTGGATTGTCTCCCTTACATTTTGAGTTGGCAGTTTTATCTATATGTCACTGTGCCTTTGTTTTAGGAGTATTCATGTTTGGCCTGCTGAGTTTTTAGTTTAATGTTGTAATTTGAGTTCACACAACTGTATAGAATTGTATATAAGCATTGACAGCTTATAGGCAGCAGAATCCCACCAGCAGCAGGGACTCGTGTACAGTCAGGACTTCTTCAGAAGAGTTTTGTGTGTCTTGCAAAATTATTTTAGCATTGGGCAATACCAAAATAAAATTATTAACTGTGTTCTCAATGGTGTCTTGTTTTAAAAGAATAGAAGAAAATACTAGTAAAGAATATGGCAATGTGGCTGTCCTCAGTCCCACAACTTTTGTAGAACATGAATTTTGATATTTATAACAAAAAGCAGTGAGTGGGTTACCTTAGCCACTTTTATTATATACAGCTGCTCTGGAACACAGTCTCCTCCAGTTTTTTAATACACATATAACAGCAATAAGTAATGGAGAGTTGGATACATGTTGATATGTAATTTTGTGATCTCTTTTTCCCTTGGTTTAAGGGATGTGAACAAAACCATCAAAATTAAGCAACTTCCAAAACCTACTTTTATGGACCTAAAGTCCAACTAATTGCAATCTAAATTAATTTTTACTGAATGAAATCTAACATTTGCAGAATATGATTATGCATTAAATTCCAAAAAAGTCTTTGGAGCAGAGAGCATAATTTGGCATGATTCACAAAGCAGTGGGAAATGCTATGGAAAAGGGGCATAACTCTGTAAATCACTGAAGTAATCCATCAAAATAAAATCATTTTTTTCTCATGAAAGACCTATTGGAGTTTTAGTCTTATTTAAAATCTCTTTATACTGGTTTAAGGATTTTACTTGGCAATGTAGCAAAGAAAATACTTTGAATATTCACAGAAAGATGTGAAGTAGCTTGGTCCTTTTGGTCATCTTTGTCAAGAAATATTAGGTTAAAAGCCATACACATCAGATTTTTTAAAATATAAATAAATATATTGAAATGATTTTTTTGAATTTAATTTTGTAGGAAAAAACGCAGAAAAATTTATTTCAAATATAGATTAACTTCATATAAATGTTCGAAATTGTTATTTTCATAATTTTATTTCACAGTTTTCCCAGAATGCACGACCGTGAAGGGTGCGTATTAGGAAATCTATATAGCAAAAAAAAAAGATGAAAGCCTTATTTAAAATCTCTTTATCAAATTATCCTTTTCTGAAAATTTTTTAAATGTACTTGTTTCTAGATCTTCATATAAATGTTCTATTTTCATAATTTTATTTAGTTTTGAGGGTGCATAAATCTATATAGAAAAAAGATGCCATTCTTTATCAAATTATCTTTTTCTAAACTACCACTGTCTCCCATATGGTTATAATGACAACATCCATGATTTGCTCTGTGTGATATCAAAAAGTAAAATAGGAGGTGCACAATAGCAGTATGTAATAAAGAATCTGTGAAAGTATCGTTAAATTTTATTCAGTGATATAGGTGGAGTTGTGGAGAAGAGATGGGTACCTTTCAATAGTATTGAAAAAATGACCGTGTCCGTATGTTTTTGCTATGGGAAAGGAAATCCGAAATATCCTATCCAACAGTAGATTGAGTAACATGACCTAAGATTTTCAAAATCAATCCTCTATTTACTTATTTATGCTGATATTTTTTTCTGTAGAACTGGTAAGGTTAACCTTTCAGATCTTGAAAAAAAAATCAACGATTAAATCATCGTATAAATTTGAGCAATATTGTTTATTACACACAATTATGCTTCAAAAGAAACATACTTGTAATTTGTGCTTACAATTATAGTATGTGGTTGCAAAGCATTATACTAATTAAGTCTGGGTGACATTAAACTTTCTCTTAGAGGATTAAATATGAGTAATAAACCTTTGATGTACATATTGAGTTATATGCATACATTTATAACCATCCTCAACATATTTGGTTTTTAACGCATGATTCAATTTAAACTGACCCCTCCCTACCAATTAGCAAGTAGATGCACTTAGATGCATATGCTTCGGTATAATGACTTTTTTATGCCCCCGTAATAAAATATTCGAGGGTACATAGTTGTTGCCCTTCTGTCCGTCTGTCTATCTATTTGTCCGCAAAAACTTAAAATTCAATGCCCAAAACTTTTGATTGGTATTAAGAGCTACAGTATATGGCTTTCATATTTCACAGGTGTATTCCTTTTGAGTTGTGACAAGGCTTTCTTTGGGTACCAAAATTTTTACATTTTGACCTTGACCTTAGATGTTAACCCATTTTTGGAAAAAAAAACAACTTACTCTTATTTGCTTATACTTTTGAACTGTTAGGCTAAGGGTTTCATACTTCCATCGTCGGATACCCACGGGTGATCTCGTCTTTTACTTATCACCAATAAAAAACGATATCACCCATGGGTATATCCGAAGATGTCACACTTCACATGTGTATTTATTCAGACAAAACATTTCCTTTTTTTCACCTTTTAACCTTGACTTTTGACTTTAGCCCACTTTTGAAAAAAACTTAAACTTTGGCCATTACTTTTTAACAGTTAAGGATACGCAACGTACGTACATGTGCCTTTATATACCTACTGATATTTTTCAAGATATTCTCAATTTAAATAAAATTCAAAATCAGTTGTGATCTTGACCCTGGTGTTTGATCAACTTCTGAAAAACGTAACCCTAGCCAAACTTTAGAATAGTTGGTGCTAGGGCTTTGATATTCGTATGTTTATTTCCTATGACAAGACCTTCCCATGGGTACCATTTTTGAACCCTTTGACCTTGATCTTGGAGTTTGTTTTCATTTAGCGTTGATCATAGAAAACATTATCGGTATTGAACTTCGATAACTGAATGTATTGTACATAGCACTGTAAGCTTAACTGGCTTATCACTTCTACAATTTTATTACCTAAGAGTTCTTCAACATGTCCTCCCGGTTACAACTGTAAGTAAAAATCAGAACTCCAGCTTCATCAGAGACATGTGATTGACACAAAATTTGCATTAGACCAGAAGGCTTACATAACAATAGAAATTAAGTCTTTTACAGACATTGATTATCATGAACAATCCTAAAACTTATAAAACAGATGTAAAAGAAAAAAAACAATAATCATTTGTGTAATTCCATATCATAATTTCATCTCCTTTTCCAGTGGAAATATTACTAAATTGCAAAAATATCGGTCAATAGAAATTAAAGCATTAGAATTTGATCTCCCAAGCGATGTAAATATCCTACAGACAAAAAGAGCTTTAAAACGAAATACGCACTCCATCAACCAAATGAGTAATATGTCAATTAGGCAAAGTTCCATCGAAAGCAGATACAAACACTGATTAGGATAAAACTAGCAAAATAAAATAATTATCGATACATAACAAATGACATCACATAACAATAATGACAAAAAATCAACTTATATTAAGGGGAATAGAGCCAGGGGTTTACTACGGTGCTGAGACTGGTCTGGTAAAGGAGCGGGAAAATGGCGCCAATTACAAGCGTTGGACTGCTTGTTGCGCTTCTCTTTCGTTCTGTAAGTAATAATGAAAATGTTATTAAATGTATATGGTGGCGGGTGGATGGGTTACTAATTGCAATTTGATACTCATTTACTTTTTCGTTTTTAATTTTTCAGACTTCATCGACAAAGGATTCATATGGTAAATAGAGCTTAGATTTACCGGTACTTTAAAAATTCTATCAAAAAGTAACATAAAGGACAAAACATTATATTTTAATTTATACAGAATATATACTTCCTTAAATGAAATCACTTTTATAAGTTTAGAAACTATTTTAACCCCCAGGTTGCGGCAATAAACCGGCCGATGTGGAGTTTGTATTGGACTCCAGTGGAAGTATAATGTACAGTGACTTCCGGAAACAGCTAAATTTTACGGAAAACTTGGTGGACTTATTCGACATTGGACAAAATAAAACTCGTGTTGGAATGGTCAGCTTCAGGTAAGACGGGCATAAAAATATCAATTCCTCTAGGTCATTGCAACAACCATAGAACTTACGAAATGATGACTTTGAACGAGACTACTAATATTCTTGTCACTTCAACATGTTTGTCAATAACTTGTCCTTTTTTAGAGAGTGTTCACAGGTAAAGCATGCTCTTGTGTATCGAATCTACTGAGAGATAGAAACCCGTATTAATATGATACATTACCAAGAACTTTGAGCAAATACAATGAGTAAATACACATTGTCTATAAATTAATATGACTTTTTTCAGGGTTACGGTTAGTTATTCAGTATTTTTCGTTTTTGATTTTATCGGTTGTTATATTGTCTAGTACACAAGTTATCCCAGAATTCAAGTTGGGTGAATTTAACGACAAAAAGGACATAAAAGAGAAGATACAAAGTGTATGGTACCAAGGAGGTGGGACAAACACGGGGAAGGCGCTGAATTACGTTAGAACACAGTCATTTCCGGTCAATGGCGGGAGACCGGACGTCCCTCACATCGTCATCATCCTCACGGACGGGATGTCCCAGGACTTCCGGTACACAGTACAGGAAGCAGCCGCTGCGCACAATCAAGGAATCACTGTATTTGTGATCGGTATTGGAGATCAGGTAAGTATATATATATATATATATATATATATATATATATATATATATATATATATATATATATATATATATATATATATATATATATATATATATATATGAATAAAATCACAATGTATTGGCGCGGTTCCAAAAAAAACCCACGTGCAGGGCGGGACACACAGCTAGAAGAAGCAAAGTACCACATGTAAATATAAGGAATAAAAAAAGGCACATAGATAAAACTAAACGCCTTCGGCGTGTAGATTTACCGGTATTTTTCTTCTCAGGTGGATGAAAAAGAACTAAAAGCAATAGCGAGTAAGCCGACGGACAACTTTATGTTTGAGATTGACAATTTTGACGCACTTAAGACCATTAAAGATACGCTAGCCATCAGAACTTGCAAAGGTAGGAGAAGAATTTGAATTTCATTTAATGCAAACAATTGTTTGGCGAAAAGAGGCAACTTCAATCTTTTCACTATCAAATTAAGCGGGAACATTGGCAAAATGCCCTTGCCTCCACGCAAAACGTTAAACAGTTCTTGCCAAAATGATGAAATATTGCTTACCTATACCAGAAAATTTATGATGAAATTTCACGGACTTATCTAATTAGAATGTCTATATTTTGTTAGTAATTGCCATGGAAGAATTGAATGGGGATAAAATAAAACCATTAATTTATGTTGCCTATAAATATTTCAGTTCCACCTGCCACTCCACCCCCGCCCACTCCGCCACCCATTGATAAGGATGCCGTGGTAAACGGCAACGCTCGTAAGTTTCCGTTGTACTTTTTCATAACAGTTTAACCTTGTGTTTGGGTTCAGAAATGGGTTTTAAAAATCTAAATTTCTTCTAGACTGCAGTCCTGAAATGCCAGTGGAATTAAAAGTAGCGCTGGACACTGCTGCCATCGGTATAGATAATTCTAAATTTATCTTACGGTTTCTTGCCGAGTTGTCCGATCGCCTTGACCTGCCACAGAGCCACTCCGAGATCGAGACCGTTACCAATGGTTGCGCCACCCAGAGCCTTGGTGATATAACGTTTGGTTCCGGTCACGATCGTGAGAAGATTGAGCAGTCGATGGCGGACACGACAAAAGGGGTATCCTCCATGATGCGGCGATTGAGACAGAGTTTCACTAGAGGCGACCAGAAGAAGAAAGTGGGGGTTGTCTTCATGGGAGCAACGCTGAGCAATGGGGAGTACAGAAAAGCTTTACGTGAAACTTCAAGGGCATCCTTCTTGGGGATCAAGTTATTTGTGGTAGGGGTAGGCGAACGTGTTAGCACACAACAAACTCGAGTTTTGGCAACAAACTCCGACCAAGCTTTCTTTGCCGAATCTTACGATAATCTACAATTTGTGGAAGGACCGTTGTTACTAAAAATTTGCACACTAAAATGATTTTTATG